ATTAAAAACCCAAAGCGTATTTTACTAAATTACAAACACAGAAGTCATACGTAACATCAAGAAACACCAGTTTAAAATAGCTAGAGTTCCCTTTATCGGTCGTTTTTTACATTCAACTAACAGTGCTGACATCAGGTGGTGACCTGTTGACTATAACGGTAAATATCTTTATATTTTATTAGTAAGCCTAACTATACTAAAAATTTTTATAATTAAACAAGAAACTTAGCACTGCCAAGTCAATTTGCACTAAAAATCACTCTGTAAAGACATCACCTCCTCCTATAGTAAATAAAAAATGTTGGTCCTTTCGGGTTGCTTATACAGAGAGTACTGTATAAAGTATTATAGAGTACTACAGTAATCCCTCTATATAAGCAACCCAAAGGGACCAACATTTTGTGTTTACTATAAGGGGTGTTGTCCTTACAGAGTGACTTTAGTGCAAACTGACTTAGCGAGGCCAAATTTATTGTTTACTATAAGGAGAGTTGTTTATACAGATGGTTCACTATATAGAAACCTCACTGTACTTAAAGAAAGCTACAATAATTTAAATTACAGTAAACTTCTTTTATAATCAATCGTGTTATAAAAGATTTCGTTATAATCAAAAGGTCATCTAGTCCCAGAACTCATAGTAGAATGAGAAAATGGCTGATAAAAAAAGTTCTTGATAAGGTAAACTTAAAATTATTTGTTTCTTGGTGTTTATTAAAAAGTTTATTGTATTTTACAGCACATATTGTTGTTCACATAGCAAATTTGCACAAACCTTATTTTATATAACCAGCCGACAAAGAAAACTCTCGCTATAGTAAACACAAACTTCATAATTACTAATGTTGCTTATAACAAGAGTCTATAGTATAAACAATAAGAGCCAATATGGTCTTAATATACGAAGGTTTATTGATAAGCTATAATAATTATACTACCTAAACATTGCTTACGACAAAAACCTAAGGAAAAACAACAAGCAAGAACAGCTGAACAAGAACAACTCCCTTATCTACGTAACAAAGACGTCCGAAGAAATTACTCATATCACCTGTAAGCATCAAGAAACATACGTATTTGCAACGAAACAAACGTGCAAGACTTCGAAACAACCCTAGTGACCTATTTTTAACTATTATAGTAAATTACATATATAATACTCAAAAACTCTGTAGTATTTCAAAAAGCATGTCAGTGGCAAAATTAGTCCAAAAACAAAATGTTTTCACATTATTTATAGCCTTTTTTGGTCAAGAGAACTACGTAAATGGAGTACGCACGTACTGGGAAACAAATTTCATCACATAAAGAATGTGCTTAGTTAGAGAACAATTGGATACCCAAGAAGAACGTTGTGCTACACAAACAGACTACAAGGTACAAAGGGTGTTTTTGAAAAACATGTTATACTGCATGTGTAGTGGTTGGTTTCAGAATATTTCAGAATATTTTTAAAAAAATCGAAAAGCACTGTAATCTTTGGTTATACAGTATTCTCTCTATATAAGAAACCCAAAAGACCAACATTTTGTGTTTACTATAAGGAATGTTGTCTTTACAGAGTGACTTTAGTGCAAATTGACTTGGCGAGGCCAAGTTTCTTGTTTACTATTAGATTATATTCTGCGCCCCCTCTCAAAACAAATTTTTAGGGTAAAGGGGCGCAGAATTATGTAAACAACCTAATATAAACACAGTTGCTTATGCAGATGGTTCACTATATAGGGAAATCACTGTAGCATTACTTTTATCAAGAAACTCTAAGCAAAATCAATCGAGAGTCTAAGCCCTAGCGACCGTATAGGTTGACCAAATATCAATGATACGATAGCGTTAATTATAATTTTAAAAAATCATGTTGGACTTTGAAATGCTCATCCATATTTGCACAACCTAACAATTGTAACAACAGCCAATAAAAAAAACTCTCGTTATAGTAAACACATCATCTCTTGATGTTGATTTTAAGCAGAGCCTATTGTATACAGAAAGACCAATAGATTTACCGTTTTGTATAACAACATTACTTACAAGGAAAGTATCCTACTGACCCGCTCAGAATCAACTCAAAATTTTTATATGAATTCCTTGTACTACCAATAGTACCTATAAAAAATTTTAGCTCGCGCTTTTGAGTTTCTAAATTTAAATTATTTTAACATCCCGCCAATTTGGCAAATTTAGCATTGTGTTTCAAGCACTTTTTTCGGCTTTCCAGACAAGATACGCTTAAAAATTTAAAAATGTAGGTTCATTATAGGTTTTCTACTAGTATATCAAAGAAAAATCATTAAAAGGTAAAAAATGACAAAGTTAGAAGCTTGAAACACAATGCCAAGTTGGCGGAAAATTAAAAATGTCATTTTTTAATCTCGATTTTCTCGAGATTTCCTGGAAAGCGCGATTTAGTACGTTGCTGTAAATCTTATATTTACATGATCTTTCTTTATAAAAAGTTTGAAGTCAATCCCTAGGGGTCAGCAATAATTAATACATTGAACTATATATATTATCGTCTATATTATTTTTGTTTAAATGTATTAATAGATGCAATAAACAAATTAAATTAAATTAAATTGAAATCAGAGCGGGGCAGGTCGGGCACTTTCCTTGTTAGCCTCGCCAAAAAGCTACTTCTTCAAACCCTAACCAACCTCAAAATTCCAAAGCTATCCCAAATCAAGACCTTATAAGAAAAACAAAGCTGTTCAAATTAGCACCAAGTTCAGCATCATTTCCGTTGGAAATTTCGCAAAGTTTTGACAAACAAGTTAAAATGTAATTTGTGACAAAGTCACGAAGGTTTGACCTAAACTTGGCCCGAAAAAAAACCGAGTCCGAATTCGGGGAGGCCTGGAAGAGCAGTAGCCAACAAAATATCTATACCCCGCTCTCTTAGGCGCCTCAAGCGCTTTAATATACTTTTATGGCCCAGAAAATGGTAAATTAAAGTAGTATTTAAGGCTAAATTAAGCTAGTGTTTAATGCCAAACTTGATGGGTGTATTAAGATAAAACTCAAGCTACATTAGACCTAAATTTAGGATTTTCAAGTCTACAAACAATGACCTAAAAGTTTTAATTTAAAGTTAAGACTAGTATTTGCAAAGTTAAGTCCGAATGAAAGCTAGTATATTGCAAAAACACTAAAATTGCATAGTATTTCCACATTTATTTACTGTTTCTTATTAGAGTCCAACGATGACAGCACCCAACTATGATTAAAATTGCGTTAGAATAGAACCCATTTTGCAGTACTGTAAACAATTTTTCAATTTTCTCAATTTTCTGAGTCAGCATTGTTTTTGCTAAAACTGTAAAAGTACTTTTACTATTGTTAAAGCAATAGAAGTACGTGCTGTCAAAACATAGATGTATTGCTCAAAAAGCAAAGCTACAAAAACACGGTTAAACATAAAATTGAAGTAACAAACGTTCATTGAACGTTTTTACTTTGACATATCTTACCCTTAAAGTAATTACCGCTTGTAACGACGTATTTATTTTATAATCAAATATTATAATACAACAATTAGTAAGCCTTGCGTTTGGTCATTAACTAAGCTGATGTCTCACATTTTCTAGTCTAGCTGATATAGCCTTTTTTCAAGCCTAGAACATACTAATGTCAGCTCATTACAACAAGGCCCTAGTATCAATAAAAGCAAAATTTATCTTATTTTTCTTTCTGTTACAACATTTTTACATTGTCAGACTGTTCCTTATGTTATCACTATTGTTCGCCATTGTTTCATTTTTTTGTTTCTCACTGTTCCTAATCATCCATCTCAAAATCTCCTAAAAATTTTTATGCCAAAATCAACCCTTCATACCACACACACACTTCATGCGCCTTCAGAACCCGCACTCATAAGAGAGCCGGCGGCAAGAGAGCGCTGATAACGCGGAGAGTTGGCAGGAAATGCAATCGCCCCTTTCTTCGCTCCCTTCAGCTGATTCTCGGACCGAAAGAGAAGCAAGAGTTCGTTGAAAAGCTGAGAGAGGCCGGGTTCTTCTTTTTTCTATTCTGGTTGCACGTGAGAGCCGAAAATAAGTCAGAAATTTTGCGCCTTTAAAGGGTTTCCTACCTTTGTTTTAATGTAGTTTTCATGGGTTTCGGCTCGTTTCTTGGCTTTAGGGGGTTGGAACGATTGTTCGGCCGTTATTGGCCCCAGGTGTTGCTTTAATATGTAAGGCGAACAATTTTTTGTTTCTTAAAGTTGCGCACTTAAACTTTTGTTATCATCTATACTAATTTTAAACCATCTTTTAAACAATTTGTAACAAAGTGATAGTAAGAAAGTGTATTGCTCTCCAATTTAGACAGTTTATAAAAAATTGTTTACTTTAGTATTCTTTTGCTTTTTACACGTTAGAGAGCTAGCTATTGATCGCAAACATAGCCTAGTCTTCTGTTGTATAACTATCTGATTTTCTATTTGAATAACATGACAATTGGCTCAATGGTACCACTTTTCCTTTTTGAAAAGCTTGAAATAGACTGTACCAGTTTTCATTTTTGATCAACATAAAAATTAGCTCATTCGTACCATTCTTAATTTCTGGATCGCTTGAAAATAGAGCTCACTGAACTAGCTTTTCAGTTTTGACCAATATAAAAATTGGCTCACTAGTACCATTTTTCATTTTTGAATCGCTTGAAAATAGCTCTTTAGTATGACCCTCAATAATAGGACGTCATCTTTATAATGACAGCCTTCTGAATGCCATTTTTAAAAAAATCCTATTAATTATTACCTGGATAGTGTAAAACCCGAGTAATAATGGCACCTTGGTTAAGTTCATTGAGTGTCATAATAAAGAGGTCTGACTGTATCACTAATTTTTTCTTGAAACATACTATCCATAATACTCATATGCCAATCCATCCTTATTCAAAGCTGCAATCGATGAGCTACATTAAAAAACTAACCTGTCTTATAACAAACTGTTATCAAAACGAAACCATAATAATTAAAAATAAATTTTTTTCAGGTCAAAATGCCGTCGGCTTCATCCTCAAAAGCTTCGGTTGAGTCAGACACTGTCGACACCTTCGAGATCGTAGAACACCTCGATACACTAAAACTAAGCCCAGAAAAGATTTTCATGGCAAAAGTTGCCAAATATGAAGAAAGAGCATGCAGATACTACGATAGAGGTTTGGAACGCGTTGGTGAACACAAACTACAAATCCAAGGGTATTTTGAAGAGTACAAGAGGGTAAGCTATAATTTAGTGCAATATGGTACAAAGTTTCCGTTTAATTTGTTTACTGATGGTTTACTAATCGTTTTGGCCAGAAATATGTATATCACAGAGTAAATTTTAGGACAAGTATTAGATTGTTCACATAACTCTGTGCCTCCCATCGTCAAAAAATCGCTGTGAAAAAGGACACAGAATTATTTGAACAATCTTATATCAAAAATTCCAATGCAATATAATACAAAACTTAAAAAAAATTTTCAAGAATCTTAACTACAACAACCTTTTAGACCGTAGAAAAGTTTGTGACAGAACTAAGCTGGCGCATGGAAAACGACTGGTTGATTGAGCCAGAATACAGTGAACACATTGAACCTCAATACTACAAACAACATCGCCTATTAGCTGAACTGTACGAAATTTTGAAAGATGTTGGAGTTGGTGAAGATGCCAAACAATTGCAAAAGATAATGTACCACAAAGCTCTTAACCTAAGCATGAACACCTCACACCTTTCGTCCAATACGATCAAAGAACGAAAAGTTAGACCTGCCATTTTTGATAAAGAAGAACGTGAAAGTGATGATAGTGCTGTATGTAGCGAGGACGAAGATGCTAAGCGAGAGAGGGATAAACAAGTGATCAACACGGTAAATTGTAAACGAACTTTTTTGTATTGTAATGACATAGCAACGTAGATAGCCTCATAGGCAAAGTAATATAACAATATATTCTATAAAACCAAGGTTGATTAAAAAAGACAGTCTTCCTATACAATGTAAGACAATATAAGGTAAAGACGCTAAATATGATGCTACCAATACAACATATAAACCTCAAATCATTCGAATACCCATTTACAGGGCCTTGACATCATCAAAAACTTGTTCGCAACAACGACAGATCGTCTGTTCTTTGAGCTACAACAGATTCCAAATTTCGATGGCTCTGATGTGTGTTACCGTGAACATAATCGAACGTTCGTATCGTTCTTCGATCACATAAAACGGTGGGAACGATTCTTGAGGGTGCGATACCACTGGTGGGTGTCTATGCACAGAATCATGAGGTAAGTCAAAGTGATAAGTGTAGAATGGTATTAAGGGTAGAGTAATTTGTAATCGCTATATATATAAGGGTTTCTTTGATCCCAATTAGGTTTAAATCGACCGGGTTTTGATCGATTTAAACCTAATTTTAAAGAACCAAGCCTAATTTATGAACCTAACTTCCCTACTTTTCAGCGACGGCTCCATTGACGACCGCTTCACTCAATACTTTGATTCATTCCGCAGATTCAACAAAGATGCATCTGAAATTTGTCTTGCCAAAGGCTATGTCCAAACTTTGTGTGCGCATTTGGACGAGTGTTCAGTCGACAATCTCAAATCGACCGTTTTTGACGAGCTTTTCAAACACAATGATCATCATATTCACAGTACCAATTTGGAGGTGATTGGAGCTAGCATCTTTGATTTGGGTCTCATATTCAACAAATTGAGGAATCTGACTGATATTGATGAGGTTGCTGATGATCGGCTCAAGGTTTACATCAATGAAGGCTTGAAGATTGCTATTAAGGAGGTGTACATGAGGTTTTTGAAGGTAAGTAATGAAGATGTTAAGGTAGTATTTAGGTTATTTACCTAAAAACATGACAGTAGTATTCAAAGCTCTTACTTATTAACGTTTCCTTTGACATTCTCGTCTAGTAGCATCTTCTTTAGGTCGTCCTTTATATAAAAATTATTATAGTAGTACTAAAAAAAGCAGAAATTTTAAAAAAACTTACTTCAAAAAATTCCAGTTAAAACTCCTGTACCGCCGTACACTTTTGATCCTGGACGCTCGTCTTCACGATATAAACGAAGACATTAACGTGTACAGTAAATGGCTAAAGTGGGCTCAGTCTGACGAATTGGAGCTGTCCAAGATGCCAGCAATTGAGACTTTGGAAGTGGAGGAGAAGTTTTATCGTAAAATCGATGATAAACTTAAAACATTGCGCACGGTGACTCAGAAACTATGGAAGGCTGATCGTGCAGTCAAAAAGTGTATTGACATGTTGAAGGATTCTTGAATTAATACTTATTTGGAATGGTCGTTTAGGCTTTGACAATTTTTGTGAATTGGTCTCTGAAGCTTGCTCTGTATCTGTTTTGTCCAATTTTTGTCAAATGGATCAGTTTTTGTGTGAAGTTATTACTGAAGTGTCAATTGTTTGCAACATGATGGCATGAATATTCAAAAACAAGGGTAATCTTTTACTTGGGTTCTAATCATTTTTAGCTTTCAAGCCATAGTCTTCAACACCTAAAACAATATTAAAAGTCTTCCTTCTTGTAAATCGATAAAACTGATCCATTTGTCGTCTTCAAAGCCTAAAACAATATAAAATGTTGACTTACTTTAAGTCGGTAAAACTAATCCCTTGTTTTGACTTAATATTGTTAGAGTCTAAAATTGTGCAGAAAAAAACTGAAAACTTACTGCAGTTACTCAAATTCTTTATCAATTGTAATGTAACTTCACCTTCTTGACTTAAAATTGTCCCTTCTTTAGTATGAGCTTATGAATTCTTTTAAAAAGTCCCTAGAGACAAAAGAAAAATTAGTCAAACTTGAAGGAATCACCTGTAAAAGGCCGTACCAAAACTTTAGCAAGACTTACCATAACAAAATGTGTAAAAATAGCGAAAACATGCCCAAAAACCATTTTTTACGTAATTTTTCAACATTTTTTTCAATTTTTTACTGTTTTTACAGTCAGCCGTATTGTACAGCCAATCCACTAGCTTTTAGCCAACTTTTTAGCATTTTTCTTTAGTGACAGCTAGTTTAGATTACCGAGAATATATTACCAATACTATGTAATATCTTAAACTCCTTGATGACAAATAATCGACCAATGGTTGAATATGAAAATTTTGAACCAAAGTTCATTCCCCTATATAACCTCAATGTACATTACTTGTTTTAATCAATAAATAACTCATTTTGGAGTTGGGTATTCGTATTTTAGCTTTTTAATGATCATTTTGTAATTTTTAAAGTAAAAATAAGTTGCATTTTAAAAATTTTTTAAATTTCAAAAAAATTTTAAATTACCAAAAAATGTTAATCCAATGTCCCAAATTTTTTTTCATAACCATTAAACGCCCTTAAAAATCCCGAAACACCACAAAAAATCAAAAAACATCGATGCCTACCTCAATACTCCTTGTCCCAAACACGTTCCATCGTATAACTTGTCTCCCTCGCCGTAGATCAACGTAAAAACTAAAAACCAAGCAAAATTAACATAACATAAGCAAAACAAATCACAGAAAACAAAACAAACAGGTACACAGCAAACGGAACTACACGTTTTTACCAAAAAATCTAGTTGAACACATTCGATGGTATAAAATGGGACTTTATAAATAACCGTTAATAAATCAACAATATAAACAAAAGAAATATAATTATGATGAGAAAATAATTAATACCAATACAATTTGACTAATTTGATAGATAAAAATGACATAACCAAACCTATTTTATTAAAAAATTGCATTTTTCTTCAACATCTACTACAATAACATCGTAAATTCAATATAAAATATAATTTTATAAGTTTTGATAGCCAAAAGTTTTAAAAATGCAATTTTGTAGGACTAAAGAATCTAAAACAACATAAAATTTGTCAGTCAAATCAAAAAATATCGCCTCTCATCAAAAAAATCATATCTTACATCTACAACAATATGCTTTTGGTCATAAAATAAATTTCTACCTCTGTAATAAATTCATTTGCTGCTTCAACACTAAAAAAATGACAAAGCCCATCTATAAAGTCATACTTAGATCAAACAACATAGCCTTCCTCAACAAAATCAGTCTCTACATCTAAAACAATATAGTTTACTACCCTTTAAAGGCACTCTCTGACTAATAATTAATAGATCGTTGAATGGCTTCGATAACACGCCATTTCGTAGGTAGGTATATTGGCTCAAAGACGTGTGGGAAAGGTGTGTCCCATCCACAAACTCGTTCGACTGGGGATTCTAGGTTCAGGAAGCATTCTTTTTGGACTGTCGAAGCGACTTCGGCCGCAAATCCCGAAGTTAGCGGAGCTTCGTGGGATACCAACAATCGACCAGTCTTTACCACACTCTGAAAGTGAATTTTTGTCAGTATATAATATGTCGTATTTTACACCTTAGACCAGCTAAAATAATTTCAAAAAACTGATAGTATAGCCTACAAAAAGGTCCAAATCATCAAAAAACAAACTTTTTCAAAATTACAGTAACCCACCTCACAAACCGTCTCCACATCCCAAGGTAAAATGCTCTGTAGATCAATAACCTCACAAGACACGCCCATTTGGCTTTCGGCGATTTCGGCCGCTTCTAACACAACATGAAGCTGAGTGCCCCACGATACCATGGTAATATCCGTGCCCTGCTTCAGAACTTCGGCCTTTCCGATTTCTACTGTGTATGGTGCTTTTGGTACCTCTTCCACCGCGTTTCTGTACAAAACTTTTGGTTCGAAGAAGATGCAAGGATTCGGGTCTTTGATACATGACAACAGCAGTCCTTTGGCTTGAATTGGTCCTCTTGGTACTACTACCTAAAAAATATGGTTTAATTTAGCTTTTAGATCAAAGACAATATCATATTGCCCCATATTATGCACAAAAACATCAATTTTCAACCAAAAAACCTTAAAAAACTCTACTACAATGTAAGACCCCTCCAAAACCCACTTTCAATCCGGGTGTATGACTAAAGTAAGCTTCAGGACTTTGTGAATGATACAATGCTCCATGTCCAACTGCTCCCCAAGTCGCACGAACCGTCAAACCTCCACATTCGAACAAGTTCCCCGTCCTATACCTATATTTCGCGGCTTCATTTACAAGTTGATCAAAAGCTGGAAAAATATAGTCGCCAAATTGAATTTCAGCTATTGATGTGCTGCCAGCAACTGCCAGCCCTATTCCAAAGCCAGCAATTCCTTGTTCACATAGAGGTGTGTTAAAACATCGGTCTTTGCCGTATTTGTCGGCTAATCCAACAGTGCATCGAAATACTCCACCGAATGCTACGTCTTCTCCGAATACACAAGTTGTCTTATCAGCTTCAAGAGCTTGATGTAGAGATTGATTTATCGACTGACAGAGGTTGATCTTTTCGGTTTCACCTGAAAACAAAAAATTGAGTATAGAGGTTGTCTAAAACAATATAAAAGGTGACTGAGCAGTGCTACCGTGATAAAAACCGTTTTAAAACCTCACACAAATCCTTGGCTATATTTCGTAAACCATCGCTGTAACTATATATAGTGGTATTCAAAAGTTATGCCCAATAGAACTCGTCTTACCCATCATTACCTACACCCATAAGAAACAACAACAAACCTAGGCTTTTTTTAGACCAAATCAATATCCTAATCCATCACAAAACGTTTATTAAACACTAATAAAACGTTTTTGTTTAAAAATTTGCCTAAATTAATAAAAAACTCAAAAGTTATGTCCATTTTCCCTCATTCATATCGCATCAGTACCTAAACCAACAACAAAATAAGGCAAAATAAAACGTACCCAAGCTCGGATCCGCTGTAAATGGCTGGAATTTAAAGTGAGACGAGTATCGGACAAACTTCTGTGATTTGCTTGGCTTCAGGATCCTCGCAGCCAGCATTGTGACCCTGAAAACGACCAAATTATATTGTCTTAGATGCAAGTTGCGCGAATTGAAATAACTTTCAATTTTTGTGATAATCCAGAGCTTTTTTATGTTTATGTTTGAAACTATAAAATATAATCAATTAATGTAGTAGAAACGTTTTTTTACATAAATTTATCAAAAGGATATTAAAACCATCACGTTTAGATAAAGAATCTGTCAATTTCCGCGCAAAAAATAATATTATAGTAGAGGAACGTTAAAATTAGATAATTTAAAACAAAGCACGTGGAAAATGAAACAGACCATTAAATGAAAAGCGTCAGGATGGGCAACTGACCCGTCTTTATCGTCTCCAACAAATTTTTCCAAAAACAATTTGAGAAAAATTAATTATCTGCGGCCCGCGCCCTCGTTTCCCATAATTCTGGACTCCTTGGCCATTCTTATCAGTTGTTTAACCTTCTTAGGCAAATAAGTCTAGATATCAATGTAAGTTATAAAGTAATTTATGTCTCATAGTTTTAACTCTAATATACTTGAATATCAGCGATCTAGCCATTAAAATCTTCAAGATATATCAAAAACAGTGGATAATATATAGATTTTCAAGTGAAAAGACTAAAATTTGATAAGAAAACTGATGAAAAAGATCTTGAAAGTGTTTGAAAAACGTGAATCGAAGGTTCAATGAACTTTCCAACATAAGCTTTCGTATCATTCGGCTGTTGTAATACTTTTTCTTTTTGACTTTTGGTCGAACGTCAAGTGTAATATAAAAAATTATTTCATTGTAGGCTAAAAATTGGCAAAAACTTTGCTCTCATACTTTTGAAAATAGCACTAGAGCATCAGAAAAGATTATACTAGCAATAAATAATGACGTAAAATAGAAAAAAACCGCTAAAGCAAGTATAACATCGTAAATGTAAACTATAACAAACTATCCCATCTATCGTTTAATATTTTACTCGTTTAACAAAGCAATTTCGTGATAATAAGAAGCATTAAGGTCATGGATAAACAATATATTACGGCAGAAAAGTTTTGTCGTTTTTTCTTCTTTCAAACAATGAAAACCGACGACAAGACTTTTTCCGGCCCTAATAATAAAAAAAAATGTAAGATTACTGTTTAAGAAGTTACTGTATACACTATTAGTGTGAAAAAAGTTACTGTAAACACTATTAATGTGTGAAAAATATAGGAATTTATGGCTGAATAACAATGATGCGATCATAACACAGGATACCTGATGGTGTTGTTGGTGAATTTACATAACTCGTTTTTAAAAATTTTGGGAATTAAAAAAAAAGATAAGAATAGGCTTAAAAATGAAAAAACAAAAAAATAAAAGTAAGATTAAAAGAAAAATCAATTTAGGCTTAAAAGATGACTTTAAGCTTAAAGAAGGACTTTAAGCCTAAACAAAACACAAAAATTAGGCCTAGACTATCGAATATTAGTAACATTACCCCTAAAGATAAAAAATAGGTAATATTATGTTGTTCAAATAATTCTGTGCCCCTGACCCCAAAAAATTTGCTTTGTAAAGGGCACAGAATTATTTGAAAAGTCTTTCAAAGTTTTCCGCCATTTTTCAGTGAAAAATCAATTTTTCAAAACAAAACTGATATAAATAATGCCAGAAAACATTAAATATTACCTAAAAAAGCAAACACTTACAAAGGTTAATATACAAAAACAGGCATAGTTAAGTAAAATGTTGTACAAAAAGGTGTGGTTCGACTAATGTGTCCAAAAGTAGATAAAAATGACGATAAAGACAATAATCTACAATAATATTTTTAAAAAACTATGAAAATCAGGTCAGATAACATTAAAAATGACATTTTTAGCTTAAAAACGGCAAAAAACGCCACTTTTGACAAAAATTTTAAAATTTCAAGTATGCAAATTTCAAAAAAAATTGAAATATGCAAATTTCTAGAACTTTACGACTTCATCTTTCGGAAAACCGGAGAATAGGGCGGATTTCTGGACGGTTGGTGCGAAGCGGACCGTTTGGGGGGAGGAGATTCGATTGGTCGGGGCTGAGGGTAAGTTTTGCCTAAAAATGCCATTTTATAAGTGATTAGTATTGAAAAATGGCATTCTATTAGAATTTTAAAGCTTTTTCTTTCGTTTGCTTACCATCTTATACCTAATTTAAAAAATTTAAACAGTTTAAATTAATTTTTAAAATCAACACCCCTTAACCACTAAATTAAACAAAAACTACCCTACCTAGCCTTGGGTTTAGGTGGTACACCTGGAGCCGCGTCCAATTTATTGCCGTTTTCATAATCCATAGTCCTTCGTTGTTCGATTGAGATTGGCAGTTCGATTTCGGTCGATTCTCGTTGAGGGTGTTGAGCCGAGCCGACCAGACTATTATTGATGTACTGACAGCCTGGACGGCCGTTCTTCGGGGGTAAAGGTGGAGCTGAGTGTTCAAAATCATCGGCTTCGAATGAGTTACCGTATAGTGACTGAGCTCGGATTACTGTGGCTTCGGTTTCGGCCGAAGAAGATCGCTGAAATTTCAAAATTTAAAAAATATCGTAAGTTCAAAATTTGAGCAACAAATTGAAAAACTATGTTTAGAGTAGCATGAATAATCTAAACGTAACCAAAAAGTTCAGAATCTTCATCAAAAAGCTTTTAATTATGATAAAAATCACTTATTTCCTCAAATTTTGCCTACTACAATATAATAAACATCTAGTTTTTCAGTTTATTCTTAACTCAAAACAAAACATATAATTCTTGGAACCTTTCACAAGTTTTTCAAACTAAACTTTCAAAATAAAAGTTCAAAAATTAAAGAAACTCATTAATTTCATCAAATTTTGCCTACTACAATATGACTAGCTGCTGATTTTTTTAAAGTTAGTACTAACTCAAAACAAAAAATATACTTTTTAAAACATTCTTCACACTTTTTTAAAACTAAACAATCCAAAAAAACCGTTAAGAACTTTTAGAAACCACTCATTTCACCAAATTTTGCCTACTATAATCTTATAGCTTTCCCTAGATCTATACTTGACACAAGACAAAAAATACAATAACACAATCTATTCTAAAGTCTTATCAAAACCTATTATCAAAAAAAAATTTTTTTTTAAATTCCCTTAAAAAACACCCCCAAATCAATAAAAGTAGTCCCTTACCCTATCAAATTTGGGCGATCCATTAGGCAGAGGCGAGGTCCTTTTCAGCACATCCCCACATTCTACCAGTAATTTGTATGCTTGTTGTGCTTCGTTCGTCCATTCCTCTTTTTCCTTTTGTTCTTTCTCATCCTTCTCATCGTCTTTCTTGAATTTCTGTGAATTCTGAAGTTCTTTGGCCAGTTCCTTGGCCGCTTTCTTGTGTTCCGAGTCGATTCGCTTCAACAACTTCTGGCATTCTGAATCTTTTAGTGGTCGTACCACGGATTCTGATGATGCTTGTTGATATTCATCGACGGGTTTTTTGGGTACGGGGCTTTGGGGGTGGTAAAAGGGGGGCGGGTGTCGCTGTAATCGCCAATGGTTGAGATAGAGAAGTCGGTTATGTCCTTTTGGAGGTGGGTTAGGACCTCGTCGAGAGAGGATTGGAGGGAATTGGCTTCTGGGAACACTCTGAAATTGAAAAAAGTTTTAAAATTTTAGACGCAGTATTACAGATTTTAAAGGTAAAGGTATAGTAACAAGAGAAAGATTAAAGTTAATCATCAGTCCTTCTATAAGAAGTGGCCTATACCATATGAAAGAAAGTAAAAAGTTATGTTACAAACAAGTATTTTAAGTAGCCCATAAGACCTTTAGTACTAGTTATGTAAGTTCATAATTGAAGGTATAATCAAGGTTCAAAGTCGGAGTAGGGCAGGATATATACTGTACTCTATGAACCGTATGGGTAGGAGTAGAAGATAGAATTAAAGGTAGGGGTAGAGGTAATGGTAGGGGTAGGAGTAATGGTAGGGGTAGGGGTAGGAGTAGGGGGTAGGGGTAAAGGCAGGGGTATGGTAGAAGTATAAGTAGGGGTAGAAGTAAAGAGTAAAGGTAAGGGTAGAGATAGGGGTAGGGTAGGGGTAGGGGTAGAGATAAAGGTAATCCTAAAACTTCAAAAAACGAAAACTCTTACGCAGTACTAGCAGAATGGTCTATAATAAAGTCTCCAGACGTCGTAACACTTCTATGCCTGGGGTAATCACCTTCATTCTGGCTTCTTTCTTCAGGGAAACTGTTTGTTCTCAACGGGAAATGAGTTTTTTCTAGATTATCATGCAAGTTTTGGCCATTTTTCATGTTGTTATCATAAACTTGCTTATGATTCTTGGCTTCTTCATCTATATTTATTCTATTTTGGCCATTTTCTTGCCATTTCTGAGGTCTTTCTATTGAGTTTTGTCCGTTTTCCGACCATTTTTGCCCATTTTCCACCGAATTTTGCCCGTTCTCCTGCCATTTCATACCTCTCTCCATTGAATTTTGTCCATTCTGCCCAAATTTACCATTTTGCCCACCTTGACCATTCTGCACAGCCCAGTTTTCGGTCGATTTTTGGGTCGGTTTGATCCGAGCCGCCGGTTTTGGCGGTAATGCCGGAGGCGATGCGCATTCCTGGTTCGGCTTCGGGAATCTCAGTGGAATATCGTAACCATTGCGTAGCATTTGCTCCGTATCATAATTATGTTTCAGTGAGGATGTTGTGGATGATGTGCCTGACCGTGAGGGTGATATTGAGGATGTTGAGCTGTTGTGTTGAGAAGCTGCCAATGAAGCGGTATCGGAGAGACCGATGAGTGGAGAGATCGTCGATGATAAGTCGTTTTTGTTCACCTGAAATTGAAAATTGAGACTAGTAAACATAATGCCAAGAATTTGAAAACATGGCGGGAATTCAAAAATTTTTAAAAATCATCAAAAATTAAAAGTTATTCCTTAAATATAGTAAAAGAAGTCTATATTTAAGCACCAAACATCTTTTATTAGACATAGAAACTTATTGAATACGCTGAAACACAATGCCAAGACTTTGAAAATTTGGCGGGAATTTAAAAATTAAAAAAAAGTCAATAAAAAATCAAAATTAAAATGTTGAAACCATTCAAATTCATTATTTTAGTATTTTAAACCTTAAGTTAGGTCTTGCAATACTTTTTCAAACAAAAATTTAAATTTTATTTTTCCCGCCAAATTTTAAAAATTTTGGCATTGGGTTGCAAGGCCTTTTAGTGACTTTTTATAGTGTTTGACATGCTTTTAAGACTGAAAATTATCTTTAATAATAATACATTTCAAATTAAAAGTTTAAAACGCCATATTAACCTACATGAACCAGTCCGAAAACACTTCCATCAATACCAATGTGACAAGTGTGTCTCAAATCGCCTTGAGGTTCGCTTATCAGTAGTTTTTTCTTCTCTTTATCCAGTGATTTCTGCGAGTTTTTTCGGCCGATCAGTGACATTCGTTCCTTTTTCGCTTCTGGTACTGCTACCGTGTTTTGGTACAGTGGTAATGGTCCTAATCGTGGAGCATTGGTCGGGTTTTCTGCTCCAAGATATGCGACTGTTTCGGCCGGTTTGAAGAGACCACAACGTCCTTGGCGTGTTGCACCGTGCCAATAAATGTTTTCACCGGTTACTGGGCTGAAAATGGCAAGAACTTTCTTTACAAAATGTAAAATGGCAAGCATTTTCTTTACATAACGTAAAAATGCAACAATAAATTTCTTTACAAAACAAAAACTAGCAAGAACTTTATTTACAAAGCAAAAAATAGCAATAACTTTCTTTACAAACGATAAAACGGCAATAACTTTCTTTCCAAACCATAAAATAGCAAGAACTTTCTTTACAAACGATAAAACGGCAATAATTTTCTTTCTAACCCATAAAATAGCAAGAACTTTCTTTCCAGACGATAAAATAGCAAGAACTTTCTTTACAAAACATAAAATGGCAAAAACTTTCTTTCCACTTCCGAAATTTCAATTTTTTTAAAAAACCCAATAAAATGCCAAAATCAATCTTACCACTTGTCCAACAATATGATAATGTCGCCTTTATCGAACTGCAGCTGCATCGGCTCTTGATTGTGACATTCCGTTACGGAAACCAATAACTGAGGCATTAGGTCGGGGATTTGGTTGATAATGTCCTCGAAAGTCGGTCGATCCGCCGGCTCATGTGACCAGCACTTTTGCATCATCGTGTAAAAGTCGTGAGGACAAAACTCGGGGCAATCCAAGGTCTTTCTTTGGGTATCAATCGTGTGTAATATCTGAAAGGGTGAGTTTGGTTTTGTTTTAGGTACTATAATATAAAATTAAAGTTAAAGTAACCAAGATTTTTGAAAAATGATATACTTTAACTCTTTTTCAACTTAGTCTTATCGGAACTTTAAAGAATTTTTAAAATTTAAAGAAAAAAGCACTGTGCAGCTTGCGGGTGACAAGTTATACGACGAAACGTCTATACCAAAATTTTTTATTAAAAATAGACTCATACGATAGGAGATGTCTAAATAATAATATATCAATATGTTAAATCAAAAAAGTGCAATTCAAAACGAGCTCATCGTATAACATGTCACCCGCAGTCTGCACAATGGATTTTTCTTTAAAATCGAATTAAAATTTGTCCAATCTTTAAAAATCTTTAATTATATTAATAAATAAATTATAAAAATTAAAATGGCATTACATTTTTCAAGATTACCATTAAGTTTCAATAAAACAGTATGACCTTAACCTACTATAACATAAAATTCTATTTTTTTTGAAAACATAATATGTACTAAAATATAATATTAAAACCTATATATTACTACAATATAACTTCAAAACCCATTCTTCCTAACTCTCACCTGACTTCCAGAATACCCTTTCCAAGGCATTTTCCCGTACGAAAACATCTCCCACAAGGTCACACCATAAGCATAAACATCAGAAGCCGGAGTGAACTTCAACAAATTGATGGCTTCTGGAGAGCACCATGCTATCGGTAGCTTCATTGTTGATGTGAACTCCGACCGGTAATAGTCCTCACTAATCCCTAGCGACCTCGACAGTCCAAAGTCAGATATCTTGACCTGGCTAGGTGTATATACGAGCACATTCCGAGCTGCCAGATCTCGATGCACCACCTTCTTCGAATTCAAATAGTTCATGCCTCGGGCGATTTGAAGGGCAAAGTCACAGAGTTTGTCCACGGCATACGGCAGATCTCCAGCCGGTTTCCGAAGACATTCCAATAGTGATCCGTATAAGGCAAGTTCGGATATTAACATAACTGCTTTGGTGTCTAACACTATGCCATACATTCGTACTAGGTTCTCGTGCTTCATTTTTGACATTACGGCCGCTTCTTGGATGAAGCAGCTTGGGTTGGCTTTGAGTTTGTCTGGGAGGACTCGTTTTATGGCTACCTAAAGATACACATCTGAATCTTAATAACAATAATGCCTATTTTTTGGAACTTTAACACCTTTTTCCATTCTTAATACCTAATTTTATGGCTTTTTGCTACACAAATTCTCGAAAAATCCTAAAAATAGAAAAAATCCCCAAAAATCAAAATTTCTGTTCAAAAACTCCCAAATTCAAAACCTAAAATACCCCTGAAACAACAAAAAACAACCCTTTCCTACCACAAACCCAAAAATAGTACCAAAAAGCAATAGAAAATGCGAAAAAAGCGTGCGCCACTTGAGCTTCCAAGGACGTCTCCGATCCAAGTACTAATCAAGCGCACCGTTGCTTAACTTGCCAGATCGGACGGGATGGCGTGCGTTCAACGGGCTATGGGCGTACACGACTCTTTCTCTTTCCTTTTCGTTCCCTTTCCTTTTGGGGCTGATTAGTGGGTTAAAGGAGGTAAGATAGAGGTAATAAAAGTGTAGCTGCAGGGGTAAAATAGGATTAAAAAGAACTTTTTTAAGGCCCACTTGCCAAAATTAAAACAATAAAAAATTTTTCAAATTTATATCATCTGATTCTTCCCACTTCATTTCTTCTACTTACCTCTTCCCCAACATAATAACTAAATCCCCCTTTCCCCACATTTTCAACTCTGTTCCCATACCTACCTGAACCGAGTTCCCATCAGGTAGATTCCAAGTCCCTTGATAACAAATGCCGAACTCTCCACGACCCAGTTCCCTACATAACTCTACCGAATCAGGTGATATGACATGTTGTTCATCTTGATCCAGATAGCTCGAGGTTGTAGGATTGACTTCAGAATGCCTGGCTTCTGATTTTCCAAAAACTTTTCGAAGTTTAACGTAAAACGAAGAGCTTTGCTGGTTGTTCAGAAATCGATTCTGTTCTCGACGAAGTCGTTTTTGTTCTGGTCGAGACATGCCAATCTCGGTTAGGTCCTTCTCTTCTGTATATAAGAGGTCACCGGCATGTCGGAGCTTCAGCACCGTGCGAAGTTTGTCATGATATCTAGAAAAAATGGATCAAAACGTTAAAATTGTCAAAAAATTATTATTTTAGGTATGAAATTTTCCAAAAAATGACTTTTTATTGAAAAAAATTGTATTTTTCAGCCTTGTAAAGAAAGTTCTTGCAATTTTACACTGTAAAAAAGTTTATTTTATCGCTTAGAAACAAACTGTAGCACTTAACAGCTTGTAAAGAAAGTTACTGATGTTTTAGGTTCGTAAAGAAAGTTATTGCAATTTTAAAGAAAGTTCTTTCCATTCTTTGCTTAATTTAGACCTTATCTTACCTTCTAAAAGCTTTTACTATCCTTCTAACCCGTTTTCCTTTTCGAATTTTCATAGTTCCGGTAACAAACGAACTAATAAGTAGACAAACAAGCTCCCACCAACAATGTTAACACATAACCATGTAAAACAACATCAACTACCACTCAAGAATTAGAATGAATCAATCGGAACACAGATATTACACTGTAAACGCTGTGTTCGTTTTGAATTATCCAATGTTCAGTTATTTTCCGTTCCGAATCGCTGTTACAACGTGAATTCACGTTGAAAAACCGAGCCATTGACGTCAATGGAAGATGTTTTAAAGCCGGTTTTTATAATTTCAATATCTATTTTATAAAATTTTAATAGACAAAAAGCTATTTTAGATATTATAGTATATTATCATAACTATAACATAATAACATAGCCGGCAATCCAAAGATTTTAAAGAATTGAAAAAAATGGCAAGAACTTTCTTTACAGAATGTAAATTAACGAAAACTTTTTTTACGTAACTTAAAATGGCAAGAACTTTCCTTACAGAACGTAAAATAACGAAAACTTTCTTAACGTATCTTAAAATGGCCAAAACTTACAAGAACTTTCCCTATAAAACAGAAAATAGCAAAAACTTTCTTTACAGAACGTAGAATGGCAATAACTTTCTTTCCAGTACCTAAAAATCAAACAACAATAAAAAATAATAAACTTACTGTAACAAATCGGCTTCCTTCAGTATCACATACAGATTTGGCGGCTGACCGTCCATGGGATCGGCCGCCGGGTCTTTGGACCTCATAAAACGGCAGGTTTGGTCGATTTGAAGTTAAACTTGAATCTCGTCCTAAAATTTCAAAAATTAATTTTAAAATAAAATACTGGTGTAAAATACGACAATGTTAGTAGAGATTAAATTAAAAAACTCTCGATATAAGAAACTTTCCCTATAATCAACGTTCAGTCAAGATGCCATTACTTTTCACAGCAAACTGTTAACCTTATGACATTACTATGTTATCACACGATAAAAGTTTGTTCACGCGAATTTGATAACGAAACGGTAATAAAAACATTAAAAAACACAAAAAAATCAGTGATAAAAGAGTCCATTCAAGGCTATTTATTGCTCAGTGTTTTGTGTTTAACCAACGTATCACGAAGAATAGCAAAATCATAGTAAAGTTTTTGTGTAAAAAACAGTTTTACGAAGTCAAAAAATCATTAAATTTATTTAAAAATGACAAAAAACAGTTAAAATAAGCCTAAAAGCCTTATATATAATTCTGATAAAACCAGAAATTTTAAGACATTTCTCAGTTTTTCTAAAACACCAATAACTTTTTTTAAAAACACTTAAATAAACAGACCACGACACAGTTTTAAGTACCATACTATTAACTATGACTTGTACAAAAAGAAACTTATTCCGTTTACTTTAACGCTACTTATGGCTATTATAAGGTAGCCCCTTCTCCTCATAAGGTTTTTCATAAAACTTTCGCTATAAAACAAAGGTCTTACGTATGTACAGTACTCCCTTATAAAAGCAACCCGTAGAGACCGACATTTCGAGTTTACTATAAGGGGTATTGTCTTTACAGAGAGGCTTTTTAATGCAAATTAACTTGGCGGGGCCAAATTTCTTGTTTACTATAAAGAGAGTTGCTTATACAGATGGTTTACTATATAGGGAGACCACTGTATTTGGTTTCATGATGCTTCTTACAGTAAAATTCTGTTTCTAAGAAGCCCTTGATTACAGCCAACAACCATTCTAAAGAGATTACAGTAAAGCCTCTTTAGTATGACCCTCCATAGTAAGATACACCCTCTCTATAATGACGGTTTCGGAATATCATATAAATTATCATTGTTTGCATTACTATCTGATAACTATCCCCATAACTATCAAATTTACAACCAAAACCCCTTTAAAATCCAAAATTTCTCAAAAAAACAATAAATTTGCATATGACACAAACGTAAGGACATATGATCATAACAGCCGGCTCGCATACGTTTTAAAGTCGCAAAAAACGGACAAAAAATAAACAAAAAACTGCGGAAAGTGATGGTCAAAAGGGATTATTCAAAAATATTGCTCTCCAACCTCTTGTCCTGGTTTAGCGTAACAGATTTTTTTTCTATTTGTTAACAATTGTAATGAGAAATAGTAATTTTCACTTACTCATGGTATTTATTATTAAAATTTTGTTTACAAGCCAATATTTTGGGTATTTTAGGAGAAATTGTACGATAAACAATAATATCTTGTCATCTCTTGCACTATAAAGACAGTGTTTACCATTTTATGTATTGTAAAGAAAGTTATTGCAAATCTTACCCAAAAATCAAGTTTCGAGTTATGTAACCTGTAGTTGACAAGTTATACGATGATAAGCATTTTTTGTTTGTAAAAAAAGGTTCTTGCCGCTTTTTTGCCTTGTAAAGAAAGTTCTTTTATTTTCTGTTTTGTAAAGAAAGTTCTTGCCATTTTTCGTTCTGTAAAGAAAGTTCTTGCCATTTTCTGTTTTGTAAAGAAAGTTCTTTCCATTACAATTTTTTCAGCCCCAAAAATAAAAGCCCCTCCTCATATCTCAAACAATGTAAAATCCCTATAAATCCACTAGAATCCGACCGTTTTTCACATATACTCCCTTTTATGAAACAGAGAGTAAAATAGCCGTAACAAGTAAAGTAAGCCGCGTCCCCTTACTTTTTTAAGCCATTTACTACTCTCCGGAGATGGTTTTGACCCAGTTCCTCTGAAAAAACAACTGTTTTTTGGAAAAAGAATGGCCATTCGGCCTGTTGACCCCAAATAATAAAGCAAACGGGATTAGCCTCACTAATGGCCATTATATATTATAATAGGTCGAAAAGCCACTTCCCAACGCCGTGGTCGGAAATATTCAAGTAGTTTTTGATCTTTAAGGGCGTTTTTAGGCTTTTGATGTCTAAATGACTTTTAATTAAATTAGTTTAGATCTTGTGAGTCTAGCCTAAACCTAAAAAGTGGGCTAATAGGCCCAGCCCCGAGCTAAGCCGAAAAAATTTGAAAAAGGTCGAGCCAAAAAGTTGGGGCCGGCCCAACCCCTTTATAGGTATACTCAAACCCATACTGTTTCATTTTAGCCCCAAAAGTTCTCGGACGGCCTACACCATGCAATACTAAATTTACCCCATAGCCAAAATTTTGGGCATAGTACATTTTTAGATCAAAACAGTATTCAAAATTTAAAATAATGTTGTGTTTGATCAGCTTGCAACAAATATATGCCATTGGTTTGTTATTTGTAACATTAAACAAGCAATTCATCATTTGGAATATAAAGTGGCAGATCTTTTGATTCGTAACTTATGACAAGAAAAGCCTTGAAGATAATATTGAAAATTTGTTTTTTTTTATCATTACAAAACTTTTTACTTTACAGGTTTTTTAGAACGCATATTATAGCTTAAAATTACAAAACTTACTGTATAAAACAAATTACATCAATTAAAAGTGTCAAAATTAAGTTTTTAAGACTGATATGATAACTGAAAAAAGTTTGGAAACACAATGACCGCGCGTATTTTACAAATGCCACAAATTTAAAATCAACATTATTTTTTTATATTGTGATAGACTTATTTACTTCCAAAAAGACTAAAAACAAAAGAAATGATGGCTTTTGGTGTTCTCCGAAGGCAAAACAAATCACAATTGTCTTTAACAACTCAAAAACAACAAAACTTTACTTTTAATCTTCTGAAAACAATAAAATATTTTTGGTCTAACCCATTTTCTTAACTTTTCAATATTGACTTTATACCATAATTGTTCTGTATAGTTTGAAAATTTTTAAATTGTCCTTTTTGAAAAGTAAAAGCCTTTGTGAAAGTAAAAGAAGTCTATTGCAATATGAAAAACATTTTTGCATATAACTATGTAGCATTTGTAAAATACGTATTCAGTTATCACTTCAATTACAAAACCTTAATTTTGACACTTTTAATGGATTTAATTTGTTTTATACGGCAAGCTTACTAATTTTTAAGCTAATCTTATACATCTTAAAAAACCTATTAAAATAAAAAAAATTATAGTGATAGAAAAAAAAAATTTTCAATATTATCTAAAAGGGTTTTCTCGTCATAAGTTATGAATCAAAAGCACTTTATATTCCAAATGATTTATTGCTTGTTTAATGTTACAAATTACAAAGGAATGTCATATATTTGTTACAAGCTGTTCAAACACAACATTATTTTAAATTTCGATTATTTTTGATCTAAAAGGTACTAGAAAAAATTTTGGTTCTAGGTTATAGCCCCAAATGTTTGGCTATGGGAAAAAACTGTTTTAAAAAATTTATTTTTAAGCAAATTTAAGTGGCCTTCATTTAAATTTTAAAATTAAATACCTTTAGGAGTTCATTTGAACACATCCTACTCGTCACTCGAAAGAAAACCAAAATTACCCCTCTCTCAAAAAAAACCTCGTCACCCCTCTCCTATCCAGAAAAAAAACCAAAATAGTTGAACCTCTAGTGAGCTCAATGTATTTTTTATCAATTTCAGCCAATACTTGATTAAGCAAACCCAGTTGAAACATCAAAAACTGAAATTTGAATGTTTGCCCAAGAAATTAATGAAAGCAATGAGCTTATATGACCCCAAAACAAAAAAAACCCAATCCTTCGCATTTTTCCCCACCACAAAATATTGTTCGCTCGTTTAACGTCCGGTTAATACGACGAAAGAAAGAAGAGAAATGAAAAATGTCATTTGTCTATGTGTCTCAATTCCATTTGCTCAAATAAGATCAAGTGATGACCAAGGCAAAACATTAACATGTGCATTAGAGGGCGATGTTCTCTATTCTGTGGGTAATTGTAATGCTGATCCCTTATATAGAGCAGTATGTCACTGTATTGAACATATTAGATTGTTTATATTGTTCTTATTGTTTTAGATTATTTTGTACTTATACTGCACTTATTTCTACTAAAAATGATATTTTTATAGGTTTTATATAAAAATTGATCGTGTTATAAGTTCTAGAGTATTCTACAGGTTTCTTTAGATATTGTTTTAGCTTTTTTGGACCTTCAGTGCTCCTTTTTACCTTGCGAAGCTCAAAAAAAGTTCGTATATGTCTTGAACACCCAACCAAACCCACATTTATATATTGCACACGTAAAACAAAGCTTATTTATAGCTTTTTCAATTAAAAAGCCATCTAAAATACAATCCACAACATTTGCAAACCCACATTTACGCAAAAAAAATTAAAGATCTTCCTCGAAAAGCTCCTATACCAGCTTAAAATACCCCAAAAAGCATAGAAAACCCTTCAAAAGCACGATCAAAGTCACATATATTATCGATGATAAACAATATAATTGATAAAATAACAACAAAAAATCAAAATCCTAACTGTAAAGCCACATAAAAACCATAATATAAACATATATGTGTCGTTTCACTCACAAATTAGAAAAAAAATAAAACAATTTGATGAAACGCCACATTTTTGGCACTCTTCGTTTTCGTGGTGGGACCAAATAAGACAATGCGTGTAAATAAATATTCGTAAATTTAGGTATTATTTTATAACTTTTTAGGTAGTTTTAGATATTGTACACATAAATAGTAGCAGTTTTACCATTTTATTTTCAAAACTTTGAAGCTAGGCTCCAATGAAAATTTAAGGTACCAAGAACTTGAGCAAAAACAACTTTTTCAAAAACTAACAAAACAAAAACATTTTAACAATGAAAAACAAAGTTAACTACTCAAAAACGTTAAAAGCTTCTGCTTTGATTAAATTGAAACCCTTTTTTGAAAAGTTTTGAAAGGAATGACTCATTGAAGGTCAATTTCGCGGCCGTTGGCCCTGAAGGCAAAAAGAAAATCGAAAACAGCCAAAAAACGGTTTGAGAAGAAAATTGTTCCTAATCTTAATATATTATGTGTAAGACAATGGAATGTTAAATGGCGAGGAAAAACTGGAGATCAAAGTTGGAAGTAACGGTTTTTGGAGGTGAAAGTTTGAAAAACAAGCGAATGACAAGGTTAAATTGGGGAAAGTGGAACAAATGCATATTTGCAAATGTAATATTTTTGTGATCTTTTAAATCTATGTTATGATTGTAAAGCTTAATATGGATATCTGAAGCCCAGTTAAGACCACTATAACATGTTTTTTGACACCCATTACCACTGAAACACAACATTTCACGGAACCCAAACAACCATTAGCCGTGAACGTTTAATGTTTACCTTGACATTAGCCCCATTAAAATAGTTGTTATATAAAACGCAAAAGTCATACAATATAGATGAAAAAAGCGAGAGACGACGCCAATCCGATTATCTTTTATTTTTGCGTTTTATACACGCAAAACTGTTACTATGAGTAATGGCGAGTAGTATAATGTATCGTTATGGAAAAAATATATTATAGTATAGTAAGTGACTTTATGACTTGTGTCGCGGTTATTAAAAAATGATTTATAAAATATGATTCAAAAACAAACCCACATCATCCCTTCCTTCCGCCACGCTTCAGTCGCGTGATTTAAACCGTTTAGTAGCTCAACACACGAAATATCCGCTTTGAAATATAGTAGTAGGCGATCAACCTGGTCGTTTTGACATTTCGATAAAAAAACTTTGAAATTTTGGTCAGGTAAGACCTGCGCATCATAAAATGAACTTGTACTCGACCTGTAAAAGGGCCGGACTTTGGTTTAGGAAAGGGCCCCCGGACCTAGACGTGCTATCTGAAAAGACACGTTGTTTTTTACTAGGAAAATTTAGTATAGTTAAGCCTAGTAGGATCTTTAAAGAAGCCGAACCCAATTTTTCGGCACGACCCTTTTCATACTTGCTTTGGCCCTGCCCGGCCCTTTAAGCTTGGGCCCTAAGGTCTTAGCTTGAACCCTAAGGTCATCGCTAGGGCCCTGGTTTCTTAGCTTGGGTTCTGGGGCCTTAGCTTGAACCCAGAGGTCTTAGCTTGGGTTCTGAAGGCTAAGATGAATCCCTGGAGCCTTGGGTTGAACCCTCAGGCCCAAATGTGCAACCTCGGTTTCTGTCTAATTTTCATTAACCCCATTTCAAGCCTAAACTAACCCTAAAAATTTTTTGACAAATTTTATTACCGCCCGCTCCCTCACCCACAAAAAATTCGATTTCTACTACCCCTCCCCTTCCCTACCCCAGCCTCCACAAATAAAATTTTTTTGATGAACCTATGTCAACAGAAAATTTAAAACTCTAGTATGTTTACAATGAAAACAACAATATGGTATATAATCCTATCTGGATATCTATATCCAACCTTATTTTTATAAAAAAAATCCGTTTTTATGCCTTTTTTGACCCTTTTCAAGCCCTTTTTTCGTTTTTCAAAAGTTTTTTTAATCTCTTTGAACCTGAAATGGCATAAAAACAAAGAGCTGATTTATGTTTTAAAAACCGCAAGAACTTTCTTTACAAATTTGAAAAACCGCAATAACTTTCTTTACAAATTTTGAAAAACCGCAGTAACTTTCTTTACAATTTTTAAAAAAACCGCAAGATTTTTTTTACAAATTTTGAAAAACCGCAATAACTTTCTTTACACTAACATTTTTTCAGTTTAAAAACAAAAATGAAAAACGCAAAATAAATACTAGATGAGAAAGGAGCAGTTGAGTAATGACAATCGAATGATCGTAAAGATTGGCCCCCGACAGAGGTGCGATTTATTCATACTTAATGTGCGAGAAGAAAGCGCGCCGATTCCCGGCCATTCCTACCATGGCCCTTTAATGGCAAGACAACCGGAGTTTAATTACAGTGTTGATGCGCACTGTTGATTTTTAAAACCTAAAAAATTTTTAAACAAAAAATCAGAATTCGTGAAGAATAGTAACAAAATAGTGAAAAAAACATATCCCAAGAGCAATATAAAACAACCCTTTCCAACCCCAAACCCAAAAACAGTACTAAAAAGTACCATAAAATGCCAAAAAAGCGTACGCCACTTGAGATTCCAAGGACGTCTCCGATCCAAGTACTAATCAAGCGCACCGTTGCTTAACTTGCCAGATCGGACGGGATGGCGTGCGTTCAACGGGCTATGGGCGTACTCAACTACGTGTCTTTCATTTCCGTTCACTTTCCTTTTAGGACTGATTAGTGAGTTGAAAGGGGTAAAATACGAATAAAAATGGGTATTTTTGGATGTAAAAGTGGCAAGAGCTTATAGAAAATAATTAAAATTAAAATTTTTTCACAAATTTTATTTTTAAAACTTTTTTCGAGTTGAAAACGAAAAAAAGCTCAAAAGTATATGCAAAAACTGTAAAATTTAACGTAAATTACCAAAGTTTTAACAAAAATTTAACAAATTTTTATTTGATATAAAACTTTTTTACCAAAGCAATCATTTAAACGTGTAGTAAAGTAAAAAGTAATGTTTTCCGTAAATATTTATATGGTTGTTTTAGACGTTCCAAAAGGACGGTAATGAACGGTAATTAACAATTTATCATTTTTGAAAAACTAAACGTCTTCTACATTTTGTAAATATTTAGTCGAAATGAGAAAAGCAGGTAAATATAACAAAACTTGTCATCACTCAAAAAAAATTAAATTTTGTCATTAGCTAGGCTTTATAAGCCTAAACTTTAAGCCTACGTCTTAACTTTAACCAGTTATGAGTCGGCAAATTAGAGCCTGAAGCATAACTCCTGTGAAAGCTTAAAACAATAAAAATCATGTAAAAAATACCCTATAAAAACAAAAAAATATTAGGTTGTTTAAATAATTCTGTGCCCCGAATCCTGACAATTTGCTTTGAGAGGGGGCACAAAATTATTTGAAACACCTAATACCTCAATATCACCATAAAAATGCCCCCAAACTAATGAAAAAGTAGAAAGACAAATAGTTCCACCCACTTTCAAGATATAAAATTCAAAATTACTCATGTTCCAACTTGAAATTTTGACACAATCTGTGTTATAAAACTTTTATCAATCGAAAAAATTGCTCCAGACACTTAAAACGCAATGATAACAATATCATGTGAAAGGTTAATCATAACAAAAAAGGTTTAACTTGATGAAACAATGAAAGTTTAGATAACAAATTGGAACTTGTTTTTAAAAATATTTTGACTTTACCCCTCCCTTCCTGAATTTTGTCCGAGAACTTTTGAAAAATCCAATAAATCAAAAAACCGTTCGTAATAACGACAAAGCCTACTATTATATTATTTGCGAGATATGCAAATTTTTCTTCCCGACTCAAAAACGAATCAATTATCGTGTTCGTCAATCTTAATGAGCTTCGTTTGGTTTTTCGACGGATTCGAACCGACCCAAGGAAACATCAAGTTTGACACTGGAATAACTAATATAGGCATAAAAGGGAATTAATTTTACTATATTACATAGTTATGCAAATAAACTAGTACAACTCAATTTTATCAAATCGAAAGTCAAAAATCCTATACTTAATGTTACACTATCTAAAAGCGGCTAAAAATAAAATTAAACACCCCCGAAACAAAATGAAATAACCATACCCTACCCCATCACCAAAAATAATACCAAAAAGTACCATAAAATGCAAAAAATGCGTACGCCACTTGAGATTCCAAGGACGTCTCCGATCCAAGTACTAATCAAGCGCACCGTTGCTTAACTTGCCAGATCGGACGGGATGGCGTGCGTTCAACGGGCTATGGGCGTACACAACACTCTCTCTTTTCTTTTCCTTTTGGAGATGATTAGTGGATTCAAAGGGGTAAAATATGGTTAAAAAGAGGTGTTTTTGGAAACAAAAATGTAAAATTTTTTTAGAATTTAAAAATTTTTCAAAAAATCGTCAGCGGAAACAAATCTAAAAATTAAAAAAAAAATAGTTTAATTGTACAAAGATACCAATAACAATATAACAAGTCAAACCTATTTCAAATATCTTTATTTCAACCCAATCCTAGTACAGCAACCTTAAATAAATTGTTCAGCTCTCCAAATACGAGTAATTTTCAATCAGTTCTTTGATCAAATGACCGTGCTTCGACGCGTACACAATGCAATGTAGAATGGCACGGAACGGTGTGAATACGTTGGTTTTGTCGTGAAATTTCTTCGGCAACGTGACCGCAGCTGAGCATATTTCAGGAGATAGGTCGGGCGAGTCGGTTGAGATCAGGTTCTTGGGTTTGTACATGGCAAAAACGACCGGTAAAATGTAGGTTGGTCGAATGTCTGGTCGAAGGTTGGGAGCGTCATCGACCAGGGCTTCTGTATCCTCAATCTCAGGAATGTCACGGGTTGCTTGGCAGTCGCACATTTCACGGCGTTCCTGAAAATATTGGATTGATAAATAATGTCATATCTTAAAGTTAGGAATAGAGATAACAATAGAGGTAAAGGTAAAGTAAACTAAAATACGGTACATGAAACTTAATCCTTAATATAAATCTTAAACCCTTACCAATCCATCCAAGCTAAAATCATCCGACAAGGTTTTGTTCTCGTGCCATGGTACAGCATTGTACTCGATCTTGTCCTGGTCCGGGTCAAATGTTGCAGAAGGCGAGGTTTTTGATCGTTGTTTCATGGTTCTCGGCCGCTGTTTCTTCCGCATTTCCTTCTTTTTGGCCGCTTCATCTTCAGAAGACAAGCTGGTAAACGTGGAGGCGGTACTGGTTTGGGCAAAGTCTTTGGACGTGTCGGATGAACTCGAGTGAGCAAACGAGGTCGGGTCGGTCGTACCGGACTTGGAGCCAATTTTTGAGCCTAAAAATTAAATTTTTTTACAAAAGTTGAAACTGTAAATTGAGAAGGCTATTGTAAACAACACAACGCTTCTTTAAAAAACAAAAACATTCCTTACAAAAAAAAGAGAGACGAAAACTTTCTTAAAACCCACCTAACAATGTAGTATCCGAGTCCGAGACAGTTGGTGTTGGCGGAGCAGCACCAGTTTTAACTTCAGACTTTTTCGGCAATGGTACAATGTCTTCGGCTTTCGACTTGTCGCCACTTTCAGTTTTATCGCCATCCTTGTAGCTTTGCATTTGAATACTCGACATCGTGCTTCCACTCTCAGCACCGTACCGTGAACTCGTACCCGACCCGGTAGTACCACTCGAAGTGCTACTCTGACTGACTCCTGAATCCGTGCGATGTTGCGTAGAGCTGACACTCGGACTTGGTGGTGCATATCCTGTGGCAACACTCGTGGTTGAGGTTGTGGGAACTGGAGAACGTTGAGCCAACGTGGGATCGTAGTCGGTTTTCACGCCCATTCTGGTCGAATTCACAGTGTTTCGACCGCCCTGAAAGCACAAAAGTTGTTTTCACAGTATTATTAGAATAAAATGTTAATATATAGCCCGATAGCATTTGTGTTTTATCAATGTTAACAAACTTACTCTATCATCGGCCGCCGGGAATAACCAAAATAAGAATCTACTGAATATGCCATTTCGATTCTGAAAAGAAATAAACATTAAACAATACAAAATAGTTTCTAAAATACATTTTTCTACCAAACCTAAAAATAGTACCAAAAAGTACCATAAAATGCCAAGAATGCGTACGCCACTTGAGATTCCAAGGACGTCTCCGATCCAAGTACTAATCAAGCGCACCGTTGCTTAACTTGCCAGATCGGACGGGATGGCGTGCGTTCAACGGGCTATGGGCGTACACAACTCTCTCCCTTTTCTTTTCTTTCCTTTTACTTTGGAACTGATTATTAGGTTAAAAAGGATAAAATACGATGCAATTTACTTTTTGAGAATAAAAGATTTAAAAAATTAAACTACTATCAAAACCCTCTATTAATCTTATAAAAAAACTTTTTCTTAACAATCAAAAGAAACTCACATTCCGATCCCTGAAACGATAATACGCCAAGACGAGCGCAAGCAACGTGGCTAGTCCGCCGACGACCGCAACTTGTTGTTGAGTTGCTGTAGCCATCGAGAAGATTCAGAAGCCGTTTTGAACCAGCGTAATCAAAATCGACCGCCTTTAGAAGTGAAAACGAATAAATAGAAATGAAATTTTGAAGAATTTGGAATGAAAAGTAAAAAATCTGTATTTTATGCAAATTTCTTTTTTGATCTTTTTTTTAACTTTTGGTTTTAAAAAAAAATTTTGAATACATACTACAGCCTGGCTGAAAAAATTATACGTGTTTTTTATATTTTGTAAAGAAAGTATTTGCTATTTATTGCTTTGGAAAGAAAGTTCTTGCCATGTTTTGTTTTGTAAAGAAAGTTCTTGCTATTTTTTGTCTTGTAAAGAAAATTCTTGCCATTTTTTGATTAATTATTAATGTTTCTGTTATTTCTTATGCTGTAAAGTAAGTTTTTGCCATATGTTGTTTCACATCTTTTAATTAACTAATTTATACAGTAATTGAATGTATTCCCAACAGTACTGTAATTGTAATTTACAATAACTCTACATTGCAATTCAAAAAGTAAAAAAATAGTACTGTTTGACGTATGGAACTGGCTTCTTTGACGCTAATTAAACATATTAACTTCTTTATTTAGCATTGCATTGACGCATTTCCAAGAAACTGTCATTAATTACATACGAATAATTGGGCCACATATTGTAATTACTGTCACTTACAATGTACATTTTGTCATGATAAAAGTCATTATTAAGTATTTTGTGGTTTTTACAGTATGGTATGGTCTCTAGATTGAATTTTAAGTTTTAAACTTTCACTGATTATAAAAAGTTTTTGTGGTCTTCCAAAATATGTAAAAAAAGTTTGTTCAGTTTTTTTAATAATGTAAAGAAAGTTTCTGCGGTTTCATAAGATTAGTATAAAGTTCCCACGCTTTTTAAAACTTTATAATATTGCCCTTTATTGTTGCAAAGGACATTTTTCCTTTTGTAAACAAAACTTTTTGCAAGCCTAAACACACTTTAACAACGATGAAAGTAACTTTCCCACAAATTAATTAAAAAGTAATACAAAAAAAAACGTTTTAGGCCGGGCTAATATTTTTGTTGTGAAAAGCGGCTCAACGTTCTTCAAACGTTTCTGTCGGCCGTACTTTTATCGTTCTCTCTTTTATGTTTTCATAGTCTCTGCCTTCTCTCTCGTTCCTCATTTATCACTAACTGCTATCTCACTTTCTTTTTATCACTAACCGATCTCTCGCTTCCACTTTATCTCTTTCCACTCCCTTTCGTTTGGCCGCGTCTCTCAGCCGGCTGTCTCTTTCCCGCAAGGAAGAGACAGTCGGCTGACTAAAGCCAAAAAAGGAGCAAAACTGCCTGAGGCAATGCTCGTTTCATTCTGTTTCGGAATTTTTATAATTTTTTGTACTCGGAAGTTGGGTTTTGTATTCTCAACGTTTGTGGGATACAAAAAGGCGCGGGTACGTGAACTGTACATGATGTTTATATTGTTTCGTATGTTGTATCTTACGCTTTACAATTTGAAGACGTGTAATATTGAGTGGCAAAAAGAGGAATGTGAAAAAAGATTAGTAAAAAAGTACAGCAAAAAGACGAAAAGGTAGGAAATTTCGTGGATTAACACGTTGTAAACAAAGTTTTTGCATTTTAAGAATTAGGAAAAAACATGTTACACTATTTTGAAAATGTATTACTAAATGTAACCATCTAAATGTGTTATGTTTGTGTAAATTTTACGACAAAATAAAAAATTAAGAGTCTGAATTTGTCCTCTTGTCCTAATTTATGGCCACGAATGGCTGGAAATAACAATTTTTTGCATTTCAAAGTGAAATCCTAATTAGTAAACACAATTTCAAGTACTGTCTCGTTTTCGAAGCTGAATTTTTAAAACGCTAAATTAGCGATGCTAAAACAAAATTTCAGGACGTAGGAACTTTCTTTACAGACGCCGGGAAGCCGGAAAAATTTTCTTTACAGAGTTGGGGGAACCGCAAGAATTGTCTTTACAGGTACCTGAGAACCGCAATAACTTTCTTTACAGGTACCTGAGAACCGCAACAACTTTCTTTACAAACTTTTAAAAAACACAAGAACTTTCCTTACAAATGAAGAAAAACGTAAGAACTTTCTTTAAACTACATAAATGAGTAAACTATTAAATCACAAGATAAAGATTGAAAGACTACAACATTGGCAAGATTATCTGCCGGTAGGATCTTTAAAAAATATTTATTTTAAATAAAAGTGCTCAAATATAGGGTACCTTCATATTTTCATCGTTTTTATAGGTTTACGTCTTTTTAGATTTTGCAAAGAATGTTTTTGTTGTTTTCCTATACCAATATAGAAAGTTATGGTAGTTTTTTTAACAATTGTAAAAAAAGTTCTTGTGGTTTTTTAACTCCGTAAAGAAAGTTCTTGCAATTTTTTCAAACTCTTACAGAAAATTTTTGCCCTTTTGTCAGTGCTCGATAGCTGATAAACTACCCCCGCAATAACTTTGTTTACAAAAAAAAATTAACTCTTCATTAATGTCATCGTGGGTTATTTTTAGGATTATTTGTTGGTAAGAGTACTATTAATTTATAAAAAGGGCATTTAAGATTCAACTAAATTTAATTTCGACCTTTTAATCCACTGTTCTTGGACATATTGTTGTAATTCAACTAAAAATAGACATGTTTTTAAGATTGCCTTAATAATTTTAAAATTGATGATTTTTGTTTCACGTCGCTACGTTATGTTTGAAGCGAGTTATGGCCTCCGCCGGTAAATTTAGGCGTCCGCCGAGTCTCCGCCGACGTTTGAAAATCAAAAACTTGGCTAAAAATGTCATTTTCAACCAAAAAGTTGTCAAAAACTTAGAAGAAAATATGTGTAATTCCGGAGAAAATGGACATTTTTTAAAAAATCATAACGCCCTTAGTATGCACTTAAAAAATCCAAATTTTTGTGACAAAAAACTTGTGGGTCCAAACTTTCATCATGCCAAGTTTGGCATGTGTAGCTTTGTTGTGATGGAAATTATAGCCCGTTGGTTTTTAACATTTTTCTTGGAACACCCTGTAAATAAAGTTTTTGCAAATTAAAAAAATAAAACATGTCTATTTTTAGTTGAATTACAACAAAAATGTCCAAGAACAGCGGATTAAAAGGTGGAAATTAAATTAATTTGAATCTTAAATGCCCTTTTTATAAATTAACAGTACTCTTACCAACAAATAATCCTAAAAATAACCCAATGACATTAATAAAGAGTTAATTCTTTACAAATTTTGACAATGCGCAATCTTTTTTTAACAAATGTTGACAAACAGCAAGAACTTTCTTTACAAATTTTGACAAACTGCAAAGACTTTCTTTATAGATTTAAAAAAACCGCAAGAACTTTTTTTACAGATTTTAAAAAATGCGAAAGCTTTCTTTGGAAAATTTTAAAAACCGCAAAACTGTACGCTTTAAAAATTTATCTTAATACTGTTTACAGCAATCAATCAAATTTTGTTATCTTTTTTGTTAATGTTACCCAAATGTTTCAAAGAAAGCGTTAAATTACTATCAAACACATTGTTAAACTACGACTGAAATCCTTAAAATAGCAAGTTGTTTTAAAAAATATAACAAAGAACAACTTCCCTTTTGGTCGGATATCCCGTTGTAAACAAAGTTTTTGCGGTTTTGTTTGTGGCAGGATCGAACTTTTGTCTTTTGACATTATTATAGGCTTTACTTTAAAGTTGGTCCACCAGCTACGGCTTCGTTACAGGTCTAATAAGTTTGCAATTTTAAAATTTGTTATTTTGTAACAATAGTTCCTTCGGTTATTTTAAATTAAAAAATTTATTTCCAGCCTTAAATCAGTGTTTAAACTTTGCAAATTCAAATATTTTTATCACGTCACTCCAATATCAATAAGACAAACATATGCATAATATGTGAGTATTTCCAAAATTTCGAAGAATTTCTCCGCTTCTCAAGAGTGATTTTTCGAATTGTTTTGCGGCCACGTGAGACCGACCGCACGGAAATAAATTTAATGCTCTTTAACAATGGAAAAGTCTGTCAACTAGACTAGAATAATATTAAAACCCACAGCTATTTTGGGATGGCTTTTGCATTCTAGATTTTTGTATTATTTTGGGTATCTTTTTCAAGTGTTTCGATATTTTAGGTCTTGTTTTTTGTTATTATTTGGTATTGTTTGAAAGTTATTTGAGGTGTTAGGTTATGTTGCAACGTTATTTTATTCTTTAGCTATTTTTTTAAATTATTTTGTTGTTCAAGGTATTTTTAAAACTTATTTTGCAATTTAGGCATTGTTTTCGTACAACAATACTATTTTAGGCATTAGTATTAATAAGTTTAACGCTTCAGAAATTACTTTAATCATTTTGATATTTTAAAACCCAATTCTTTGATACAACGTTTTTCATTGAAACAAACATCAACATTATTGAATTTGCCCCAGAATGTTGAAAATCCAAATAACCTAAAAATTTGCAGCTAAAAGCATTTTTTAACGTTCTTCTTTAAAAACCTTTATTTTACACGCATATTCGTATTTATCTATGCGCAAATCTTTGATCTTTGTGCTTGAAACGGTCTCAAGTCGGACAACATAAGTGGTATTTGGTCTTTTAAAGGTTATCTTCACTTATAGTTGCAAAAAAGTATTAGCACTTTTCTTGACCTACCTCTTCAAATGGATAGAATTAGTGTTGTCTAACCCTTGTCCAGAGTTGGACAACACTAATTCTTATAAATTTTAGGTAACAACTGTTAAAAATTTTGGTAAGAAAATACTCAAAGTGGAGATAAGCAAGTTTAAGGTATCAGTTTTGTAAAATTTAGATAACAAACACATTTTTTCATAACTTTAGGTAACAACTTTTCAAAAAATAATTTGAGAATATAAAGTTAATCAATTAAAATCACTTACCCCTTTATTGGCTCCAAACTAACATTGATTTCCATGTTTAAACTTCAGAAAGAAACACTTTTCGACGAATTTTGCTACACGAAAAAAAAAATTTCTGATTTTCTTGTCTTTGATCGTATAAAATGTCTTTTTTCGACCCGCGGCCACTAATTCGGGTCGAAAAATACTAAAAATTAATTTTTATTTTACCTTCAGGTATTTTCACACACTGACCACAGAGATGACGCTAGTATTCTTTAAATATAACGTTCTATATTTCGACACTTGATAACTATATTGCAATACGCTTAAAACTCTTTAATAAATTTAAAAATCAAAATATAAATATTATTTTTTCAGAGTATTAAAATTCAGATGCCATAATCTAACCCTTCTCTAGTCATCGTTGTGTTTATAATTTTGTAAAATGGAAAAACCTCCAGCGGAGCCATCAGCGGCTTCGACTTCTACGGCACAACGCGCGGCCGGCTTTCACAATGTGGAACGACAATATCAGCAGACCAGAAAGCTGCAAATCGTCCTTGTCATGGATAGGAAGATGCCAAAGTATATGAAACAGCGAGATCAAGCATGTGCTGATGTGGAAAAGGTGGCCAAGTCTTTGAAGTGTAATTTGCAGGTAAGGTCTGATGATATTGGGGTGTAGGTTTTTAATTACATTTTTTTGGGTAGTAAATTTACGCTGTCTTGTTAATTTTGGTATTTGAAGATGCGGAAGACTCTATAAATTTTGGCTATACTAAAAGTTGTTGTAAAAAACTTTACTTTCAAACCAAAAAATAAAATTTTTCTTTTGTTTAACCTCATGGTTAATATTTTGATTCTCACACTAATACTTCAATTTTAGGTGATCGAATTCGATCCCTTGGACTTTGGTGAGACTAAGGCATTAGACACCTTTTATAATGCGGACGTTGCTTTGGTCGATTTCACCATGACCGGTCAGATCTCAAGTTTGTGTTATCATGTTGGAGTGCGCGAGTCGATGGGACAAATGTATAATATTATAATTATGTACATGTATGATGAAACTATGAATCAACGAGTTGATCCTTTGAAAGTAAGAAGTTGTGACACTGTTTTAGGTACCAAAAGAATAGGTTTAGTAAGAAATGGGCGTTTTATGTTATTTTAGGTTTAATTTACATTGGGGATCTAATTTCAAAAATATTTGGAACTTTTTAGATAAATAATATCATTTTTTATATTTTCAGTCAACTCTAAACAATTTTCAATTACTAACCTACTTCCAATGTCAAGACGGGACCTTGTTGTGCTCAGATAAGGCTACAAGCGGCCTAAGGGATTTCGATCCACGCAGTGATAGGCAAGTGTAATAAAGACTCTAATAACTTTTTGATAATTCAAAAAATATAATTGTAATCAATCTCTAACTACTATAATTCTAGGTATCAATCCATGAAATCCCGTGGGTTTCAAACCTTCGCCGAAGCCGTTAAGACGGCGTTGACTAATGTACAAATTGAAGCCAATGCTCATGCTAAAGAGAAGTTTTTGAGTGATTTGAGGAAAGTGCGAGAGATGGAAGACCCAAATGAAGCAAACCAGTTTCTAGAAAGAATGAGAAGCCGTCTGGACAATCCTGATGTCCTAAATTTGGATACTGTTTGCCAAATGTTGTTGAGTTATCGGTAAGATCATGAATATCTCTATAAAAATGTAGATCATACTTATTTTTTGGGCTGTTTCAGCTGTAAAAACACGAAAACTTCCATTTAAAACGTTGTAAAATAACCAAATGTATTAACAAAGTATAATGATTGTAATCCGATTTCAGAGATACCCAGAACTACGATGCCATGATTAATTTAATTGAAGACTTGGAAAAAGTAAACCAGAATCAGATTGTACATGCCCAACCAGTGTGGTTTTTATACGCTTTTGCTTTGAATCGGTAGGATTTTTAGTTTGTAATCGGTTTATAATGAAGATTTATATTATTTGAGGTAAAGCATACATTATTGTAGACAAAAACTTAGATGTTTTCTTACTTATAACTCACTGAAATGTTGACAAAGTCTTAAAATTTTCAGTCGAAACCAGCCCGGCGACCGTGATAAATGCATTGAAAACGTGCTACAAATCATGGAGAAGTACAAAGAAAACGTTTCGCCAGATGTAATATGCTTAGCTGGACGTGTTTACAAGGATCGATTCATCTCGTCAAACTATGAAGATAAAGAAGCCCTGGAGAAGGCCATTGAATGGTACAGAAAGGCGTTCAATGTCTCACCATTAGAATACTCTGGCATCAATTTGACAACAATGTTAAGGGCGCGAGGGGAACAGTTCGAACATAACGTGGAAATGCAACGAGTTGGTAAGGATTTAGGGGCTTAAAATGGTTTTCGAGGAGAACTCTTATAGGATATTTTATAAAAAAAGGCTGTCGCAAACATATATAGGTTATAGCGAACATACTACATCACGTAAAGCTAAAAAACACCTTATTTTACCCAAAAAAACATCTAAACCACCATTTTCAGCTGTGGTCCTCAACTCCCTGTTAGGGCGGAAAGGAGCCCTAGCCAACATGAGTGAATACTGGGATGTAGCCACCTTCTTCGAAGTCTCCGTCCTAGCCGAAGACTACAACAAAGCTTGCCAAGCGGCCGAAAAAATGGCTATGCTCAAACCCCCAACCTGGTTCCTCAAATCCACCATGGAGAATATCAAACTGATCTCGAGATGCGCGGCTTCATGTTCTCCAATTGAAAAAGAAAAGCAAACGTTTGTATTCTGGACGGAATTCTTCATGGAAGCCATCGAGGGATTCAGCGACACCAATTCAAGATTTCCTGTGCTGATTCAGGAGGTTAATAAGGTAGGATAATAGAACGACAAAACCGCATTATACTTTAAAAATATGAAGGAATATAATTAAAATTCAATGAAAAGGGGTTATTTTAGTCTTTCATCACTATAGATACCTAAATTTATCAATAAAAACCAAAAAATCACCTATAAATATCTAAACTTACATCTAAAGCCCAGGTATACCTATAAAAATCCAGATATCTCTATAAACTTCTATAAAATTACAGCAATACACTCCAAGTTACATGACAATCAACGAACATGATGTTATATTAACCCACGTGCTCGAACACAGTCAAGCGAAGAGTCCACCACCCGGAATTCATCGATGGGGCTTCAAGTGGAGCCAAATCAAAGCCTTTTCGGCTTCGAAACGAGATGACAGGTCGATGTACATGTATGTATACGAAAATTCGGACGACTTCAACATTACTTTTCCATCTTCAGCGCATTGTAATGGGTAAGTTTGGGGAAATCGTTGAGAAAATGATGGAAGATCAAAAATAATTTTCTGGAGGCTCAGAGAAAAACTTGACTCCTTGTGTCAACCTTTCTGTTTTGCTTGATTAAAGCTGTAAATTTTCAACTTTGGCTTCTAATTAGTGTAAACTGTGTAAATATAAGGATTTCAACTCTTATTTTTTAAATAAAGATGATATACTAGGTTTATCATCGTACAAAGCTAATTTTTGATTGATTACAGAGCCTTGTCAAAGATGAGCGAAGCTGAAGATGGATGTGGTGGTAAAGTGCTGAATGATTGTGAAGCCCACACCCTTATTGATGTAAGAGTTTGATTTTATAATGAGTTTTGTTATTATGACATTACATTATGAGAAAATACAAAAATCTTTGGAAATTTGAAATTTGCAGTTTTAAAATTTTGACCATATTTTTTGTAAAACTGGGATTTTTAAAAAAATTTTACGTTTTAGTTCGAATACGAAGTCGACAACAAAACTGGAGAAAGAGTGATACTAGGCCGTGGCACCTATGGTGTCGTATACGCAGCCCGTGACGTGACCACACAACGTTCTATTGTAGTAAAAGAAGTTGAAGTAAAAAACGCGGAAGAAGTTCAGCCATTGATGGAGGAAATCAAACTTCACTCCACACTGTCACACGAAAATATCGTCCAATATTTGGGTTCAAAAGTGGAGAAACGTGATTTTCGGAACGATGTTTTCCTGATTTTCATGGAACAAGTACCAGGAGGATCGTTGAGTTCATTGCTACGTGACAAGTGGGGTCCTTTGGATGCGGAACAAACTTTGGCAATTTATGCGTCACAGATCTTGCAGGGTGTGAAATATCTTCATGATCAAAAGATTGTACACAGAGATATTAAGGGAGAGAACGTTTTGGTGAATACGTACAGTGGATTGTGTAAAATCTCGGATTTCGGAACTTGTAAACGGTTGGCTGGACTGAATCCGTGCACTGAAACTTTTAAGGGTATGTTTGACAAGTTTATAAGGACTGGTAAGCTTGGATATAAACTTTAACGTGATTCTAAGATAAAATATATACTATTGAATATCATGTTGGCCATTGGGGCTAAAGTTTGTAGTATAAAGTTATCTTCGATAACATTTTGTTGACTTTTGAATTTACTTTTATAAACCTTATGTTAATCCAACATATTATTGTATAAAAAATATTATTAATACTTTTTTAGAGGCCACTTTAACCAATTTGATCTATACATTGATATTAATCATTGTTAACGTCGTCTTGCTCGTCTTAATCGTCTGAATTTAGATAATGAACTTGATGAAAAAATCAAAAAGTCAATTAATTCAGGAACACTTCAATACATGGCTCCAGAAGTCATCGACCACGGTCAGCGTGGTTATGGTGCTCCGGCCGATGTTTGGTCATTCGGATGCACAATGATTGAAATGGCAACGGGAAAACCACCGTTCGTGGAGTTGGGACTGCCACAAGCAGCCATGTTCAAGGTGGGAATGTACAAAACTCATCCGCCTATACCTACAAGTTTGAGTGAGAGCTGCACCAAATTTATTAAAAGGTAAATTATTGATAAAATAACTGTAAACATTACATTATACACTTATGACATTTCTTAACATAACATTCCTATTTTCCTCTTTCAGATGTTTTGAACCAGATCCAAACAAGCGTGCCACAGCTGCAGAACTACTGCTAGATACATTTTTGCTACAGTACATTCCGAACACGTAAGGGTTTCTAAATTCCTTTAAAATTGTAAAAAACATAGCATTTTCTGATGTTTATGATATAATTCAAATTTTTATCATAAACATTGTATTCTTATTAATCAGCTATCAAGAAGAATGTCTTATCATAAGAACTATAACAATCGCGTTTTTAGCCAACGAAATACTTCCACGAAGAAAAGAGTGGATGTAGCCAGGACTTTCCCTAATAGTAAGTGTGAATTTTGAGTATGGTTATTCTACATCTTGATCGGTGACGGTATTCTGGTCTATTTGACAAATACTTGTGTTATACATAACATTTTAACAGTATAGTATAAGATCTTTTTAAAGCTTTAGAAAGATAGTACGAACTTAAGTAGTACTCCTTGGTACTGTTTTTAGGCCTTATTAGTATTGTTTTAAGCTCTATTAGTACTACGTTTTGGTACTGTTTTTAAAGTACTATGAAAATTACATACGACATTATAAATGCTACGCCTCAACCTTTGCTGCCGCTTTAACTTCCATGTGTGTTACATGTGTCTGTCAATAGATGTTGTCCCACAACTTTCTCTTCATGCCATTTTGGATTCGCAATGTCATAGTCTTTGTACATCTTTAAAAAACCTAAAATTTTTGTGAAATCACAACTTTAAAATCGAATACAAATTTAGTACAAAGTTGCGACATTGCAAAATCCCCGCTTCCCAACTCTATCTTCCTCCTTGTGTGTTCCTATGGTGAATATTTTAGAATTTCATCGTTCTGCTTCTCACATGAGTGGAATGATCTACAACCCCATGAATTCGTTGAATCCACGAAAAGAAACACAACAATCGCATTCCGAATGCAATGTGCCCAACATACTGGAAATCCCCAAGGATACGTTGAAGCCGCACAATCTCGGTAATCGCAAAAGTATTTTAAAAATGAAAAAAAGTTAAATGGAGGATACACCGCAGTGCAAAAATGCGCATAAAATAAGATAGTGTACAAAAAATGTTTCCCACACAATCGATGTCAATCTTTTGCTTTTGCAATGATCAAGGCTTTGCTACATTTTCTACCGTTCATAAAATTAAGCCGGACAAAAGATTTCAAAAACGTTCCGTTTGCAGGTTGCTTGATCTGCATCGTGCAGACTATAGCAAAACTGATAGGTCAAATTCGACTTTCTAGATAACAAAAACAATCTAATTTTGATTAACTCTTTTAAAAACGTTTTTCAACAGGCAGTATGTACGACAATATTGAAAATAACAGGCAAAAACAAGAGACCGCAAAGTCTGCTTTTTTTTGCACAGTGCAAAACTTTTCAAACCTTTGCACCGTGCAAACCTTTTTCAGAACTGATCTTCGTTCAAAAATCTAGTTTTTTGGAAATCAAAAACAACCTAAATTTTGCCTTGAAAACTCAAAAACAGCATGCACCGTGCAATCTTTGTCGCAACAACGAAAAGATCACGCAAAACAAAAAGAGCGCAAACGTTGCACTTTTGTTGCACTGTGCAAAATTTACATAATCTTGTCGCAAAAGATTACGCAAAACAAAGAGAGCACAGACGCTGTCTTTTGATTGCACCGTGCAGTCTTTGTCGCAACTCTGATTTCGAGCCAAAAATCGAGTTTTTCGAAAAACAAAAACAGCCAAACTTCTGCTTTCAATCCTGCAACAAGCTTTGAACAGTGCATAAGCTTTCCCAGGCTTGTCGAAAAAGATCTGCACCGTGCAGTCTTTGTCGCAATACAAAAAATATTACGTGGAAATAAGAGAGCACAGAGCCTGCATTTTTGCTGCACCGTGCAGTCTTTGTCGCAACTCTGATTTCGAGCCAAAAATCGAGTTTTTCGAAAAACAAAAACAGCCAAACTTCTGCTTTCAATCCTGCAACAAGCTTTGAACAGTGCATAAGTTTTCCCAAGTTTGTCATGAAAGGCCTGCACCGTGCAGCCCTTTTCGCAAGACCAAAAAGATCACGCAAAACAAAGAGAGCGCAGAGGCCAACTTTTGGTTGCACGGTGCAGTCTCTGTCTCAACTCGGGATTCGGACCAAAAAATCGAATTTTTCAAAAAGCAAAACATCCAAAATTCTGCTTCCAATTCTGCACCAAGCTTTGCACAGTGCAGTCCTTGACGTAACATCGAAAAGATCACGCAAACAAAAGAGAGTGTAGAGCCTCATCAATCCTTGCACAGTGCATAAACTTTCCCAGGCATGTCGCGGAATTGTTTTGCACCGTGCGGATTTTTGACCGTCTCAAGAATTGCGCAACTTTCCCTCTTTCGACTCGGATTTTCGATCGAAAATTTGGCTCTTTTTCGATCAAAAAAAAGGAGAGAGCGCACGACCCTCCTTTCACGTGTAGCATCACGTGACACTCGGCTTACGATTGCGTTTATCTTTTGCACAGTGCAAAAGTTTTAATGGGAATTTGATGAAAAACAACTAAAAAATGTCGGATACAACTTTTTAAAATTAACACCGTAAAAAGTATTTAAAGTTTACTTTACAATTGTGTAGTAGACTCCTGTAGATTTGAAGTGATACATTAACACCCTACTTTCGCTAACATTACTATATTTTCAAGCCCATGGTATACCGACATGGCGCACTATGTTCTTTAAAAAAACATGTTCCGTATTATAAACCCATGACACAGTTATTATAGTAATATGATAAACAGCCGAATTACAATAATGTGCTTTCTACTTTCCAGTAAAATAATGAGCTTATCCATTTAAAGCCGGCTTCGTTGAACAAAAAAAAATTAAAAGTGTGCCAATTTAATTTCCTACGGCTATTTTCACATCTATTACATGTTGAGTGGAGTTTTACTATAGCTAAGTGTGGTTTGCATCTGATAAAGCAACTTTCGCGAGGTTTACGAAATGTCGTCATGACAGATGTCAGGCCGTCATTGTGACATGCTATGGAACCGAATATTGAGTGAAAATTCAGTTTAAAGAATAGTTAGAATTGTATACGTTTGCTCAAAAAATACGTTTTTCGTTAAATTCAAAGCGTGTCATGATGACAGTTTTTATGTGTCATGACGAAAGAATTTATATATTAAACTTCAAAACTATTTATGCAATTCACCCGCTATGTTACCCTAGATGAATATCAAATTTTCCCCAAAATCAGCTGCTACATTGCCCAATTTACAAAAGGAACAGTTATTGCCAATGACGCATACCATAAAATTTGATGAATAATGTGCTTTCAGAAGTCGTGCACTCGAAAAAGAATCGCAGTGAAAGTGAATCTCACATTTTCGAGCATGCGAACGAACAATTCTTGGCCACAAGTGTAACCAACAACGCGTTTGAAGGCGGAAAAACCTTCACAACTGCTGCGAAGTTACCGTCGCAGAACAAGATTGAGCGACAAAACTTGAGGTTGAAGATTGAGCGGCCTCAAATGCAAAATAATGAAATCTACGCGGCTGGTAGGTTATAAAATAATGCCTATTTGTGACTAATATGATGCAATTTATGCCTACAATAATATCTAGTATTTGAAAAACACTGAATTGGCAAAAAAAAGGTTGAAAAAAGGATCTTATCGTCAGACGATGAAGCTTTTATATAATATTTATATACTAAGCAAGTACAAGATAATAGTCGTTTTGGTCTTGAAAATTTATCAAAAACTCGAAGAAAAGCTGAATTTTCTGGAACAATAAATCCTTTTTCGCAGTCTGCAACCTGAGTTTAAAGCTCGGCCGCAGTTTGAAAACGAAAGAAAATTATTTGGTTGCGGAAAAATTTTGATAAATTTCCTTTGAATGAACCTTTGAACTTCTAATCAAGAATAATTGGATAAATCTGTTTTTTTTAGAATTTTAGGTAATAAAATACATTTTATAATATTTTTCTAAAATTTTTATGTTGCACAATGTTACAATACAGCAAACCGAAAAATTTCAAGTGTTTTGTCCTTCTAATAATACATGGTTTAATTTTTTTATGTTGCATAGTGAAGAACATTCAAAAAACTAACGATTTTGTCCAGTACAACTAAAACCAGTCCGAAAATCTACTATTGTAATATGTTAAGTCCAGTTAAACAGCGATTAAACTAACGCTAAAACTTTAGCTAACCGCTTTGCTTCACGTGAATGTCGAGACTAATTTCAGGTTCATTTACAGCTCCAGTTCAGAACGATCCCCACAACTATTTCACGCGATATTCGCTACAAGTACAGAATCCGCTCCAACCGCCATCAGAACACGAAGAAGCCAAGCCCAACGTTCCATCATCGGCTTCGCCATCGTTTGGCATGGTCCAGAAGCCAGCATTTTTTGAAAGTACAGCTTCTGTATCGTTGCCTCCAACGAATTACTCGAATAGCCCTCAATTTATGCAGTTGCCTTCGGGAAGCGGATTTCAAGGCAAAATGGGACAGAATAGTTTGGTATCACAGCCACCAAGGTAAGGGGTCGTTTTGCGGAAAATGTGAAAGAAAATCTTTGGTTTTTGAGGTGATATGTTATGGAATTTAACGACCAATGTGTATATTTAACTACATATCGCTTGGTATTCAAAAGGTGTATAATATGCCTCTTTTCCAGTCCCCATGCCCATCACACGCCATTAACAGCAAGTCCGTCGTTGTCGGATACGTCGCCGTTTCTTCAATTGCCACAAACAGCCGCATCGATTCAAGAAGAGAATTCACTTGTGAATCGCTTCTTCAATCTTCAAAAAGATCATGAACGTCGTTTAACATTGGCCTCGATGATGGGGGACAATGAGGACGAGATTCTTATCAAATGGATGGAGCATATTACGGCTGAAGTTCGAGACGATGAGCCTTTGAGGGTAAGGCGTTTATTGAAGTTTGTGGTTTTGATAATTATTGTTAACCTTACGGGCTTTGAAAATGTTGAGTCAAAAAAGTTTAAATCTTTTTGGAAAATCTGAGAAATCCAGATCTTTTCGGCAATTTTTTAATCTTTAGGTTGAGAACACTCCAAAACATAATATTTTAAATTTCAGATAACAAAAGAAATACTCCGCCACATCCTTAATGCCATAAGACTTTACTTTGTACCCACAGACACCGAAAACCTTCAAGCAGCACTGGCACATCTCCAGAAGACCCATGATGAATTTCAGGACCCAGAATTTGAAAAACAATTGACTGATGCCCTTTGTGTATTCCCTCACGCCGTTCAGCCTTTACTTAAAAATCAAGGAGTTAAACCGCATTGGATGTTCACATTGGACGATTTGATTCGAAGTGCTGTGCAACAAGCTTTGAACTGTTTGAAACCGGAAGTTACTCAGACTTACTGGACTGGAGGATCAATTCCAAGCGTTGGGAATATGCAACAGCCTTATTCTGTTCAGCATGGTGAGCATGTACCTTAATCATATGTTTTTGAGTTTGATTTATTTAAAATTGACTTTTTTATTAAAAAAGTATATTTTAAGCCCACGCCCTATCCCAACAAACAACACTACAACGTACTCAGCCAACATTCTCATCCACAGTCAACACTCCAACCACAGAAATGGCAGAACAACAACGTTTTGTCGATGTTTCACAACAACATCGTTTATACACCGAGCACATAGCCAGATTACTGGAAGATCTAGTCCAAGTGGAGCGAAATTACCGTGATTTACTGGAACAAAGTCTCAACGAAAAGCGACGATCAGTGGAACGAATGGTCTTACAAAGCGATGTGGATTCTGGTGTTGATGGACGGAGTCCGTTGGAAATGAGGAACGAGGCCGACTTGTACGCTGGAACTCATCAAGTGGCAGTGGAAGATGGAGTGGATTCTGATTCTGAACTCACGGTATGGTTGACGGAGTTGGGCTGTGATGAGGAGAGTATACAATCATTGATACGACAACAATATACCAAAGCAGATTTAATTGACTTTGTTAGTCGGGAAGAGTTGCTTCAAGCTGGTGTTCCGTGAGTTTTTAATTTTCTGGATTTGAAGGGAGAAATTTATAAAAATTATATTAATCATGGTAGTGTAATGTAACTTTTTGTGTGATAAGAAATTTGTGGGTAAATTATAGTTATGCTTCTTGATATTTTAATGAACAACGATTGATATCTTTTTATTTTAGTGGAGGAACATCTTGTCGTATCTGGAGAGCCATTTTAAGGCACCGATTGGAAAGTTCGAGCAAAAGTGATGGTGAACAAGTATCGAGGAAGTACGCTCGATATCGTACTTAGTTTATTACGGTAGTTATGAGTCTTTTATAGCTAGTTCTCTAGTTCTTTTATGATAAGGTAGTTTAATACCTAGATTTTTGGCATAGTGAAGATAGCTCGATTTTTGCAATTTGATATTTTTATAGCTTACTATAGTTTAAGAATAGAGTATAGGGTTCGGAATAGCTACATCTTTGTATTTATTGTACATTTTACATTCTTTTGGGTTTTTCCTTTAAATCTTTACTATCACTTCTTACTCTTTCACTGTTTATTTTACTACTGGTGTCGCAGTCGTTCAAGTCTGGTTAATATCAACAACAAATTGTATTTTCGATGATCTCGGTTTAACTAAATTACTCAAGTTCACTTTTCATACCGTAAATATTTGTGTATTGCGTATTTTTACAAATTTATCATGACTATTCCTATATTATTTTTCATAACAGATTAAATATTTGAATATTTTTGTGGTTTGAAGTTATTTTTGACCGTTTTTAGCTTTTTTCGAAATCTTTTAGGAACGTGTTATGTTGTATTAGTTGTAAAATATATATAACTATGGTTTAAGGGCTATCTTTTGGTAATACTTTGACTTTTAGACCAATAAATTATGTTAGGGGTGGTAAAAATCAACAAAATTTCGTTTTTTATAACTTTCAACCAAACTTTTTTTGCGGACAAAATATTCACACGCACTTGAATCACTTCACCGTGCGTACGATATAGTTTATGCTGTGATTCGACATCGTTTTCCGCCATGAAGCTTGCGTTACTAAATCACATGAATACCACGAAACAGCGACTCGAAAATCCGTGGAAATCTATACCCGAAACCGCTGAGGAAAACTGGAATTTATTTATGAGTCTACTACAACATGATTTATACTTTTTCTCAGCCGACGGATTAAATTTGAAAAAAAATTCGCAAAGTTTGAAGTGCGACAAATCAACATTTATGATATATAAAATTGTATAATCAGCGACGGAGGGATTTTAATGTGAGTTATTGTTTGGTGGATGAAAATTTTTGTAACAACAGATTGTAAATCTTGTTGTTTATTTCAAACATTGTGCTTTTAAACCAACTACAATATCGATTTTGGTCAGAGAACTAGAGCTCTATCTAGAGGACAACCTTTGAGACTTTTTTATAAACTTTTTGACCATTTGATGGAAGTGCTATTTACTTTTTGACGGTTTAACGTACTTTGAAGTAAACGTATTTGTCAAGTAATGTTACGCAGTTTATCCGCTCTGTTCGGATATTATCTTTGAGCAAACACTTATATTGATATATCGGTTTGATTCAAGTGACGTAGACGTTCTTTTTTGTTGTACACTATACTAAATTCACGATTTTCAGAAAGTTGTTGTATACTTCTTACTATTTCTTGACCGCAACTCAAAATCCTTCTTAAAACGTCAATTTAAAATGACACTTACCCCCAAAACGCAACTTTCCTTTCCCATAGAGCTATTTATTTCCTACCCCCGTTAATCGGAGCAATTTTTTAGGTATAAACCTGAAATAATACGTTAATACCATAGTGTTACCGCCTCTATGAAAGTTTGTTTGAGCACAAAATCCTTTCACCTGACATCTCACCTTGTTCATAACAAAAAAACATGAACGTTTGTAAAGTTTGCTCAATCATAATATCCTTGTTGTGATTGCAATACAATCATAAAATGGCTGTACGGGGATTTATTTTCAAAATTTTTGAAAATTAGAGGCATTGAATCAAAGCGCTGTTTCTTTAACATTTTGTTACTACAAGCTTAATGATCGCACTAATAGTAGTATTAAATATGACCTAACTGACAGTAGTATTATAGCTTTCATTTTAATAGCGCCACGATAATATACCATGCCAATCATCAATATTCATTAACTGTAGTAATCTTTAATCGACTATTTCAGAAAACACGGGGAGACAACCTAAAATAACCTAAAATACGGTTTGAATTTCAACAAGTTGTGCCAAAATGACGCACAAGCCCCGGGCTCAATGGGGCAACAAGTACCAATTCATACTGACTTCGATCTCATACGCTGTTGGGTTAGGTAACATTTGGCGATTCCCTGCATTAGTCTACGAACAAAAAGGAGGTAAGACCATTAATACACTCAGTTTTTAAAAGTTGTAAAATACGAGTCATTAAGTACATTCTTAATTTTTTTTACCTCCGGAGGCCTTTCACCCCTTTCTGTAACAACAACTAATATTCGAAAAAAGTAAGTAATCAATACTAAATTCCAGGAGCATTTCTAATACCGTATTTTATATGTTCATTTATTGTTGGATTCCCTTTATTGTATATGGAATTAAGCTTGGGTCAATTCGCCAAAGCCGGTCCAGCGGTTTGTTACGGACGTATACGTCCTATTTTACAAGGTAAGTGGTATTGCAATAATTAACTTATGGTTTACTATTTATTTGAGTTTGTGGTTTATTATTCATTTGAGTTTAGTTTTGTATATTTTTACTAATTTTCTTATATTCAAATTATTTTTACAGGCCTAGGATGGGCTATGATAACATTGTCATTACTGGTCAGCGTGTACTACAATATGATTGTTGCGTGGTCGCTTATCTACATTTACATGATTTTAACTGGACAATCGTGGAGGTGGTCAAGTTGTGAGAATGATTTCAACACCATATGTAAGTAAATAACGGCGCTTATTCAACATGTTTAAAAAAATTCGTATACATCCAAACAAAAAGGCTAACCTCATTTTAGTCTGTTCGTCTGGCCTAGAAGACGCTCGCTGTTCCGAACTTTTATCCAGAACTTTAAACCACACAGTAAAAGCATTTTTCTTTAATCGTACGTGTTATGAATCCTCTAATGTTCACATGCGGGCAATTCAAAGTGAACTTCATGCCACGCTTGGTGCAGTTAGTCCAGCCGAAGAATTCTTTGAAAACTTTATTTTGGAACGAAATCCAACTTTAGACAGTTTGGGCGGTCTAAACTGGAAGCTAGTTGGTGCCTACTTTGCAGCTTGGACTATAACAACATTGTCATTGTCGCAAGGGGTAAAGTTGATTGGTAAATTGGCGTATTTTACATCAACAATCCCATATATCATTATTGTAATCTTATTTATACGGAGCGTTACATTGGAAGGAGCTATGATTGGAATGGATTTCTATCTGTTTAGCCCGGATTTGACAACATTGTATGATTTGAGTGTATGTTTATGGAATTATTGTTTTAAAATAGTGTAATCTATTAGTTCTGTATAATGTCATTTCATATATTTTGCGTAATACTTTATGATCCGTAATGTTTTAACATAGCTAATATTTTTAGACATGGAGAGCAGCTGCAACTCATGTTTCTTACAGTTTATCAGTTGGTTTTGGTGGAATATTGTCCTTAGCAAGTTACAATGTAAAAACACATAACTGCTACAGAGACGCCTTTTTAGTAACAGTTGCTGACGCCATCATGTCATTATTTGGTGGTACAGCAGTATTTAGTGTTCTTGGTTTTATGTCACATCAGCTGGAGCTACCCATTTCTGAAGTAACTTTTGTCATTTTATGGGTTGTATTTGATATTGTTTTAGTTTTCAAATCTTAAATAGTTATTATTTTAATATTTTTTGTATTTATTTTTGATTTTTTTTATTATATTATAAAAAACTGACTGGTAAATATTATTATAGGTAGTCCAATCAGGAACAGGTCTAGCATTTGTAGCCTACCCAGAAGCTTTGGCCAGAATGCCATTGAGTACCGTATGGTCTTTATTGTTCTTTGTTATGATTTGGATCCTGGGTGTTAGTACACAATTTGGATATGGAGAGGTTATTGTTACTGCTTTAGGAGATCAATTCCCTTTTATTGCTAAACATAAGTTCCCCACAGCTATTGTTTGTTGTTTTACCTTGTTTTGTTGCGGATTAATCATGTGTACTAGAGTAAGTTTTCAAATCTTTTTTTTTGTTATTAGGTTTTGTATATTAGCAATTATTACTTATTGTTTATAATATATATTTTGTCATTGCTAGTTTAAATAATATTATTATTGGTTTCGAAGACTAAAATATTGTTTTTGTCAAAATTCGTTCTTTCAATAAGAAAATTAACAAGTTATTGAGAAGTATTTTATTGTTTTTAGAGTGGAATATACTTTTTCAACATCTTTAATGACTACAGTTCATCGTTTTCTTTGGAAATTGTATTGCTGTTAGAAGCTGTTCTTCTATGTCATATATATGGTAAGTTATTTGTTTCAAACAATGAACTGTATATTACATATTACCGCAAATCATCATGTAAAAGAATACTTTATGAACAATCAGACATAATCATAACTCTGCATTTTAAATTACCATCGTTTTAAAGATTTGTTACCTGTTTTAACCTAACAATATCTTTGTTTAATATTATGTTTTAATGTCGCTTGGTTCTGAAACAATATCCTTGTTTCAGGTTACACAAACTACAAGCTGGACATTGAAGAGATGTTCGGCAAAGCAAAAACCAAGTTAGCTAAAATATTTGGTCCTTCTGGAATCTGGATAAGTATTGTTTGGAAGTATATTGCACCAACTGTGGCTGTGGTAAGATATTTCTTTGTTTTAACAGCAAATTATGTTTTTTATGTTATTCAACCCTTAGAAGTACTAAAATTCGATAAAATAGTACCATGAGACGTCAGATTCAAATGACACACCCACTGAAACATTAAAATTCGCGATACCGGTGTCTAAAACAATATAAAGAGCAAAACTAAAAAATTAAAATAGCAAAATATGTATGAAAATAATAAAAACAGAAAATTACAGTAATTTTATACTGTAATTCTTTATAAAACGGTGAAAAACGACGAGGTAAAACATGAAAAATGTTTATTTCCCCTATTGGGCCCAAAAAGCTGCTCGAAAATAAAAAGAAACAAAAACATCTGGCCGCAGCGTGCGCACGTCGTTTCGCAGGCTGCAGCGCATTTATACGATAAAACTGCTTTACATACCTAAATATACGCCTTTTTAATAAAATTTATATTTAATTAAAATATATTTTAATTTTTAAAAATAATAATTTTATGAAATTCCAGATAATATTCGCCTTCTCGCTATTAACTCAAATTGAAAATGATCTCACGTATGGTAAAGGAGCTCGGCTATATCGTCTGCCTCGTTGGTGTATTGGCTTTGGATGGTGTATATCAATATTACCTTTGATTTTCTTACCTATTTTTGCGTTTTATAATTTCAACAAGTTTAAAAAACGCAATATGCCTTTGGCGGAATTGTTTAAGGTTCAGCCGAAATGGCCGTCAGCTAACCGACATCGATTTGAAGGCGTTGAGCGGACTAAATTTTAAATTTTGAAGTTGTATAATATAAATTTATGATTTTGTTAGTTCTAATGAAGTTTTTTTACACTTTGTACGATATATTATTTTGGCCGTATTTTATCAAACTGTCCAAAAAGTATTGTCGTTAATTGACTTTTATTTACACGTTAAAAAACGACAAAACTTTTTAATTTTTGATGTGATCAATAAAAATAAAAATTGTTTTTACAAGACAGACGTTCAATATCAAGCCATGAATTCTGATTCAGAAGCCGGAAAAAATATTAGTTGATTCATTTTAATTAAAGCATGCAATAAATATTATTATAGGCTTGTCTAGCAATCTGCTTATTTTTATTTTTTTTTAAATTTCGGTACATTTAAGAAAATTTTTACAAATTAGGCTTGGGTTAAGTTTAAAAAAAAATTTCCTTGTTAGTACCTTTGTACCACTTTTACCCACATATCAAGTGATATCAAGTATAAATCAACTATAACATAACATGAAATGCCAATGCTTTATTTTGTTATTCCCAACCTGTTAAGTCGTTTTTGACGTTATAAACGTGTAGGTGCGATCGGAGGGGGATAAAAAAAGCCCGCACGAAGTCGGCCGGATCAAGCGCCGGAGGGCATTTGTTTTTCTCCGCTTCTCTGGCCTCTTTCGCCTCCGTATCTTTGCCAAAAGATATCATGAACAATGTCTTTAAACAATGTTCATTTCCTTTTTTTCGTTTTGGTCCAACTTTGATATTAAACTTTTTGTAAGGTTTTGTAAACAATGTTCTTGCACTTTTATTTTTCAAAATTCTTGGGTTTTTAGGTATAAATTTAAGAATATTTAAAGTAATTTTTTAAAATTATTTAGAGATTTAAGTTTCTGCTGTTTTAACTTTTGTAAAGAAAATTCTTGCGTTTTCTTGATTTGTAAAAAAAGTTATTGCCATTCTTAGTTTTGTAAAGAAAGTTCTTGCCATTCTTTGTTTTGTAAAGAAAGTTCTTGCATTTTTTGTCCTGTAAAGAACCTTTTTGCCATATTATGTCTTGTAAAGAAAGTTTCTAATATGATTTATAAAAAACAAGCAAAATAAGCTGAGTGCAGCCTGCGAGTGTCAAGTTATACGCTGGATAGCATTTTATGATTCGTAATGAAAGTTGTTGCTATTTTTTCGTTAGTTAAGAAAGTTTTTGCCATTTTATATTTTGTAAAAAAGGTTTGGTTATTTTATGTTTTGTAAAGAATGTTATGGCCACTGTCTATTTTGTAAAGGAAATTATAACCATTTTTGTTTTGTAAAGAAAGTTCTTGTCATTTTATGTTTGGTAAAGAACGTTCCGGCTACTTTTGTCCTAAATTCGTTGACATTGCATAAAGAATGTCATTTTACGTTTTTCGAATTATAATTAGACAAATCGGAAGGGATTTTAAGCGAGTTTAAAGTCTCGGCTTGAAGAAAGAGTTTAATGTTTTTATTTTTTGGCAATCAAAACGATTAGTGTTTTTATGAAATTTCAACTAAACTCACTGGTTTTTCATCTTACTTTGGGCTTTTTAATGTAAAATGTAGGCACTATTTCTTTTGAAACGGAAGGTTTTTGACTACATTTTGTAAATTTTTTGGAAATACAGTTGAACTCCTGCGTAATAAATTCTTCGGGAATCTTAAAATTTGTTTGTTATAAAAAAGTTTCAATTCAGAGGAGTTTTAAATTCACTGTGTAGTGTTTGCTGGAGTTTAAAAAGTTGCTCGTTATACGAAAGTTTCGCTATAGAAGAGTTTGTTATACAGGAGTTTTACTATATTTTGTACATTTTTTGGGTTAACTACAGTAAAACTCTTTTATAACAAGCAACTTTTAAATCCAAAGCTAGCACTACACAGTGGGTTTAAAATTTCTGTATATCGAAATGTCTGATGAAAAAAAATTTCGAAAAAAAAGTTGAACTTGGTCCCCCCCCTGTGGATTTTTTGGAAAAAAAAATTTCGACCCCCGCCTCTAGACCAAAAGTCTCCGCCCTGCCCTGGTTCCGCCGTGCTAAAGAGTGAGAATTGGCCTTACCCTACTTTTTAGGCTCGATTCAGGCCTGAGACCTTACTTTTGGATCCGGCACATTTCAATTTTTGTCCAAGATTGGCCTGTTTCTCATCACCTTTCTGTACTTGGATTTTGTAACCAATGACATTTTGAAACAAAATTTGTTTACAAATCTTCAAAGTTCGAGGGTTTTTTTTAAAAGTGCATCAAATTAATTACTTTTTTTGCGGGTTTAAGTATATAGAAGAGCTTCGTGTCTAATTTGGCTTTACTTTTTTTTATTTTTTTTCACGTTTTAGTTATGTTTTATTAGCTATGTTGCAGTACACATTTAGGTATGATATATAAGTTTTTAAAGCGTAGAACTCTTGTATAACGAATCTATCGCAGATCATAAATGTGTTCGTTATTTTGTTTTACAGGAGTTTTAAATGGTCTGTGTAGTGTAGACTGAATATTTAAAATTTACTCGTTATACAGAAACTTTGTTATAGCAAAGTTCGTTATACAGGAGTTCTACTGTACGTTGTTTTTACGTTTTCAAGTTTTAAAAATGGTTTAAAATAGCATTGTTTAATTTTAAAAATTTAAGAGTTCAAACCAAACTTAACTCGGCGGTATGGCCGCCGCACCATTGGCCACGGTACCAAATGGTGTACCACAGGAGAATGGCGCACCACCAGCCGATGTGATACCGCTCAAGGTTTATATCGCTTCAATTACTGCTAATCCAGAGGTAAGATTTTTAAAATTTTGGAAATTTTTTTACTTTTTTAAATTAAAAAAATTTTTTTTTCAATTTGAAAATCGATTTTTTTTTATTTTAAAATTTTTTTTCTAAAAGGATAGGTAATATTAGGTCGTTCAACTAATTCTGCGCCCCCTAATTCCCAAAAAAAATTGTTTCGAGAAAGGGAACAGAATTATTTGAACAACCTAGTAAATATTATAAATTCTTAAAAGAAAAGGTAATAAAAAACATGAAAAAAGAAGAATTCATGACCAAAGTTTAAAATTTTAGATTAGAAAGAATATGCAAAAGGCAATAATGGTCCTAGAAGGCATGGGTGTACCATACCGAGCAGTTGACGTTACGAGGCCAGAAAATGAAGCCGAACGAGAGTTTATGAGAGTAAAAGCCATGAAACCTAATCAAATGGGACCAGTCCTGCCTCCACAGTTCTTCTTCAACGATGAGTACTTGGGGGTAGGTTTTATTTTATCATAGTATTATAGCAACTAAATAGTAGGCGAATAATTTTGATGTGGTTATTCTTGAGGAGTAAGGGCGGGGTCAAAGGTCTTAAGCAGAGTTTTGCTTTTTGGGTCCGGTCCGGACGGTCCGCATTTTTGAATTTATTTCCCGCCAAACCCATACCTCGTAAACTGTCATATACAGGGTTTTGCCGGACCGGACGGACCGAAATAAAAATTTTGGGTTTGGACCCAACCGGACTCAAAAATTTAAAGTTTGGATCGGACCGGACCCAAAAATTTGAAGTTTGGACCGGGCCCGAAAATCGCGAAACCCGACCGTTGAAAAACGCTCCGGACCGGCCCGGGCAAAACACTGGGTGGGGTCAGAGCTCACAAGTTTCTTCGAGTTATCTCCGGGTTCAGAACCGTGCCGGGAATTTATAAAAAGGTGGAGCTAGAGGTGAAACTTAAAAACTAAAAAAAATTCAAATTTGGAAACTCTGGGTGAGGTAATTTTTTTTTGAAAAAAAACTTTTAATTTTAAAATTTCAGAATTTCGATGATTTTGAATTTTCCGTTGAATGCAATGTTATGGAAGAATGGCTTAGGTTAATTCCGCCAGCGGTAAGTTAAAACTTTTTTTTTCAATTTTTAATTTTTTTGAAATTATTAAGTTTAAATAATTTTTTATCTTTTTACAGCCGCCAAAAGTCGAAAAACCGCCGCCGAAGCCAGAAGAAGATCTTGAGGTAAGTTTACAACCTATCGTTTATAGTATTCGCCTATCTTTTGTAGTTATTGAGTATAAAAAGCCTATGTTTTACAGTTACTAAACCTAATACTACTTTAAAACTTTACAAAAACCTACAAAATAAAAAATATTTTTTGTGCCATTACTTATTTACCCTTATTCAGGACGAAGAAGACTATGAAGACGAAGACTACGAAGATGAAGACTGGGAATACGAAGACGAATGGGAAGATGAAGAAGAAGACGAGGAAGGTGAAGATGAAGTTGAAGTGAAGCCCAAGAAAGCCAAACTTGATGAGAAAGAAGAGAAAAAGAGTGCTGATAAGGCTAAAACTGATAAGGCTAAAAGTACGTCTGATAAGGCGAAATCGACCGAAAAATCGACTGATAAGACAAAGTCTTCTACTGATAAGGCAAAAACTAGTAGTGCTAAGGCTAAAACTAGTACTGATAAGGCTAAAACTAGTACTGATAAAACAAAGACTAGTACTGATAAAGCCAAATCTAGTACTGATAAGGCAAAAACTAGTACTGATAAGACTAAGACTAGTACTGATAAGACTAAAACTAGTGCTGATAAAGCTAAAACTACTGCTGAGAAGGCTAGCGCAGATAAGACCAAGTCTAGTACTGACAAAACTAAAACTAGTAGTACTGACAAGACGAAGACCAGTAGTACCGACAATACCAAGTCGTCATCTGACAAAACTAAATCATCTTCAGATAAGACCAAATCAAGCTCAGATAAGACTAAAACGTCTAGTACAGCAGAAAAGAAGACCAGTTCAAGTACTGATAAGAAGGCTAGCTTAAGCACTGATAAAAAATCTTCATCTGACGACAAAAAGAAAACTAGTACCAGTACAGAAAAGAAGACTAGTTCAACAACTGAAAAGAAAACTTCATCAAGTACTGACAAAAAACCATATAGTACTGAAAAGAAACCGTCGTCCAGCACGGAGAAGAAGCCAAGCTCAAATACTGACAAAAAACCCTCGTCTAATACTGAAAAGAAGCCCAGTACTGAGAAAAAGCCAAGTTCTACTGAGAAAAAACCATCATCGACCGACAAAACTAAAACTGCTGAAAAGAAATCAACTGATAAGACAGCTGAAAAGAAACCTTCGAGCAAAGACAAGGTTGAAAAGACTGACGAAGAAAAGAAGAAAGATGAAGAAGCCAAGAAAAAGAAAGAAGCCGAAGCCAAAAAGAAAAAGGAAGAAGAAGAAAAGAAAAAAAAGGAAGAAGAAGCAAAGAAGAAAGAAGCAGAAGAAAAAGAAGAAAAAAAGAAGAAGAAGCTAAAAAGAAAGGCGAACAAGCAAAGAAGGATGAAGAACTTGAAGACGAAGAAGAATATGAAGACGAAGAATGGGAAGACGAAGATGAAGACGATGAAGTGGCTGCTGCAATGCGTGCTATTGCTGAGAAGAAGAGGAAAGAACAAGAAAGAATGAATGCTTTACTTGGACTTGGGCCTAGTTTAACTGCTAAGAAAGCTGATGATGATAAGAAGAAGAAGGAAGAAGAAGCTAAGAAGAAGAAAGAGGAAGAAGCAAAGAAAAAGACAGAAGCTGATGAAAAGAAAAAGAAAGAAGAAGAAGCCAAAAAGAAAACAGAAACCGATGCCAAGAAGAAAAAAGAAGATGATGAAAAGAAAAAGAAAGAAGAAGAAGCCAAAAAGAAAACAGAAACCGATGCCAAGAAGAAAAAAGAAGATGATGAGAAGAAAAAGAAAGAAGAAGAAGCCAAAAAGAAAAAAGAAGCCGAGGCTAAACAAAAGAAAGAAGAAGAAGAAAAGAAAAAAGAAAGAAGATGAAGCCAAAAAGAAGAAGGAAGCTGAAACCAAGAAGAAGAAGGAAGACTATGAAAAGAAAAAGAAGGAGGAAGAGGCAAAGAAGAAGAAAGAAGCAGAAGACAAAAAGAAAAAAGAAGAAGCAGCTAAAAAGAAGGCCGAACAAGCAAAGAAGGATGAAGAACTTGAAGACGAAGAGGAATATGAAGATGAAGAATGGGAGGATGAAGACGAAGATGATGAAGTTGCCGCAGCAATGCGTGCCATTGCCGAGAAGAAGGGGTTAGAACAAGAGAGAATGAACGCTCTACTAGGTCTGGGGCCTAGTTTAAGTTCCAAGAAGGCTGACGATGACAAGAAGAAGAAAGAAGAAGAAGCCAAGAAAAAGAAGGAAGAAGAAGAAGCTAAAAAGAAGAAGGACGCTGACGCTAAGAAGAAAAAAGAAGAGGAAGAAAAGAAGAAGAAGGAGGCGGAAGAGAAAAAGAAAAAGGAAGAAGAAGCAAAGAAGAAGAAGGAAGCTGATGAAAAGAAAAAGAAGGAAGAAGAAGCCAAGAAAACAATTGATAAGGATAAATTGGCCGCTCCCGCTACAAAGCCTAGGTCCCGGTCAACAAGTAAAGTTCGAAAAGAAGGGGAAGATGCTAAGTCGACCACTAAAACAAGCTCCACAAAATTGTCTCCATCTACGACTGAAAAGTCACGATCTACGTCGAAAACGAGAGACAAAAGTGCTACAAGAACTGATGAGAAAACCGCTTCTAAGACTTCATCATCAACTGAAAAGAAAAGTAGTACGAAGACGGTGGAGAAGAAACCTTCAAGTAGTACTGAAAAGATGCCGTCAAGCACACTAGCTACTGACAAAACGTCATCTAGTACAACTAGTGGCGAAAAGAAGCCTTCTAGCAGTACTAGTGCAGAAAAGAAACCTTCTAGTACAACAAAGACCAGTTCGACTCCAAAGACGACTAGTAGTGCTGAAAAGAAGCCGTCTTCAACTGAAAAGACTAGCTCTTCATCCAGCTCAAAAACATCGTCAAGTACGGAAAAGAAGCCTTCTAGTAGCACTGACAAGAAACCGTCTAGTAGTACTGAAAAGAAGCCATCTTCGTCTAGCTCTAAAACATCAAGTAGTACGGAGAAAAAGACTTCTAGTACGACAGAGAAAAAGCCTTCTAGTAGCACTGATAAGAAGGAACCTACAGAGAAAAAAGACATCGTCATCGACAGAAAAGAAGCCTTCTTCAACATCAAAGACCTCTAGTAGGGATGATAAAAAGCCTTCCAGCAGTAGCACAACTGATATGAAGGCTTCAACTGACAAAGTTTCACCTGCAGAGAAGAAGACTTCTTCTACTTCAAAGACTTCTGGTAGTACTGATAAGAAAACTTCTAGCAGTACTGAGAAAAAGCCTTCAAGTAGTCCTGAAAAGAAACCTTCAAGTAGCACAGAAAAGAAGGCTAGTAGTACTGAAAAGAAAGAAGAAAAGAAAGCAACGTTATCTCCAGAAGACGCTGAAAAACCAAAGCGATCGACAAGCAAAACCAGAGACAAGTCAGCTACACGAGACAAGAGTGCCGCACGTGATAAGAAAAAAGAAGAAGAAAAGAAACTTGATGATAAAAAGAAAGAAGAAAAGAAATCAGACGACAAAAAGAAGGCTGATGATGAAAAAAAGAAAGCAGAAGCTGATGATAAGAAAAAGAAAGAAGCTGAAGCTAAAAAGAAGAAGGACGAAGAAGCAGCCAAGAAAAAGAAAGAAGAAGAAGCTAAAAAGAAGAAGGAAGCCGAAGCCAAGAAGAAAAAAGAAGAAGAAGAAAAGAAAAAGAAGGAAGAAGAAGCCAAAAAGAAGAAAGAAGCCGAAGAAAAGAAGAAAAAAGATGAAGAAGTTGATGACGAAGAAGAATATGAAGACGAAGAATGGCAGGATGAAGACGAAGATGATGAAGTGGCTGCAGCAATGCGTGCTATTGCTGAAAAACGAGCTAAAGAACGTGAGGCTATGGCAAAGTTGTTGGGGAAGTTTTAAAAAAGTCATGAGTAGATAGTAGATCGTGTCCTTACATTTGTTTTAAGGTACTGTATATCATTTTGTCGTACTATCGAGTATATGGTCATGAATGTTCTTTGTTTGTTAGACTTTAAGCCAAGGTTTAAATTGTAAGATATTTCAAATCTTCTTCATTAGGACTTTATAGGTAGACCTGAAAAGGGGTCTACTTGGTCTTCTTCCAGCCAGGCCGACCCGTATAAAATTTGAAAAGGGCCAGTCCGGGCGGTGACATATAGACCCCAGGGTCAGGTTCAAACTAAGATCACTCAAGCCGGAAAGTTGGGGCTTTGTCCGGCCCTTCTTACAGGTCTATCTATGTGTAGAAGTCCGTCTCTTCAGAAACTTATTGGCATGTTGTGTTAGTACTGTTAATCTGTAACGTACTGATAATTCGAACAATTGCATAGTACTTCTTTAGTTGTTCTTTCATTATATGTCTTTAGCTTTTATTGATTCAAGTTTTACAGTACGTATTTGCTAGATTCGTATTTTACAAAAGATTTAAAGATAGTGTAGAAATGTATTTTTGAAACGGGTAATCATGTATTTTTATATGTTAATACTGCTTTTATGTTTTCACTTTTATTTTCGAAATTGTATGTATCACTGCCATGTTTTATGAAAGGTTAATAAATGATATAATTAAAAGTTTGTGATAATTTTTATACTTTTTCGTATGAGGTGCCGACATAAAGAACCCGCCATTTTTTACCGAGAATTACAGGCAGAGAATGGCGGGTTCTTTATGTCGGCACCTAATATTAGGTTGTTCAAATAATTCTGTGCTTCATATCACATCAAATTTTGGGAGTTAGGAGGCACAAAATTATTTGAATAACCCGTTATTAAGCCTATAAGTGGTATTGGGAGAGGTAAATTTTAATAAAAAAAAGAAAAAAAAAATAAAAATTTAAGCATGCTATTACATATATATATATAACATCTTTAAAACGTATTCGTAACGTGTCAAATGCTTATTCTTTTTCGCTGGCTCAAGTTCGAGCTCAAGACCCAAAGTGCTTAAAGATAAAGCGCAAACAGAAGTAAGGTGAATTTCTTAAGTGGTGGACCCTACTTCGAGGCTTATGAATTTTCATGTCTTGTGCTTGTTTTTTACTTTTTTTTATTTTTTAAAAATTTTAAACATTTCAAATTCATTTTTTTAAATAATTTTTAGTTATTTTCGTCGGACAGGTACTTTTGTTTTTTGAGTTTTAGATAAAAAGGGTGGTGAGTAGGTATATATTAGGTGCCGACATAAAGAACCCGCGATTTTTTACAAGAAATTACAGGCAAAGTATGGCGGGTTCTTTATGTTAGCACCTAATAAGCGAAACAATTTAAATTTTTTTTTATTAAAAATTTTTTTTATTTTTTTTTATTTTCCCTACCTCTAAATCTAATATTGTTCTTATGACACAACTTTTATACTACTCTCCTCTCCCTACTGTTTTTGTTTTGACACGGGGGTAGAAGATCTACACTTTTTTTTTAATTTCTAAGTAAGGCCTACTAGGAACTTTGTTAAAGATTTTTTTCAGCAAGGGGGGGAAAGAGGGTAAAAATCAAAAATATTTTTTTGGTTCACAGGTAGCTCCTGGGGAATTGTTATTTATATTTAAGTCAGCATGAAAGGGCTAGAGATACTCTCATTCACTCTCCCCCCCCTTTTCCCCCGTTTCTCCCCTCCTCCCCCTCCCCCCCCTCCTCCCCCCCCTTCCCTCACTCTAGCCCCGCCACTGAAAATAACCCTACCTTTATTTTTTAAAAACTTTTTTAAATTAAATTTCAAAACACTTGAGGTGAATATGATAAAAGTGAGAATGTTTTTGGCTGATCTTTTCGAGTATCTTTCCCCCCTCTCCTACAGCCAACCGCTAATTTTTCGGTTTTTGCGCATTTTTCGAGAAAAAGCGCGGCCGAAACTCTTTGTTTAGATGAGGTTTTGTTGAAGCTTGACCTTTCCTGATCTCCCTGATCCATTTCATCTTTAAATCTTTGTTCGAAATTTGATTTTTGAACACGTTATCCCTCGAGGGTATTTTTAGGTACTACTTTTTAGAGGGGGGGGGGGTGTTTTTAAATATATTCACGTATTTTCTGAATGTAGGGCAAAGTAAGGTAGAGTAAAGCAGAATAAGTTAAAGTAAGGTAGAGTAAGGAAGAGTAAGACAGGAGAAGATAGAGTAAGGCAGGGTGAAGTAGAGTAAGGTAGAGTAAGGTGGGGTAGGGTAGGGTAGGGTAGGGTAGGGTAGGGTAGAATAGGGCGATTTCTTATAAGAAAAAGTAATTTTTAAAGAAGGGAGAAAGAAACGGAAAAAAAAATTTTAAATTTATAATTTTTTTGATCAGGGCGCTCGCTTGTCGCATCGTATTTTACTCATCTAATGCAAATTTAAGTTTTTTAAAACTTTAGTATCTAAAAATGCCACAACCCTACAAATCAGTGCCAATCACGATTCATCGTAGCCAAAGTCACACTCCAAGTATGATTGTGAATGCGAAAAAGTTGCTCAGCGATCATCCTCAACTTATCGATTGTCCTCGATGCAAAGTGAGTACTATGAGGGTCAGGCTGGTAGTTGTGTACTAGAGGAAGAGAAGAGGAATGGCTTTAGATTGGACTTGTAATGAGACTAGCACAGGCCTGTGAAGGAGCCGGGCTTAGTTTTATAGCTTGCATTTGAAAAGTAGGTATAAGAAGATACAAGTGATATAAACCTAATTTATGTTGTTATACTTCAGCACCACGGTGAAACAGTTATGGTGTACAAAAATGGAATGATGACATGGCTGACGTTTGTTGGTATATGTTTGGCCAGTGTACTAATCATTCCGTTGTTCTTCACCTGGGTACCTTTTGTCATCGACTCGTTTCGGGATGTTGAACAGTGAGTTTTTTGTGACTAAAGTAGAACTTTACTATAAAAAATTACCAATTTGTTTGTTGTACAGTGGTTTTGTTATATGAGTTCGTTATACAGTTTTACTTTACAAAATACTTTTTTTTATTTTTATGTTTAATTTCAATATACTGAGGCACTAAATTATTATATCGCGGTATTATGTTAGTATATTGAGGTACTATGTTAACTATGCTGGTATATAGCATATACTATGTTAATATTGGCATTTTATTTTCATTTTGATTTGACGTTTGTAACTTTTTAAAATTTGAAAAACTTTTAAATTATTTCAAAATTTTTTAAAAATCATCATTTTAGTCACTGCCCCAACTGTAATGCCTGGGTTGGAACGTACCGAAGGATCGGTCGTAGTACGTAACAACATGAAACTTTATGTTTAGTCATCAATTTTGTAAAAAATTGGTTATACACTTTCTTTTATTGTAATTGGTCTCATTTTGATTAATAAATGTCAAAAACATTACTATCAACCATGTTTTTACAACTAGATATGTTCTAGTAAAAAGATACAGTAAAAATGTTCAAAATAGGTAAGATTGACCATATTATCAACTCCCAAGTTAAAAAGATCATATTATCTACCCCCAAGTTAAGAAAGACTTTTCTATCTACCTTAGCCATAGCTTTAACCCTACCTTATCTTTACCCTACCCAGCCTACCGTACCTTGCCGTACCTTGTCTTACATTACTTTTTTTGTATTCCATCCTACAGTATATTACCCTACCTTCCTTAGTATATTACTATATCCTACAGTATATTACCCTATCTTCCAGTATATTACCCTATCTTTCTCCACCATGTTAGCCCTAACTGTACCCCATTTTGTACTTGACAAGATGATTCAAAAACAAACATTTTTTTTTTGATGATTCAAAAACAAACATTTAAAAACTAAAAAGTTGTTGCGCAACAAACGTCCCCGGTGAATATGACACTTTTGGGTGGAAATTAAGGGCAATTAACGCGTTTAGAGGCGACCGTTTGATCCCGGAAATTTCTGAGGCCAAAGAAACGCCGCATTGGCTGAGCGGTTGAAACGATTTATCGGCTCATCTGCCGAGATTAAGCTCGAGATCTGATCGCAAATTATAAAAATAAACAATAATATTGAGGGTGGGGAAATAAAATGGTCATTCTCAACTTTGGAATAGATAATATAGTTTTGTTAAACTTGGGGGTAGATAATATGATCGGCTTCAACTTGGGGGTAGATAAAATAGTCTTTATCATCTTGGGGGTAGATAATATGATCAGCTTCAACTTGGGGGTAGATAAAATAGTCTTTCTCATCTTGGGGGTTGATAAAATGGTCATTTTTAATTTGGGGGTAGATAATATAGGCTTTTTTCATCTTGGGGGTAGATAATATGGTCATTTTCAACTTCAGGATAGATAATACGTTTTTTTTCAAACTGGGAGTATATACCGCTAAAGCTAGGGTTAGTTTAACCAAACTAAGTAACAGGTGTCAGGTCAAACCGATAATTACGTAATCAAGCACAATGTGTAACTTTTTTGATGCGATCACCTTAAAGCGATCAAAGTCTCATACAGTGACATTGTGTGAAACATCAGTTGAACATGTAATTCAGGCTATTGGACCACCTGTCGGGTTGGGAACTATCTAAAAATTTGTAGGGTTGATAGACCTTATGTAGGTATGAAAGCAGAAGACGGTCGAGGTGGAGATAGCAAGATCCTTCTTTCTTTCTAATTTTTTTAAAAATTTAAAGTGGATTTAATATTTAAAGATAACTATTGTAAATTAAAACCTTTTTTTAAGACCACATCTATCCCGATTCCGAAAACTTTTATGCCAATTTTACCGCCGATTATGTCATTTCTTCCTCACATTTCTCGTTTGATCTTCGGGTCTGAAAATAATTTTTATATGTTGGCAGGGAAAAAATGTCTTACTTACAAAAAGTTGCAATTCTTAGTGTAAAATGGTCTATAATACCAATATTTTAGAAAATTTTTTTTGAAAATTATCATAACATTTATTTTTTAAAAAATTTTTTTATTTTTTTTTGTATCTTTTAAACGTGTTGCTTAGACCGGTAGATACAATATTTTGTTCCGGCTCTTCTCATACATGTTTTTGACCCGGCCTGCCTGTGATGGCTTATCTCACGTCTGGTAGTGATCTTTTTTCGTCTAAACGGACGTTTTTAACACCATTTTTCCGTTTGAACATAATAAATTTTTTAAAAAACAAAAAAAATTTTAACGAATTTTCATTTTTGCCCCCAAAAACACTCCTTTTCAACACTATTTTACCCCTTGAACCCACTGACCAGTCCCAAAAGGAAAGGGTTCGAAAAGGAAAGAGAGAGAGTTGTGTACGCCCATAGCCCGTTGAACGCACGCCATCCCGTCCGATCTGGCAAGTTAAGCAACGGTGCGCTTGATTAGTACTTGGATCGGAGACGTCCTTGGAATCTCAAGTGGCATTTTATGGTACTTTTTGATACTATTTTTGGGTTTGGGGGTAAGAGAGGGTTGTCTTACATTGCTTTAGGAGTGTTTTTGTGTTGTTCAATGAAATTTTTAAGGTAAAATACGGGCCCTGTGTGTGGGGTTGTTTAAATTTTAGGCGGATTCATTGTGTTATAATATGTTATATTTCTTTTATTTAAAATTACTCATCTTTATAAAATACAAATAAAAAAATAGAAATGTTAATAGTAGATTGAACTAAAATTGCCATAAAATTCTAAAAAAAGTTTAAAAGAAGAAATGTCGGTGAAGCCTAATTAGGTATGAAAACACAGACGTCAATGTCAGATTATTGTTTTTGTCAGAATGCCTTCCGATTCGAAGGCTAATCCCGCCTAGATACAAAAGGAAATTAGGTAAAGAAGTCGTTGATGGCATCCTACTGTGATGTCATGCCATTTTCATTGTGAGGCTTATACTATATGCCAAAAGATTGGCAGTAAAAGTAGATTATAGTATAGTGGTCTGTCTGTATAGGGAATTATCTGTATAAGCAACTCTCCTTATAGTCAACAAGAAATTTTGCCCGCCAAGTCAATTTGCCCTAAAAGGTTACACTGTAAAGGCAACACCCCCTATAGTAAACACAAAATGGAGGTCTTTTCGAATTGATTATATAGAGGGAGTACTGTATACTACCAGACTTATGAAGATAGATATGCTATATCACCACGCCCATAAAGATAGCTCATATTACCAGTAGATTGTACTGTAAAGTGTAAGCTAACGATACTGTAGTAGGTTGGACAAAAAAGTAATGAGCTACGTCTCTTATAGCTATCCGCAGTTCAATAGCTCATTCTTTTTTATACAATTTATTATTACATTTCTAAGCTTATTGTAACCACCAGAACGCATTTAAAACCCTCTAGCAATTGTAAAAGACCTTGTGTTATGTAAATTCAAAGCAAAATCCTTTACCTCTTTTCCTCATTTATCTATGTAATGTCCGACCACCTCTACCTTACCCCAACCTACCAATTTTCTCCTCAAATCCAGCAAAGAAAGTCGTTTTTCCAGTCGATTTTCTTTTGTTTTTTATTCAAAAAAGTGCGAAAATTAGATTACCCAAGTAATTGGGTTACTGTAGATGTGTCAACTTGGGTCTAATAGTTCGGGCTGGGTAGGGTAAAGAGAAAGGAAGGTAAGAAAAGAAGAGGGAGAGGGGGGGGTAGACAAAGATGTTAAGAATAGACAAGTTCCAAGGGCCCTTCGGGCAGCTTATATAGAGAGAGAGTACTGTAGTTTTGAGTACTGTAAATTTGATACAAAAGTAAAAATAAAACAAATCGATGGCCTTATCTGAAGGTCAAGTAAACTCAAAATTACAAGCGGAAAAAATGATTAATCAATGTCCAAAGTGTTATTCATTACGCAACAACATGTTTATACATAATGTTATATTAACCATGTCATTCTCGACCTTACACCATAATTAATACGACGAGACTTGAAGAAGATTGATCTACCCTACCCTACCCTACCCTACCCTACAGTGCCCTGCCTTACTCTACTATGCCCCGCTCACTCGTTCTACCCTGCCCTCTTCTACTCACTATTCCCCCTACCCTACCCTTTTCAAAAACGACCTTTTCTGTCACATTACCCACACCCTTTACATCACATTATCCCACTTTCTCCTTCTTATTGGCCAATTTTCGAAAATGACGAAAAAGGAAAGCCGGTTACGGTAAGCCGTCGTCTTCTCTGACTCCGCCCACTTTACGGAATGGCAAAGCCGTTATTTACACAATACCCTGTTGGTATTACCGGGAGGGCCTTAATCATAAGCTAGCTGATTTTTCTTGGCCTAAACAAGTTTTTTTGAGTCGAAACTTGGGTTTTAGTGGGGTTTTGGGTGATAGACTTGAAATTTAAGATTATATAAAGAAAAATTGAATTTTATTAGGTTTTTGTCATTTTTTTTAGATTTACGAAATAATTTTTATTTTTTAGTTTTTTTTTAAATTTTAAATCAGCCCAAAAGTTTATGGGATACCTACTTGGGCCAAAAATCACAAGTTCTAGGGTGTGCTTGCGTAGTCGGGTGGCGCGCGCGTTAGGTTTATGCGCCAAAAGTCCGAAGTTCGGTTCCTCGAAAAGTAAATAGTCTTTTCGAGGTGTTTTTACTATTTTTACAATATCAAAATGCTTTTTTTAGTTTTTCAATAGTTTTAAATCTTTAAAAAATAAAATTTTATTTAATTTTTTAAACTGTTTTTTTTAATTGAAAAACGTACAAAATGTGCAAAAATTTTACTTTTTGTTGATAACTGAGCAAAAAATTAACTTTTTTGTCAATAACTTGATGTCAAAGAGCCATATATACCTTAAATAATCTTTTTTACGTTTTTTACATCTAAAATTTTCTACTAGAAATTCTTTTTTTTTAACAAAAAGTTTTAAACCAAAACTTTTTTTTTCTCCCCCCCCTCTGCATTTTTTTTCATTTTTACTGGATCATTTTTTCAAATTTCCAAAATCTTCACTAAAACCATACAGGAACTTACTGGTCTAAAGATGGTACTGTACGTACCCGATAATTAGTTTCATCCCCGCAGGTCATAAGACGACGGTTTCGTATAGAAAATTGTCGAAGAAATAATAATTAAGTGTAATTACACCTACAATGCTGAAATTACATCAAGGCATGAGCCGTCTAATTGCATGTTTTTGACTCTCGGCCGTTTTTTTAAAGACGTACTGTTTTTTTGGGTTGAGTACGGTATTGTGGCTTTTGTTGTGTTGGCTAGGTGGGGGATTGGGCTTGACTTGGGGATAATGGATTGGACTTGGCTTGGAGTTACTGGATTTGGCTAGGGCTTAAACTAAGGCTAGAGCTTTGTGCTAACCAACCCGGGCTAGCAGTTTTTAGGCTTAATTCTCATCGTTTTTACTGCCTTAGGCTTATATTGAGCAAGAAGCACCCTAACCTTAAAACCTGCCATTTCAAATTGACGGTCAACAATTTTCAGATGGAAAACTACACGAATGGTGCATCGGCCGCTCCGCCCGAGAATCTAAGAAACTATGCTTTCATGATGAATTATGGCTACAATCCATGGATGGGATCTTGGCTTCACAGCACCGTACAAACCCAATATGACCCAGCTGCTATCGAACAACATGAAAACAACATTGTGGCGAATAATAGTGTTGCTAGCAGTCTGAGCAGCAATAGCAGTACTGGTAGGTGGAATAACATAAAATTAAAATTTTTTTTTATTTTTTAGTTTTAAAATTTCGAAAAATTTTAAAAAATTCCAAAGGTTTTGTTTTTTTTTTAACTTTTTTGAGTTAATTTTACCGGTTTTAATGTTTTTTTTAAATCAAATATGCCAAATTTACCCTTAAAATCCTCTTGTTAAGCTTAAAAGTTCAAACAAGCTTTATAAACTTCGAAATGCCATAACTTATTAAAATCACACTTAAAAAGTTACATTTAGATAGCGTATTTTACACTCAGTTTTTCTATGTAATTTAATTTTTACTGAATCAATCATTTTATCATCAAAAAAAGGCTTTTTTCATCTTGAGTTTTGGTCGAAGTTGGTAACGTTTAAATTGTCATAACTTTTTTACTTGACAATGAAAATTTGCAAAATTTTTGGTAAAGATGCCTTATTTTATTGTTAATTTTTATAATTTTATTTATTTTAAAAAATGTCAATTTTAATACCTAAAATGAAGGCTTTTCACTCATACTGGGCACTCCTTACTCTAAACTAAAAAAACTTTCGAAACTTCAAAATGCCATAACTTTTTAAACTCTATCTTAATTTTTTTTAAATTTAGCGTAAAGGTACTCTATTTTATACTGAACGCGTCACCTACTTATATTTTTAAAAAAGTTTATTTTATACTTAAAATGAAGTTTCTTTCTCTTATATTAGGCACTACCCAAAAGTTTAAAAAAAACTTTCGAACTTTAAAGTGACATAAATTTTTAAACTTTAATTTGAATTATTTAAAACTTTGCATAAAGGTACTATATTTTATACCAAATTGTGCCATTAAAGTCAACCTTCACAATAACAGGCGGTTTACACCTATAACGAAGTTTTTTTTTCACTAATATTAAGCCATACCCACCCTAAACCTTAACATTTCATAACTTTCTAACCTCAATTTCAAACTTTTCATAATTTTGTACAAAAATACAACATCATGTTCTAAATCTTTCTATCAACTTCAATTTTTACAAAATCAATCATTTTATACCTAAAATGAAGTTTTTTTACTAACACCCCAATTTCAGTGCTTTTGGAAAACCCTGCGGCCTCGCAAAACTCTCCGCCGCTAATTAAACCTCCAATAGACTTGTCGAACTTGAGTTTGAATTCAGGTACACCATCTTCATTGTACAACAACTATTTGAATCCGGAAATTAATTGTGAGTTTCGAAAATTTAAAAATTTAAAAAATTTTGAAATTTGAAAAAAATGCCATTTTATATGAGGTAGGGTAATTTTTTGGGTGGATATGTTATTTTGGGTAACAAATTAGTGTAGAAATGTAAAAAATTTGTGTTTGACTAAAAAAATACAGTATACTGATAAGAAAATAACCGTTTATCTGGGTTACTGTAACTGAATTACTGTAATTTTTCAAAATTTTTTTAAAAAATTGTGTCATTGACCCTACTACAATACAAAAAAAGTTTAGTCAATCGAAAAAACATCTGACAGTGTATAAAATACGAATCCAGGCATGTAAATGACGTAATACATCCGCTTACATACCTGAAATGGCCTAATCGCTTAGAATAACAGGGACAGGTGTCAAATTAGGGGGTTCAGGCTAGGATTTTCATCGAATGTTACGCAACTTGCACAACTATTGTCAGGATTAGGGGCTAATATCATTTTGTAAAGGGGGGGGGTGAAAATGTCATTTAAAAAAATTTTTTTTTAATTTAAAATTTTTAAAAATTTTGAAAATTCTAGCCTTGTTTAACCAAACAATAAACCAAGTACCCCTACTAGCTTCGGCTTTGCCTATTGAAGCAGCTCCGAGCACGTCCGCGCCCAGCAGAATGATCCAAACTCGTACTCGCACTGCACCACCAAGTCGTCCATCCACAGCACGAGCTTGCGAATGTCCTAACTGCCGCACCCTTCAACGTCAAGGTAAGTTTTCCTACCCTATCCTACCTTTTCTTACCCTGCCCGACCTTTTATTACCTGCCCGACCTTGTCTTACCCTGCCCGACCTTTTCTTACCCTACCTTACCCTACATTAGTTTCAACCTATCCTAAAGTATTTTGTGCTATTTTTAACTATAAAACTTTTAACTATGACATTTCAGGCAATCCCAACATAAAAAACGAAAAACACAATTGTCACATACCCGGCTGTCACAAAGTCTATGCCCGAAGCTCGCATCTGAAAGCCCATTTACGTTGGCACACCAGCTCTCGCCCGCCCGTGCGCCGAATGGCCAACGAAAAGTATTGATTCGACTGCTTGGTGAGGAGGACTGAAGAAACTTTCTTTACATGAAAAAATCTTATCTTATAATTTATGTTATGATAATATTAGGTGAGAAATAGGCTAAAAAAATCGCTTTTTAACTAACCGTGAGCAATATTTTTTTTTTAAATTTGAAAAATTTACGGATTTTAACAAAAAATGAATTTTATCTTTTCCATTGCACAGTGCAAAAGCCCTTTCTCTATTGATTCAGAACCTGAGCCTTGTCCAAATCATAAAACTAAAAGCGTTTGGCCAAGTGAGTAGCGCGTTGGCGCTAGGCGCGAAAGCCCGTTGGTTCGCTTTCGGTCGGCAAAAATCATCTTCTGCGGTATTTAAACTACTTTTCAAATCATAAATAAGATTATTTTACATTTTTAAGGCTCTAAAAAACGTAAAGTTTTATTTTTTACGTTTACTATTAATTTTAAAGATCAAAAAAGTGAGGAAAATACAGAAAAATTGCAAATTTTATGCTATTTTAGACGTTTATTTCTTATAACTAGCTATTTTGATCAATTTATAAACAAAATAATGGTTTTTAGTTTGTTTGTAATGTATTCAGTACTATATTCAGTGTAAAACAATGTTAATTTTATAAAATTCATAAGTAAATTAATGACAAAAATAATTTTTTTTTGAAAATTTGTTAAAATCTTCAAAATTTGGCTAGCCATGAGTCGCGTAGGGCGCGTCAAGTTCAATTTTTTGACTTGACCCAAGTTCCTAAGGCTTGACCTAACTTCCCATGGCCAATCCCAATGCCAGTTTCAATTTTTCAACCCCACCGGTTTTTCATTTTGGTTCAGCCCGACCCGGCCTGATCAACATAATATTATTCTTAGGCCCGGCCCAACTTTCTAAGGCCCGGCCCGAGGGCCAGTCCTAACTTTTAGGCATGGCTCGTTTTTATTTTGCTCAAATCCGCCTCAGCCCCCAGGACAAAAAATCCGGCCCGGTACTCTTAACCAAACTACTCTAAAGAACTTTCAAAAACTTCATTTTAAACCCTCCCCCCCCTCCAAAAAACAAATAAATTCTTGGTCGATTAAGGTAGCTGTGGTATCCTGTCAAACAATCTTTTCAAATCGGTCGTTTTCTCGCCGCCATTTTCGCACCAAATTACCCAATTTGGGGGCTTTTTGGCGCCGCTTTTGATTGATTTTGCAGGAAGCCCGTTCTCGAAACGTCCTCAACGTTCCGTTCTTTTTTTTAATTTGAAAAATTGTTTGGTAAATTAAGGTGTGAAAAAGAGCTGGTTTTTAGATTTTTAAAATTTTTTTATGTAATCTTACTGTAACATGAAGAAAGGGCGCAGTTAACCTTCAAATATAAGCTGAATCACAGTGTAAAGAAAGTTTTTTGTCAAAAAAATTAAAAATGATTGCTGACCGTATTTTATAATTCTTTTTATATCATCACCCGTATTTTACATTCCTTTTGATATCAATTACTATGAAAATATTTTAGGAAATTTCTCCACAACTAACGCCAAGCATAACAGTCACCCGGTTGTCACAAAATCAATTTTTTCAAAACTTCATTGTTACAAACTGAAAATTTCTTCATTTCGTCATCTAATATTACTAATGTGATTATTTTCTGTAAAAAACTAGTAATTCTTACAGTATTTTTCATATTTTTTATTTTGTCATAACTTTGTGAAAATAAAATTTTTTATTTAAAATTTGAAATTTAAAAATTTTTCTTGTAAGCTATATTCTCGTTAACTTTAACCTTACTTAACGTCAGGCTTACATTTTTAATTGGAATACAACAGAAAAGCCTTTTCAATTCCTGCAGCCTGCGGTTCAGTTTGACTACATGCGCCCTCTCGTTGCTTCTTGTTATTAATGATTACACAATGACTTGCAAATGAATTAGAACTAATTAAAGGTATACACCCTTTTGAAAAACATTTGAAGGTTTAAACGAATAAAATTTATCAATTTTACATTTTATATTTTGGCAATGTCTTCAATATAAACCATGTCTGTTTTAATGCCATGTACGACATCTAATTAATCAAAAAATAAAAATAAGAATTTGTAAGGTGGAAAAAAGTACGGTCAAGTCAAAATAAGATAATATGAAGAATGATAGTTGAATATTAGAACGTAATTGATTATACGTCTGAAAAACCGATAGAAAAATGCCCGAAATGTCAAAAAGTCAGATTTTTGAGAAAAAAGTGTAAATTAGACAAAGACATGGTAAAATGATGTTACATTTTTATTTACTGATTAAAGAGGACTTTACTTTTTGTAAAATGATGTCAATAAAGATTCAAGATGCTTTACTAAGGCCTGCAGAAGCTACTTTGATTGAACTTGTGGTGAATAATATGTTGATTTTGAAGGAAACGTTAGGAAGTCAAGAAAGAATAAGTTTCAAACGAAACAGAAGACATAAAATGTACGTCATTGCGTTATTTTTTTTAATTTTTAGACTAGATTAAGCGACTTCTTTAGCCAAATTCAACTCTAATCTCCGTCCTCAGACGCTCGAAGAGTTGAAGTGGGGGATTTTGTTGTAATTCTAAAACTTGGCATGGAACTGAAACTAAAATGTTTTACAAAAGTTTAAAAAGTAAGTAAGAAGATAGATGAATAATAGTTATGGGCACTGAGCGCATTTTTTCACTAAAAATTTGGTGATCAACATGTTATCCATGATGGGAAAGCGAAATTCGAAGATAATTTTATTCTTTTTGATGAATATTTGGGTATTTTTGTTGAAAATGAGTTAAAAAGACTTTGAAGATACTTTTGCAAGTATTTTGAATAATAAAATTGTCGTTGACATAATAAAAAATGAATTTTAAAAAATTTCGTATATTTTTTCGAAAATTTTAATTATTTTGTTCATTTCAGGAAATTTGCATAAATTTATATCATGCGAATTCTGAACCCGAGTATAAAAGTGTTGGACGATAAATAAAAGCCACGTCAATTGTTGCTGTTCATTGCGTAGATCGGTCGTTATGTCAAACACGTCTTCACCATCGGAAGTACATTGGGGGTGTCAGCCTACTGGAGCTTCAGACAACACTGTCACATGTTTACGTAAACAAAACATGTGCGCTTCTTTGTGGTACAAGCAGGGGAAGGTAAATTATTTTTATTTTGTTTTCTTTTTTGTTTTTAGGATTTTGAGTTTTGCTATGGATAATATCGGTTAGAACGCGACAAGGGCAATATGGGAGATTGAATACGCCGGTTGGTCTGAAATTTGGCATAGAGTAAAAACCTTGTATTTTGGATTAAATTTTAAAAAATCAAAGTTTTTTAACGACTCCAGCGAAAGTTATGTCGATATTGAGTTATGTTACACTTGAGAATTTAAAGAAAAAGATTGGGGTTACCGTTTGATCTGATTTTTTGCGTAAAGCTGAAAGATGCTGTTCTAAACGATATTTCAAAGAATTGGAGGTTTTGAATTAGGTTGGCATAAAATATTACAATATTAAGTTATATTACACTTGAGATTTCGTTGAAAATGGTGAAGTTTCCCGATTTTTTTGGAATTTTTTTGTCGAAAATTATCATGGTATTATTAATAATACTTTTTTAAATCTCAGGTTTTAAATAAGTTTGGCAAAAGTTATGGGGATATTAAATTAGATTACACTTGAGATTTTGGTGAAAAATTGCCTTTTGGTTTAAGACTTTGTGCAAACTTTCTCAAACGTATGTTAATGTATTTGAAATTTTGACTTTTTTAAATTTCTAACCTTTTCTCTTCAGCAAGCCAAGCCTTTGCCATCCCACTTGCCTCAAGCGCGACATGCCGGAGAGTGGCGTTCATCAGATTCAGAAGAGAAAGGATCATATTGGAAAAGAATCGCTCAACCCCGCCCTAACCCGGGCTTTGGAATTGGTGCTTTTATTGCCCCACCAAGTCCACATGGTCTACCTAAAGTGGTGAGAACCAAGATCCAGACAGCTTGGATGCCAGTAAATGGGTTGAGCCATGAAATGTCATTGGAAGTTCTGTGAGTTTGTGTTTTGAGGATTTGTTACCTAAAATTAAAGGTTTTTGAAAATTGCTTTTATCAATCTGAAAGGCCAAGAAATTTTTTAATATATGAATTTTTTGACATTTTAAATCTAAAACACCCATGGATATTTTAGTGACTCAGACGTAGATGACCATAAACCTTACATTTTACGTTACGACGACCCACCGTGCACATTGCCATGCCTTCATCACATTCTTCAAGAGCTACCGAAAGGCCGCTTCGGGATCTGTCCGGTGCACGAGCGCCTGATTCCCCATCCCTTGCCACCACCCGCTATAGGCTTATCGAAGCCTAATGCTGAAATCAAATGCAAGCCGTTGAACGCCATTTCCTCCATCTTCTTTCACGTTCAGAGGTTTGAGGACCAGAAGTGAGTTGATGTTGGTTTAGATTTGAGTTAGCTAACTTTTAGAGCTCTAGAACAGCTGGAGAAGGTAATCAAAGCGTTGGAAAAGAAGATTATCAAACATATTGTTCACTATGTAAGTCTTTTTTAAGTTTTTACGTTGTTTTTGCTTTAGAAATGAAGATTTTTAATTAAAAGTTTTTGAAATTTTAGCCAGTTCAAGGTGGCCACGCCGTCTGTCGCTACCAGAAAGCCCTTCATCGTTGTCGCATCAATACGATTGGAATGGAAGTGATTCAAGTCGATCTGATCGATCAAGGCACTTCTGCCATCATCAAACACGACGAGTTGTTCACTATGCCAACTGATGTTGCTATGGTCTGTCCGGCACTGTCTTTCAGGTGCTCTTTGATGGGTAGGGCTTGGAGATTTTAGATATTGTGAATAGGGGGGGGGGTTTTGATTTTTTAGTTTTTGTTTTTAAGGGGGTATTTGATAAGGGATGGGTAGAACAGGTCAATATATTTTGTTGTTTACTTAATTCTGCGCCCCTTCTCAAACCAATTTGTGGAGTACGGGGGCGCAGAATTATGTGAACAACTAATATGATCTATATAGAGGATGGTGTCTTTTCAACGAGTAGGACATGATAAGGGCAGACTTTCTTTAGTTTCTTTGATAATATTGATGGTTTTGGAAGAACGATGAAGGGTGTTTTATATGATTTCAGAAATTATTTTGGTTTTTTAGCTAAATTTGGAAAAAGGCTTATAAACTTCTGTTTTTTTATCATCTTGTAAGAGCCAAAAACATAAAAAAAAATTTTTTTAAACATTTTTACTTGAAAACTGTTTTTCATTATGTTAATGGTTAAAATTTGATTTTTCTAGGATTTTTTTTTTAAAAATTTGTGTCATTTTTACACCCAGAAGCACCCTTTTCAACCTTATTTTACCCCTTTGAACCCACTAATCAGCCCCAAAAGGAAAGGGTTAGAAAAGGAAAGAGAGGGAGTCGTGTACGCCCATAGCCCGTTGAACGCACGCCATCCCGTCCGATCTGGCAAGTTAAGCAACGGTGCGCTTGATTAGTACTTGGATCGGAGACGTCCTTGGAATCTCAAGTGGCGTACGCATTTTTTGCGTTTTATGGTACTTTTTGGTACTATTTTTGAGTTTGGGAGTGGGAGGTAATTTTATACAGTTTTAAAGTTTATTTTTGGTAATAGTCTAATTTTTGAGTAAAATACGGAATTTCGAATGGTTGTTTTTAAATTTAAGTTATTTTTCGTTTTTACTTTATTGTGGTTTTAGAACAAGATACACGTTTGTTGGATTTTAAATCGACTTCATCGTTCCATGACTTGATTATGAAGAGGAGTTATATTGTTTTGGAAGGTGGGTTGTTTTTGAAGATTTAATTTTTGATTTTTTTTTAATTTCAAAATTGATTTTTTAGTCCACGGTGACGTGACATCAGACGGCAAACACCTGGTCCGCCTCATCGATCCACCTCCACCAGAAAAGCCCAAAGACCCATTTGTGGGCCGAGGAACTCACAATCGTAAACCCAAGTTCCGCCTCCAGGACATGAAGAAGATGGAGACGGCCGAAGACGAGAACAAGACTGAAGACGAACACATGGACACGGTTCTCCAAGGATTCAGGAATTCTGACGATGAAGACGACGACTTTGACTACAACCAGTTTGACTATAACAGCAAAACACAGGAGAACTTGTTCTTTTGATATATTATTGTAGATGTGATATTATGTTAAGGTATTATGGCGGAATATATTTGATTATGCTGTTGTAGAGGTTGTTTTATGTAATGTTGAGGGATTATGGAGGAATATATTGTGGTATGTTGTCGTAGATGATATGTTATGTATTTGTAGATGTTGGTATACGTTATTGTCTTGTTGTGGATGTTGTTATATTGTTGTAGAGGCTGTCTTATGCTGAGGTTTTATAGAGGAATATATTGTATTTTTTTGTATCAGATGCTGTCGTATAGTATTATATTGTTGTAGAAGCTGTCATAAGTTGTTATGTTGTTGTACAATCAGTTGTATGTTAGGTTGAGGGTGATGGGCTCATATTTTGAGTTATGTTGTCGTAGGTTATGTTGCAGGTTATGTTGTTGTAGAAGCTGTTTTACGTCATGTTGAGGTATTATAGAGAAGTATAGAAAATGTATTGTATGCTATTGGTACGTTATTGTAGAGCTTTATATTCAGTTTTATCGTTGCAAAAGTTAATTTGTTTTATTATATTGTTGTAGGTTGTGGTATTACGGGTTTATGTAAATTAGAAAGCTGTGATATTGTAGTAAGTAATTGTATTATATGTTATGTTACTTCATTGTAGAAAGTTATATTATGTTAAATTGTTTTAAAAGTCACTTTATCTTATTATATTATAGTAGCCAATAGTATGATATGCTATCCTGTTAAATTAAAATGATATCTTTTGTTGTTTGGCTTAGGTTTAGCTGTTGTTATGGGCTACGAATACCCTAGTTTGCTTTGATGTTGGCCTGGATTTTTATTGTAAATGATTTTTTTGAATCTGTGGCTAATAGTCTGTTCTATTGTTGTGTAATGGTTTTGTTTTTAAAATTTGTGTTTGTTTTTTCGAAATTTTGAATTTAGCACTTTTACTTTGGTTTGGACGAGGTAATTCTGATTTGTAGCTTGATTTTGGTTTAAAGGTAGACCTGAAAGGGGGTTTAACAGGCTTGTACCAAGCCGAACCAAGTTTGGTAAGGGCCGGATTGACGTATGGAGGCTAGAGGGCCGAGGTCAAATTAAGGCTAGGTCTGGCTTCTTTACAAGTCTATATGGGGACGAGGATTTTTTTAAAATTTTTTGTTTTGTATAAGAAATGAGGATATGTTTTCTTATAAAAATCTAGGTGTTGATAACCTATCCTTAACTTTACTTTTATCCTTACCTTTGCTTCTATTTTTACTCATACCCCTACCTTTATCCTTACCCTACTCTTAACACTTTCCCTACCTTACCTCTACTTCTCTCCCCCCCCTCCCCTACCTCTACCACATCATGTTGTTGTAATGACCATTGAAGACGGAAAACCTTGCGAAACTGCCATTCTTTCTTTCAAAATTGTAGCCGCATGACAAACCGTCGTTTTTAAAGATTGGATCGATTCGAAAAGAGGAAGTTTTATCAATCACACGCTCCTTCTCTGTTTTCGAAGCTTTTCTCAATTACAGTGTGATATTGTGATAGGCGAGGGTTTTTTCCAAGTTTTGATGGGTTTTTGTTCGAAATGGGGTTGGAAGTGAGGATCAGGGGCTTCTGGAGAGTCAGGAGTATTAGTTTAGGTCAAAAAATTCAAAAGTTCTCGGACAATTTGGTCGGTACAAGGAAATTTGGTGTAAAATTTGATGTAAAACTTCATTGCGCTCTGAGGAATTTTCGCGATTTTTCGATTTTTTTCAAAATATCTGTTTTTATTTTTACCTTTTTGTTTATTTTTTCTTCAAAATTTTGAAAAACCGTACTTTGGTATAAGCCGCGATAGAATAACGTGACAAATTTGGTAACTTTATACATTTTTGATAACAAACCTAGTGAAAATGAAATAGAGAAAAGGAAGATTTTGTCATTTATTTATCTGAAAATGCTTGTTTTTATGGTTTTGTAAGGGTTACTGTCAGTTTAGTTTGATACTGTGATATTATTTTGTCTGTTCTGTCCTTTTTTTGATATTTCTTGTCTCTACCTGACCTATGTTTACTCTGCCTCATTCTACAATGCTATGTCTTGCTTTACTTTAAAAATCTACCCTTGCCTTTACTTCTACTGTTACCTCTACTCTTAGTCCTACCTCCACTTCTACTCCTACTCTAAGTGTTACATTTACTTATAGCTTGTCCTCCGTACCATACTTGGTTCTACAGTACCATGCCTTACCTTAGCCTACCCTACCTTAGCCTACCCTTACTTTTACCTTTATCATTACCCTTATTTATATTATGCCTTCAGTAGCATTTTCTAACCCTACCTTTACTGGTACTTTTTTATATCTCGCTCTCAGTACGATCCTTCTATCCTCTTCTCATCCTCTACTTTAGCCCAATCTTTCTCTAACCAAACTTAATCTATCTCTATTTTTCTAAGTATTATGTCTTATAGTGCATTTCCGTACCGTTTTCTTTACCGATTTTTACAGTATCTCTACTCTGTCTTACAGTATTCTTAACTAATTTTACGGTATCCCCGCTCTGCCTTGCCGTACCCTTACTTAACTCTGCAGTATCTCTACTCAGTCTTAACCTGCTCTTACTTAACTCTACAGTACCTCTAGTCTTTCTGTCTTACAGTACTCTTAACTAATTCTACGCTACTCTACTTAATTTTATGGTATTATATTATGCTTTACCTAATCTTATAGTACTTTACTATACCTTATTTCGAAAATTTTCTCCAAAACTGCCATTCTTTATCACTTACCTTGTGATTTTTTTGCAAATTCTCTTCCAAAAACAACCTTTAATGATAAGCAATTGAATGATACGTGCAAGTATTTACAGTAATCGAAGATTGTAATATTACACTTGACACGTTTGTTTTCAGATGACGCCACGACTGAACGACGGGATCCTCAGCTACTACGTCGAGCACTACGTTAGACATGGTGACTCGATCTATCAGAAGACCATCAATGCCACTTTGGCTAGGATTATTGTGGGTTTATATTGATTTATATTGTTTTAGGTGGCTTGGGGGGGGGGTTTTGAAATTTTTAAAAATTTTTTTTCAATTTTTAAATTTGTAACGCCATTTCAATTTCCAGCTCCTCCAAACCCGCTACCTGAAATGCCTGCCATTCCTTCAAAACGCTTCAGAATCCAGAATCGCCCTCACGATCCGTGGCTCCGAACTCACGGCCACGATCTTCAATAGCTGGCGAATCGCCCTACCCATGCCAAAACTTTTGGTACTATTGGTGAATCGCCTCTATTCGAATGTAAAAGACCTGGTATATCAAGTGAAAGTGAGTGGTGCAGTCAAAGTGGACTATAAGCTTGTTTGTCAGACTGGAAATGTCTTGAAACGTGAGTTTTTTGAGGTTTTTTTGATTTTAGAAAAAAAATGTCAATTGATCTGAAAAACCATTAAATTTCAAAAAATTAAAAAATTTTGCATTTTTACTCCAAAAACACCCCTTTTTAACTGTCATTTTACCCCTTTGAACCCACTAATCAGCCCCAAAAGGAGAGGGTTTGAAAAAAAAGAAAGTTTTGACGTTATATGGTACTTTTTGGTACTATTTTTGGGCTTGGGGTAGGAGAGGGTAGTTTTATATTGTTTTGGGGGGTGTTTTTTGTCTCAGTTTTCTAAAATTTCATATATGGTGCTTTTTGATACTATTTTCGGGTTTGGGGGTAGAAAAGGGTTTTTATGTTGTTTTAGGTCTATTGTTAGTAAAAGTAAATTTCAAAAAATCAGTGGTTTTTGTTACTACATGGTGTAAACCGTTCACCCTAATCACATACTTTGATCTATGTGTTCCAACTCGAATGATAACAACCTTTTTTTTGGGAATGTTTAGCCAGACAGACAAGTCATCGATCATGTCGCCCTTTTATGATTTTTAAAAGTCGTGATAAAGTTTTGATAAATTGAGAGCAAAAGAGTAAAACATACGGCCTTTCTCTCCCCCCCCCTCTTAAATAAATTTTTTTAAAAAGTTGAATTTGGTCCTTTATGTTCATTTTTTATGTAAAAATCTGGTTTTTAGGTACCAAAAAGACTTGCGAACTCCTCGACTACAGTAACCGAACATGTGACAAGGTACTAATGGACTTGCTGAGCAATAACATGGTCAATATAAGTGCGACTGGACTAAACATACCACCATTCATTCATCACGACGATGTTGTCTACGACAAGCTTCAGGTGTTTTCGTATGTTCCGAGTACTGGCGCCGCTCGAAATCCTTGTAAGTTTTTGATATTGTACTTTGTCATACTTTTTTGTACTCGTGCTGTACAGTACGGAAGGAAGGGTAGAATTTTTGTATTGGTGCTATATAGTATGCGATGGTACTGTTTTGTACTGGTACTATGTATGCAGTACTAGACAAAGACTTTTTTTGCGTTTTGGTGCTATATAGTACGAACTGATAATTTTTCATATTAATAGTATTTAGTATTTAATGGTACTGTTTCTTACTGGTACTATCTAGTACTAGACAAAAATTTTATATTTTGGTACTATATAGTACGAAATAGTACTTTTTTATTATCATACTGTATAGTACGAGGCAAACACCTTGTTGTACTAGTACTATAAAGCACATGACCATACTTTTTTATATTGGTACTATATAGTACGACATAAAAATTTGTCATAATAATACTATATAGTACAAGATAGTACTCTAAACTTCTAAAATGCCATTCCTTTTTAGACTTGGGTCCCTTCTTCTCGATCTCAGCTAAAAACATGGAACTCCCACAGGCTGGCCTCAACGTACTGTACGAGTACCTACCCCTACCCCAAATGCCCCTACTCGAAACGTTGACTGTGGGATTCAAGTGCATCGAGACCTCACCACCCCCCAGCACCAAATTGTACACACAAATCATGAACGGACTGAAAGAGGCCGCGCCTGGACTGAAGGAATTGGCATTGAAGTACAGACTGCTCATTGATTCGAGGGTAGGTTAATATATTTTAAAGACAGGTTAATATTAACATTGAGTTGTTTAATAGATTTGTATTGGAAGTTTACATTAGTATAGGTACTGTAAGATGGCGTACGGTATGATAGGTTTATATTAGCAGTTTGTTTTAGAATAGGCGGATATTGGCACTATATTAGAGTAGACAGGTATTGATACTGTAAGATTGGTTTATATTAATATAGGCAGACTTATATTGGAGTAGTTTGCTCACATTTGTCATTTTTTAAAAACATATTGTCTTATCTTGTCATTAGACCTGTAAAGGGATCGCGCAGGGCCTATTGGACCTAATTTTAGGTCTGCTTGTCATAAATGGGTTAGTATGGTGACTTTTATTTTCATCGTTGGGGCATATTGGTATAGCTATAGTCTGTCACATTGATATCGATAAAGAAAGAAATTTTTAAACGGATTTTTTTTAAATTTTCAAAATTATTTAAAGATTGATTTGAAATAGTTTTTGACAGTCTCGTCCCAAAACACCCCTTTTTCAACACAATTTTACCCCTCTGAACCCATTAATCAGCCCCAAAAGGAAAGGGTTCGAAAAGGAAAGAGAGGGAGTCGTGTACGCCCATAGCCCGTTGAACGCACGCCATCCCGTCTGATCTGGCAAGTTAAGCAACGGTGCGCTTGATTAGTACTTGGATCGGAGACGTCCTTGGAATCTCAAGTGGCGTACGCCTTTTTGACGTTTTATGGTACTTTTTGGTACTATTTTTGGGTTTGGGATATATAAAGGGTTGTTTTATATAGTTTTAGGTGTGTTTTTGAGAAACAAAAACGAATTTTGGCTTAAAAAATACTTAATTTTGAACCGGCAGTTTTATTAAGTTTTTACTTTTATTCCCTACATTACTCTTCCTTCTTTATTCATTGCTCTCATTCACCCTGCTTGACTAGAAAAAAAATTAAATTGCAAAGTTTGGCTCAGCTTCCAATAGTTAAAACAATAATTTGCAGAAAATAACAAAACATCTACAACAACTAGAGTTGGTTATGTCAAAAGTAAAGTATGTAGCAGAAGGGATACAATTGTCTAAAATACCATCTTCTGGCATTGAAATGGAATTCGATTTTAGTACTGTAATAGAAGTAGGTTCAACCCCTATTCCTAAACTACTTCCAAAACTACCCCTACCTTCAAAACTACCCCTACTCATATAACTACTTCTACCCATAAAACTACCCCTACTTTCGAAAGTACTCTTATGCCTAAAACTACCCTTACCTCTAAAACTACCCCTTACCCTAAAACTGTCCCTACCCTTTACCCCTACCAATCTGTAGCCAATTCATTTACAGCGTGATACGATCTCAAATTGTAAATCAGAGTTCAATAGAATCTTCGAAACCGACAATATTATCCATACCGACTGGACCACAGACGACGACGACTTCTTCGTCCAAAGACACACCTTCAAAACCACTATTGATATGTTTGGTGTGGATGTGAAAATCCAGATCTTGGTCGAGGAATCGCAATTCATCGACCAAAACATGGATTTACTCGAAAAAATCTGCGAACCAATTTGAAAATATTTATTTCTACGTTAAGTAGACAGTAGTGTAATACATATTTTACCTTGAACAAGGTATCATTTGTAATAAACAGTACAATTTGAAGGAGGTACAATTTTTAAATTTAAAAAACAGTTGAGGTGATGATTATAAATATAAAGTTAGTTTGCAGTAACCAGTTTATCAAAAATTAAAGTAAAATACGGTATGGCAGAGTATTAAAGTGAAAATCCTAATATTAGGTGCCGGCATAAAGAACCCGCCATACCTTGCCTGTAATTGCCTGGTAAAAATGGCGGGTTCTTTATGTCGGCATCTAATAAAACAGCCCTTTAAAATTTTATTTTTTGAACTCTATCCAGTTTTCATACCAAAAAACACCCCTAAAACAATGTAAAACAACTCTTCTCCACCCCCAAACCCAAAAATAGTACCAAAAAGTATCATAAAATGCCAAAAATGCGTACGCCACTTGAGATTCCAAGGACGTCTCCGATCCAAGTACTAATCAAGCGCACCGTTGCTTAACTTGCCAGATCGGACGGGATGGCGTGCGTTCAACGGGCTATGGGCGTACACAACTCTCTCTCTTTCCTTTTCGAACCCTTTCCTTTTGGGGCTGATTAGGGGGTTGAAAGGGGTAAAATATGGCTGAAGAGGGGTGTTTTTAGAGACAAAACAATTTAAAAAATCCAATTTTTCCAAAGTTTTTGGCTTTTTAGACCGAAAATTTGGGCTCGGTTTCTTTACAGGGTTAGCCCGGTCCTGTCTCTCATCTAAATCCTTTTCGATAAGGATAGTAGGGCTCGTGCACTTTTCCCGCCTCTCGGCGATATACTCTAGCGAATAAACTACATTCTTTTGGGCTGATTCTTTGGCAATTCAGGCATTTGACAGCATTGGTGGGCTCTTCAGTCAAGTATAATAAAAAACACCATTTACAAGAAACGATCTTCAAACATTGAAGGCAGAAGACTGGCGCTTTGGCTTGGTCTATCAAACAGAGGTGGCAGGGGTTGTTTTCGGGTTTACGGTTCATACTGGTAATCAACAGGTCGGTAGCTAAACTGAAATAATATGACGTCAAATGGTCCTAAGGGGTGATAGGGTAGGGTAGTATAGTATAGTATAGTATAGTATAGTATAGTATAGTATAGTATAGTATAGTATAGTATAGTATAGTATAGTATAGTATAGTATAGTATAGTATAGTATAGTATAGTATAGTATAGTATAGTATAGTATAGTATAGTATAGTATAGTATAGTATAGTATAGTATAGTATAGTATAGTATAGTATAGTATAGTATAGTATAGTATAGTATAGTATGGTATAGTATAGTATAGTATAGTATAGTACAGTATAGTATATACCATCTTGTCGGTATCTTGCTTCTAAGAACTTACTTCAGCATCTCCATATAGGCATGTTCTTCACGTTCTATCGGGCCTTTTCTTGCCAATTTTTTTCTATGTTTCTCTGTGTACTTCCTTGCTTTCCTGACTAGCCACTTATGGTACAATTTTGTAAAATTATTGCTGTGTTTTACTAAGTAGATTTTAAAATAGTTTTTAAAATGGAAAAGTAACTTCATTTCTTTACAAATTTTATAAATAGTAGTACAACAGAGTAGCGTTAATGTAAGAAAAAGTAATTTAGGAATGAGTGATAGAAGGTCAGAAAGTAAAAGCATATACAACTCGTATTCAGAAATAAACATTTCAAGCATTTTACTGAAGTTATATTGCGGTAGGTAATTGGAAAAAGTAATATATTGTAGTAGGTGGTAGAAGAAAGTGTTATATTATAATAGGTGATTGGAGAAAGCAAATATGTTCGGCCACGATCGCTTATAATAGAAAAATGTTCTTAAAAGAAAAGGCTAACGCGATTTAATTAGATAGATCGCATTGAAGGGATGCTTCGGCAATGGCAAATATGAGCCGTTTTGATGGTAAAAAAGAACCACGATTCTTTTTTATTAGGCTAAGCTTAACAGAAGAATCAAAAATAACTAATGCATTAAAAAAGCAATGTTTAAATTTAAAGAAATGGAAAAGAATTCAATGTTAAAAGCCATGAGTTTAAAAAAAATTTTTTATATTTTTACCCCGAAAAACACTGTTTTTGGCCCACTCAAAGAAATGGTAAATCAATCTGAAAAGCCTAGGAGTTTAAAAAAATTTTTTTACGTTATTCTCAACCCTATTTTACCCCTTTCAACTCACTAATCAGCCCCAAAAGGAAAGGGTTCGAAAAGGAAAGAGAGAGAGTCGTGTGCGCCCATAGCCCGTTGAACGCACGCCATCCCGTCCGATCTGGCAAGTTAAGCAACGGTGCGCTTGATTAGTACTTGGATCGGAGACGTCCTTGGAATCTCAAGTGGCGTACGCCTTTTTGACGTTTTATGGTACTTTTTGGTACTGTTTTTGGGTTTGGGGGTAGAAGAGGGTTGTTTTATTTTGTTTTAGGTGTGTTTGGGTAATACAATTTGATAATGGCTTAAAAAAAATAACTTTTGAAAAAACAATTGAAAAATTGGTTTTTTTAAATTTCAAAATTATACTTTTTGTTACAAAAACAACCGACGGTTGTGTTATTTTACTGGATTTGTTATGTTGATTTGTGATTGTAGTTTTAACCTGCAATTACTTGCTTTTCTGATGGTTGCCATCGGTACGTTGATCATGTCGCCGATATGTTGGCTTGGCTATCAGGAAAAGAAGTGTGTTTTCAAACTTTTTAATTTTCAAATTTTTTAAAATTTTTAAGATTTCAAAAAATATTTTAATTTTCTTAAAATTTCGAAATTTTATAAATTTGATTTTGTAAAATTTTTTTTATATTTAGAATAGAAACCTTGAAGTTGTTGAGTAATGAAACGATAGATGACTTTGGTTTTTCGAGTTACTTATCAATGAGTTGTGTTACGAAATGGTCGGAGTGGACACTTAATACCACACATTGGTCGAATTCAAGATTTGGTAGTTTTGAAATTTTAAATTCTACTTCTATCTTTCTCTAAGACCCAGCCTGCTTTAAAAATTACCCCGCCCCACGATTTGTCTTTCTTAAAATCTACCTTGCCCTAAGACTTACCCCGCCTTAAGAGCTACTCCGTCCTATGTTCTACCCTACGTCTACTCATACCCAATACTATCTAACTTTTTCTAAAGTTTATCTTATTTTACCCTGATAGTATAGCATTTACTTTTTTTGTTACAGTATACTTTTTTATATTTTTGTTACAGTATGGCAGCGGACTCGACAAAACGCGTTATGTGAGCCAGAAGACGAGACTGTTCCCGTGGAATGTCCCCTGAATCCAGAATTTGAAAAATCAGTCATCGTTTTAACCACAAGCATGCTACAAGATGACAAATGTGTAAGTTGACAAAACACTATAATACTGTTCTTTTTCAAAATATAAAAAAAACAAATATATTAAATTTATTAATTTTCAAAAAAAACGATAACAAGGTCATTATATTGGTATGAAACGTAACCTGTATGGTAACTGATTAGACCGATAGAACTTGTGCACCCCTTTAGCCTTTCGCCCCTCCAATCCAGCAAATAAATTACACGCTTTGGGGCTTTTCCTTTGGCAGTTGAGACATTTGACAACATCGGTTAACTCTTCGTTTAAACATTCTATAAAACATTGTTCACAAGAGACCGTCTTCAGACATTGAAGACAGAACACTGGCTTAATGGCTTCGTCTTCCAAACAAACACGACAATTGTCATTCTTGATATCGAATTTGCGACTGATTTTTAGCAGAGAGGTGGCTATCCTGAAATCCGTTTATAAATAAGAGCAACTGTTTTGGTTAGTCGGACAGGGTACTGTAAATTAAAGCTATGGCAGAGTAAATTAGGGTAGGACATGTTAGGGGTAAGGTAGGGATATAGTATCGTAGGGTAGGGTGAGGCTTATCTATTTTTATATTTTTTATTTTATGATACTTATCATAACATACCCTACCCTATTCTACTTTACCCAACGCTGCCTAAGGTTATGCTATTATATTTATAATGATTACTAATATAATAAGGGTTTACTTACCTCATCATTTCATTATTGGCTTCTCCCATTTGTGACCACAAATCTTCTCCCAACTCTGACTTTTGCACCACCAATATATTCTCGTATTTGTTAGAATACAATTCCGCTATACTGAGCAAAGCATTATGCTTTTCTTCAGCATATCTTTTGTCTTTTTTCAAGAACCAACGTTTGAACATCGATGGGAGTTTCATTTTTAGGTAAAAATTAGTTAATAGATCTACAAATAAATAAAAATAAGTTTTAAAAAAGTATAAACAACTATGTTCAAAAGGTAATAGAATAGACCGTCTAAACGGCTATAATATAAACCTTTTACCTGATTGAGCTTATTGTTAGAATGGGCAATAAAAAATGTCTCTCGATTAGACTCTGTTGAGAAAAGAAAGCCTGCGCGTTGCTTTAAAGCTAAGACAAAAGCATTGAGCTGAGGTTAAAAACAAGGTTTTTCAAAATTTGATTTTGTGTTAAAAAGGAAAAATTCGCCGAACCACGGTTGTCATATTTTTAAACACTTAAATGAAGACCTTAGGCATTTTTGTGTTTGTTGCCGTTTTTTCACCGTGGAAGCCTTCCAAGGTGTCTACAGAGTCAACGAGCTGCAGCAAATCAGATCTGAACTTGGCAATTTTATGGGCGATGCATTCTGTTGGTTACTACGCGCGTTGTGGTCAACAAGCAAAGTTTTCATCAAGGTTGTGTGTGTGGTGCTGAAGGTGGTACGCGATTTGTTTGTATGGAACTGGATTGGAGTGGAAATCTCCAAGTATTGCAAGACCCATCGTAAGTTTTTATGCCAACTTTGAATTTTTTTTTAGCTTTAGCTCTGTACGATTTTTTAACTTACGTTTGGTCATTTTTAGCTGAAGTCTTAATTGATCCAAAGATCTTGCTTCGGATGTTGTTCGAATATTGTAAGTTAACGTTACTTTTTGGTGCTGTAAATTATTACATTCATTTTCTCTCTAAGTTGTGTTATGTTTAGGCTGGGATGAATTCAAAGACCTCTTTGGTATTAGCATCGTTCACATTGTGGGCACAGAACCAAGAACCGAGTGGATATGGACATCAGTTTTTGATAACGTCGCCAAATACAACCAGTTCGTCGCTTCTCTGGGTCCTCCGAGAACTATGTGTTTTAACGGAACGGCAATCAAAGTGTATCCCGGAGAGCTAGGTATGCTCCTGATGGGCATTCGAATGTCGGAACGTAAGAATTCTGACGTTCTTTGGAATTGTCCATATGAGCTCAATGTAGCGTACGGTGGTAAACTCCACAATTTTATAATTTTTATGATTTTTCTTATATATGTCATTTTTGTACGTAATTTTTATATATTTTCCTAATATATGTATTTTTTTATATAATTTATTATGTAAATTAATAAACCTTTATTATGTTACATAGTTTGAACTATAACAAGTTCTAGAAAAGTAATATCATTAGTTTCTGTTGAATGTGAAAGGAGTAGTTATACTTATTTAAAACCTAATATCATGCTTGTAAAATAAAGTATCATTTTAGTTCTAAATAAAGCTACAACGTCCTACTTGCAGTACCATTTCTTTATTATTATGCCACTATTGAGGCGCTAAGATACCGCTTTAGTACTATTCCTACCTTAGAATTCTTATGAAAGTACCACGTATACTACTTTGTGACGTTTTAGTACCATTGTACAAACAATTTTGCTTCATTGTACTATTTGTTTAACACGGGGTTGGGTAGGGTAGGGTGGAAGATTGAATATTGTAATTATTTTTAATTTTGCGATCCGGAATTGTCGCAAATCCGCATTCCGGAATTGTCACTCCTTCAATAATTGAAAAAGAATTATCTAAAGCCCATAAATGATGACTTCTAGAACTTACCATTGCCGGCATCTAACTTAAAATTTCAAAAACATTTAAAAATGTCTAAAAACACATAAAATCAACAATAATTGATAAAACAAAAGCTTTTTAACAGTAAAAACGACACTTTATTTAATCTTTTAATTAGTTTTTATAAATCTTAACCTAACTTTTTCAATTTCAGGTAGCTAAAATCAGGGAGACTTTGGAATTAGAACCTTCATTCTACGTCAAATTATTGAATGATACCGAGGCAACACCTTCTATTGATTGTAACATTTGACCTAAATAAATTTATAAACTTTGGTTATGTTTTTTATATCTGAAGAATGTTCTTTACAACGAATCTAATAAATATTCTTGTTTTATTGCTACAGTCGGCTAAAACTGCAGTCCCAAAGCAATAGTTATTTCGCGCCAAAATTTTGGTTTAAATTTATTTTTTGAAAAATTCAAAGAAAAATTGTTTTCCTTCATGTTTTTCGTAGTTTCACCGCTTCCAATAATGTTTTTACTTTAGCTTTTCTGTTATTTTACATCTTTATCAGCTTATAATTAAGATTTTTAACGTTTTATTTAATTATAGGGGTTTAGATCAAGGATAACATAGAGAAATGGTGTTGAATCCGGATGAAATTCGCCTGGTTGCCAACATGAGCGTCGAAGAGCTTTGTGCTCACTTTAACAATGATTTGGTACGAATTAATGAGTGCAAAGAGGAGATTAAATATGTATGTTTGTTTATTTTTTGTGTTTTTGTTTTTAGGAACGTTCAAGTGGTGTACAATATGGTTTGAGGTTTTTGCTTGAGAATAGGAGACTAGCTTGGCTTAGAAGGCTTTAACAGATAGTTTGTTACTATTTCAGCTTATAAGGACAATAATGGATTAAAAGTTGTAGGCTTCTTTTAATTATCTCGTCTTACTTGGTCATCTACTATAACATCGATTTTAGTAAGATTTTTGTGTGTGGATGGGGCTGAGGTTTAAGATATAGGAAAAATTGCATATTTTAATGCTTTAAAGGTTTAAAGGCGACCAAACTGTTGAAACTGACAAAAGTTATGGTTAATTTACTAAACGTGGTAATGGGCTACCCTGCTGTTTGAAAATGTTTTTTTTTGAGATAAGATATATCAAGGTTTGTATAATATAAAGGGAAAAGTTATGCTGAGCACGTTTGTTTAAAATTTTGACAATTTTTGTCAAACATTTTTTTCAGTTATGACGAGTATTACCATGTTTTAGCAATACGAAAAGCGAAAGGCCGCCCAAGACCATCGCAATGAATTTTTGGAGTCGATGGTGCAGGAAAACGAATCTCTGGATCGACGAATTGAAGAAATGCGCGAGAAACGTAAAGAAGCGGCCGAACGTGTAGCCAAGGCGAAGATTATATTGGCCCAGAAGCAAGAAGATGCGAAGGCCAGAGCTCAACGAAAAGAAGAACAAGAAGAAAGACGACGTCGAGCTATGAACTCAGGCAAGACTAAAGAAGCTTTGGAAGAATTGCAGAAGAAGTCGGATGAGAAACACAAGGAACTGGCGTCGTTGGACGAGAAGAAGATGGAGAAGATCGAAAGAAACGTGAGTTATGGTTGTGTTTAGCTATTATGTGTGCTTGTTTGTTTTAGTTGGTAGAGTTGATGTTATGTTAGATTGAACTAGTTTTAGTAAAAGATGGATAATTATGGTCAGGAATTGAAGTACATATAGTATTTTAGAAAGCCCTGGTAGAGAAATTTGTAAAAATGGAAGCACAGAAGGCTGAGGTTCTGGAGAAGTTGGAACAGCTCAGAATGGCTGATTCTAACCTCACGGAGCAGTTGGAAATCATGGAGAACACTTTTGAACAGCTTAAGGAGAGTCTTGAGGTGAGTTGATTATTTTAGGTAACTATTCATCGAATAACAGAAGTTTTATGTTAAAAATTGAAAAATAAGGTTTATCTTTCAGGAATGTCGCGTCGAATTAGAATCAGCCAAACACAGTGCTAATGCCACGAATCAAGCTCGTCCATCTCTTTACAGTGAAGTAAGTATAATATTTTGTTATATTGTTATGAATTTAGGTAATGGAAGACAAGAAAGCTAGTGAGAAAGGTTATCTTGATCTCTGTGCCAGTATTCGTTCACTAAAAGCCAGCAAAGAATCATTGGAGAGCCAGCTAAAGACCTTGGAGCAACAACCTGAAGCGACTGGTCGACAGGCCTTCATTGGCTTTGGTAAGGTAGTTTTGAGGTGAAAAAAGATTATAGAGGGGAAGGGTTTGGTCGAAAAGTTTACAGAAAACAGGATATGATCGAAAAGTTAATAAAAAAGCTTATTTTAGTCGAAATGTTTAGAAACCTTGAGCTTGGTTTAATGATATTGTTTTAGATACGATTGTAGCCACATTCAAGCAAGTTACTGTTTCGGCCGATGCATTTTTTACAACTGCAAAGAACATTGAATTTACAGCCAAATCAGGAGCCCTTCAGACCTCTTTTCCTAGCCAAGATCAGCAAAAGATCTTTAATAGAGTACAGTAAGTATCTAAAATAATACTTTTTGATGGAAAAGTCGATTTTTCACACTAATTTTGTAGATTCACACTAAAAAGTTAATATGTATTGCTAGAGAATTTAATTTTGTAGAGTATAATGTTTGTTTTGTTTAGTGCACAACTGAGAATCGCGAGAAAGAGCTGCGAAGACGCCAAGTTGTTCACCACCACAATACTGGAGGAGATCCGCAAATTGATGTAGATCGATACGAAGAACACGATTGATATGTATCTTCATGTACAATATAGTTATAACACATACATCCGGTTCATGAAAATGTTATTTTGTACTTAATTGTCTATTTATTCTGGTGTTATAAGCATGTGAACTTATTTTTGCTAATAAATATAAATTATTGATGGAAAATGAAGTGATATCATGTTGAAACTTAAAAATAATATTGTAAAGTTGAAATATAAAGTGTATTTTTATACATTTATGTTGTTTAGCACCGTAAAAACGTAATTTATTAAGGACAATATTGTTTTAAAGGTCTTGTTTTCCTCAAAACACCAGTTGACTCAAACTAATTTTAGGAAAAAACTTGGCCCATTTTCTCGAAATCCGCAAAATTTTCTTTTTCTCGTAAGCTGATTCGTATGATGCAAGAGAATGTTGAGTATGAATCGTAGAACAACCCGTTTACTAGCTCGTTCGGTGCACTCGATCATAAAGAACAGTCGGTTTTATAGCGAGCTACCCAAAGCTTCACGATCCAAGGTAAGTTGCATGTTATTCATGAGATTTTTCAATTTTTAGGAGAACCTTCTCTCACCATCTGATGTTCTATTTGTGCTGCGACAGAATGGAGATTTGGGTCATCAATTGAGGTACATTCAGAACCGGCTTCAAGGCCAACGGTTTCGGTTTTTCAACAAATCTGAAAAGGATGCCAGCACTGGAGGTGACAAAGGTAATTTTGAAATTTTGTCTGGTTTATGGTCATATGTTGTGGCCAAGTTTCGTAATTAGTTAGACAGGATGTTGATCTTGTTTTAAAAATAATTTTAGATGTAATTTTACTAGGGATCTTTGCTTTTGGGGCATTTTAACATGTGTTAGATGTCTATGATAAAATAATGTAAAGTAGTGTAAAAATTTATGTTTTTGGATTTTAAATAGTTGTAAAACGCAAAAATAATAGGTTAAAAAGCTCTTGAAAAAAATATTTTAAATTAATTATTCACTAATGATGTTGTTTTAGGCAAAGCAGCAGATGGCAAAGAAGCCGGCGGTTTGAATCTGTAAGTTAATATCTCAAATTTCAATTTCTGTATTTAGACCTGGAAGCAATTGGCAAAAGATTGCGGTAGCAGCTGCGGTAATCTTTTTTCTACACGTTTTAACCGAATATGCGTCTTACAAAGAGGTATCATGGAAGGAATTCTTTTCTGACTTCTTGGAAGCTGGCAAAGTCGAGAGGTTGGAAGTGATAAACAAAGCCTGGGTTCGAATTGTCAGCAATCAAAGCTCGGCTACGCCATACGTTTACTACTTTAACATTGGGTCGGTGGACAGCTTTGAACGATCGTTGGCCGCTGCTCAGCACCATCTTCAGATCGAACCGGAGAGACAAGTGCCAGTTCTGTACAAGAATGAGACTGATATGTAAGTTTTTTTTGTGTTTTTGGTATTTAGACAACTTGTTAACCAAAAACAAACACAAAACCCTACCTTACAGTTAACAAGTGATATATTTTAGCAAACGCGAGATCCCCAACATTATATCAACAGCTGTTCCATTGTTCTTTGCTTACTACCTTTACCGTACCTTTATGAAGAGTGGAGCCGGTGGTGCCAAAGGTGGTGGTGGACCATTCGGAGCAGGTGGATTGTTTGGAGTTGGTCAGAGTACGGCTCGCGTGATAAACAAGGAGGATATTAAGGTGACGTTCAGAGATGTGGCCGGTTGTGAAGAGGCCAAGATTGAAATCATGGAGTTCGTCAACTTTTTGAAGAATCCAGGACAATACAAGGCTCTAGGGGCTAAGATTCCGAAGGTATGCGTTCATATTTCATTGTATTTTACTTTTAGGTCTATTGTAGTTATATCTAATTGATAACAGTAGTCAAAAATAATGAAAAAGCTTAAAAACGACCAAAAACTTATGTTATCCATGTCATTTTAGGGCGCCCTTCTTACCGGCCCCCCAGGAACCGGTAAAACTCTGCTAGCCAAAGCAACGGCAGGCGAAGCCAATGTGCCATTCATCACAGTATCAGGTTCCGAATTTTTGGAAATGTTCGTGGGTGTAGGACCGGCCAGAGTACGTGATATGTTCGCTCAAGCCAGGAAGAGCTCACCGTGCATATTGTTCATCGATGAAATCGACGCTGTCGGCCGAAAAAGAGGCGGCAGGGGTGGAATGGGTGGACATTCTGAACAGGAGAACACATTGAATCAACTGCTGGTGGAAATGGACGGTAAGTGGGATGGAGGGTGGAGTAAAAAGGTGTTTGGGGGGGGGGGTGGTTTTTTGAAATTAAAAAAATTTTTTTTTGAAATTTTAAAATTTTTTTTAATTTTTGATTTTTTAATAAAACTTGAAATTTTAATCATAACCTTTCCAGGATTCACAACCGATGACTCATCTGTAGTAGTTATGGCCGCCACGAACAGAGTCGACATCTTGGACAAAGCCCTCCTCCGACCGGGCCGTTTCGATCGTCAAATCTACGTCCCAGTACCAGACATCAAAGGCCGTGCCTCAATCTTCCGAGTCCATTTGGGACCGCTGAAGACCAGCCTCGACAAGACCGAACTCTCTCGCAAACTCTCAGCTCACACTCCAGGATTTTCCGGCGCCGACATTGCCAATGTTTGTAATGAAGCGGCCCTGATCGCGGCTCGTGACGCCAACGACGAAATCACGATGAAAAACTTTGAAGCCGCGATTGAAAGAGTCGTAGCGGGCATGGAGAAGAAGAGTCAGGTGCTTCAGCCCGAGGAGAAACGCACCGTAGCATTCCATGAGGCTGGGCACGCGGTAGCCGGCTGGTTCTTGCAATATGCTGATCCTTTGCTTAAGGTGGGTTGGGTTTTTCGTGGGTAATATTGGTTGTTGAGCAAGATATGTTGTTTATGGTTAATAATATTGTTTGCTGGACGAGATATGTTGTCTATGGGTAAATATTGTCATAGGCTCATCAAAATTGATTTTATCCATTACACTCTTATTAACTTTTATATTATCCAGGACACTTTTACTAAAATTTATAATATTCATGATCTTTTTACTAATCAATCATATTATCTATAAGGCTTTTAATCGTCCTTAAATTAATCATTAAACTTTAAATTTAGTTATCTATCAACCTAATTTAATCAAACTTTAGGTATCCATCATCCCGCGAGGCAAAGGTCTCGGCTATGCCCAATACCTACCAAAAGAGCAGTACCTGTACTCGAGAGAACAGTTGTTCGACCGAATGTGCATGACCTTGGGTGGTCGAGTATCAGAAGAGATTTTCTTTGGCCGAATCACCACCGGAGCTCAGGACGATCTTCAGAAGGTCACTCAAATGGCTTATTCACAGGTATGTCCTCTAAGGTTTTAGGTGGTATTTTATTCAAAATTCGGATTTTCAGCTTGATATTGATGTTATTTTAGGTATAACGTTAAGATGTGACTTCTTTTTTGATATTATCATAGGCACTCCTCTAACTTTCAACCCCTTTTTCAGATTGTAAAGTACGGTATGAGCGAGAAAGTGGGCCCCCTCTCCTTCGACACAGCCCAACCGGGCGAAATGGCCACCGACAAGCCCTATTCAGAAGCCACCGCCCAGCTCATCGACCAAGAAGTCCGCGAACTCGTGAACAAGGCCCTGAACTGGACTCGCGAACTCTTGGTTTCGAAAAGAGAACAAATCGAGAAGGTGGCTCAACGACTACTCGAAAAGGAAATTCTGGCTAGAGACGACATGATCGAACTGCTAGGTAAACGGCCGTTTGTCGAAAAGCACACTTACGAAGAGTTCGTGGCTGGCACAGGCGGAATGGACGAAGACACTAGCCTGCCGAAGGGCCTTGGTTCGTGGAATGAAAGCAAAGAAGACCAGAAGAAGAAGAAGGAATCGGAAAAGAGCTCGGATTAGGTATTCAAAGGTTTTGGCAATGATTTTGGACGAAAATTGAGGGTTTGGCATATTATACTAGGTTTTGGGTGATTTTTGACCGTTTTTGATGATATTATAGTAGATTTCGAGAGAATTGCGATTGGTTTTTAAGTTTACTGTGTATTGCGGACAAGATTTGACCGATTTCGATCAGTTTTCATCATGTTAAGTGATGTTATAGTAGGTTTTGTTCAAGATTTTGCTGATTTTGATCGTTTTTGCTGATATTATAGTAGATTTTGTGGGATTTTTGATTGGTTTCGATTAAATATTGTTTGTTTTATAAATTGAAAGTGAGTCGGGCACAAATTTTGATTGATACTGCTGAGTTTGAGCTTGTTTTAACTATGTTATAGTAAATTTCGTACGGTTTTTTGTGGATTTTGATCTTTTTTTTTGATATTATAGTAGGTTTTGATCAAATTTTTGATGTCCTTTATGCTTTTGTTACTGTTTTTTGAATTCAAAGAGAATTTGAAACAAATCAAGATTGATTTCGACCGGTTCAACCAAGTTTTAACTATATTATAGTAGGTTTTTATAAAATTTCAGCCGATTTTCGTCATATTTCTGATGATATTCAAGTAGATGTCGCCAAACCTTCTTATATTCTTGTCCAAATTTAGCTGCTAACACTACTAATTGTTAGGATCAATTATTTTTCTATTATTGTAATCGTTGTTACATTATTCCTGGTTTTACATTATACCGTTGAGTAAACAAATAAACAAGAAAATTGGATACAATTGGAAGATTTGATAAGGATAACAGTGTTTTTAACATTTATTTTATGATTGTTGTGTTTGTGGTATCAAATAGATAAATTTTGGTATCAAGCATGTTGATTTTGGTACTAAACAGCAGACTTAAACAGCTTGTTTTGGTACCAAACAGTTTGCTTTTACTACTATTAGGTTGTTCAATTAATTCTGCGCTCTCTCTCAAAGCAAATTTGTGTGGTAAGGGGGCGCAGAATTATGTGAACAACCTAATAAATATATTTTACTTTGTTTTAATCGGTTTTGAGGGTTTATTTTATGACTTTTGGATATTATAATAGGTGTTTTACGTAATAATGGTCTATTTTTCCGTTGTTCAATATCTTACAGGTCGAGACAGAAAATGGAACGCACTGAAAAACAGAGAACGTACTTTGTAATGGTTGAACTTGAAGAAGAGTGGCCGTCAATTATAAAATACGCCTATAAAGGGATGAAAAAGTAAGTTAGTAAAAGTAAAATTTAAATTTTTTAAAATTATTTAAAATCTTGATTTTGTCCTATATTTTTACTGTAACTTACCGTAAATTACAATATTCTTACCCTACCACCACTCTTATGCGTAGTTCTACCCCTACTGCTTCTATTCCTACCACAAACCCTAGCCTGCTCTAATTTGCTCTACGTCAGCTCTAGGTCTATTAGGTTGTTCACATAATTCTGCGCCCCGTACACCACAAATTTGCTTTGAGAAGGGGCGCAGAACGAAGTGAACGCCCAAATAGTATATTCTACTCTATACATATGCACTAGTGTACTATATGTACTTTATTTTACACTGCCCTAGTCTATCCTAGCTTTACTTTTCTGTACTCCACCTCACATTATGTTATCCTATCCACCATACCCTATCCTACTTTAGACTACCTTATTCTACCCTACATTTCTCTGGCTTTGCTTTTTCCTGCCTTCTTCTATCTTGCAATAGCTTTGTTTATGTTCCCTGCCTTACATTATATTAGTCTACTTTTTCTTAATTTTACTTTTCTATACTCTACTTTACATTATATTGTCTTACCTTACCTTACCTTACTTTATCTTACCTTGCCTTACCTTACCTTACCCTGCCTTCTCTTTTTTTTCTTGCCCTTGTTCACCCCGCCCATAACGATCTTTCTGAATAGACATGAGAAACGGGCTGGGCCAGCCTTGAGAAAAATTTAAATCGGGCCGGGCCTGAAAAATGGGCTTGGCTTGTTTCCCATGTCTACTTCTGAACATGATAATATTAAGTTAGCGAATATTGTGATAAACCTGGACTGTCCTTTTATCAATAGAGGGTCTTTTTCTGTTTGTCTCTCTCTTGACAATCATTTTGTTGTTTTCTCATGGAAATACAAGAGAGGGGGGGGGGAGGGAGATTATTATGTTTTGGAAAGTAACTGAGGCGTTTACTGGCGAGTGGATCAAAACAAGCGGGTTGTTTATATACATTGTATTCCCTTACCTTTTGAAATTTAAAAAAATTTTTTTTTAATTTTTGTAAAATAAGATAGGGTAATTATATAATGTGATATGGGCAGGGTATGTTTTTATAGAGGTAGGGATCTTATCTATGGAGGCAGGGGTGTCATCTTCATTTTTTATACAGTCAGAACTAAAATATATTGTTATAGATGATCCAGAGGATATTATACATACTAGTCTTCCTATCATTATGCCGTGAAGCTACTGGTAGTTATGTAGAAGGATGTAGCTCTCATTGCACAATGACTCCAGGTGAGAGCTCGTGGCAGTGTTGGGATCAAACCACCAGCTATTTCGAAGCGTCACTTCTTGGACAGCTACGTAACTTTGTCAATGCTGAAGTGAGTATTATATTGGTATTTTATGGTACACATATTATGAAGAATAGTAGATTTTAGAATTGGGGGTAGGGTAAAATAAGCCTGCGAGGGTGGGAAAAAGGTAGACGTAAGGGTGGGTATGTCTATTGGTTAGAGTAGGGGCAAGGGCAGGGGTAAACTAAAGTAGCCATACTTTTAAAACAATTAAACCAAATTTTTTAGATAGGAATAGCGCAATGGAGAAAAGAGCACGAAAACAATATAAACTGGGACCGGGCCAGAGAAGAGACGGTCGAACGGATGGTCAATAACCTACCTCCTTTGATTGAGGACGAAGACGATCTAACTGATCAAGATCTATATAACTCTGTCATTGGGGCTCTAATCAAGGATGCTAAGGTAAGAAGACTTTATTTCGCTTTATTTTCGATTATAGATTAACAAGGATTTACAATCTTACTTAACATTTTGAGCACGAATGTATGTTATAGTATCTTATAGTACCCTCTGACCTTATAGGAGCAATTCGAACTAAATCCGGCCCGTGAAGCCGTGCCATCTTGTCCGCATGGATGTGAAAAACCCTCAAAAACATTTTTCTGGCTATTCATTGTCTCGGCACTGGTTACTGTAACACTTATGGGCAGTATCGTATCATTGATCTATATATTAGACTACAAGAACAACAAATACGTGGATATAACTGAAGAAACGCAAAAACAAAAGAGAAAACAACAAAAACAAGCACCCAAGGGATAATTCTACAAAGTTATAATGATATAGAGATATAAAGAAGATAATTCTACAGGGAAAACATGCAATATCGATATTAATGTATATTACACTTGATAAATTAATATTTTTTGAAATAAAATGAATATTTTGGTCTAAAATAATGATGAAGATGTATAAGAAAGGTACTTTAGAATATGATCGTTCAAAAACAGCCTAAAATACGGTCAAAGATTAAAGGAAAATTTTTATTTTAACGTATAACTTGGCAACCGCAGGAAAAGAACTAAAATTCTCTCTTCTTTGCGCACTTTGCGCCCACATTATTCAAGCTTATTATAAATCTGTTTTCGCGCGCTTCTTCATGTAAAAACAAATATCTTTTGGCCGTTTACCAAGTAACAACATCATTTATAGTTTTTTAACTTGACTTTTCTAAAATATTCCGTTTTAATAGTCAGTGCAATGTCCAGCGGAAAGAAACGGGTGTTTCCCTTGTTCGAGAAGTCTGATTCATCATCGAACAGTGCTGCAAAAAGGGCCAAAGGCTCGTCGCTAACGATTTATTCTTGGAACGTCGCTGGCTTGAGGGCTGTAGTTAAAGTAAGTTTTTTACATTAATTTTTGAGCTTTAGAGGTGGATGTCTTTCGAAAACTTGATGTTATTGCTTTAAAATGAAGTAAGATTTACCTAAATTGGTTTTAAAAGATAGATTATAATGTGACCTTGCTTTTAGAGGCCAAAGAAAGGCGATGAAGACATTGCAGCTTTTGATGCGGACATTGTTCTACTTCAAGAGACCAAATGTGATGAATTCCCTCCAGAGATCGGAAGATTAACCGAATATCCGTACAAAAAGTTGTTCCCATCAAAAGACAAGAAAGGCTATTCTGGAGTAGCGTTCTTGGCCAAAGAAAAACCTTTAAAAATGACTGTTGGGATGGGAGACAAACGATTCGATGGTCAAGGGCGTTACTTACATGCGGAATATGAAGATTTTCATGTTATCAATGTGTACGTGCCCAATTCAGGTAGAGGACTGGTTAATCTTGCTTTGAGGCATGAATGGGAGGAGCAGATAAGAGAAAGATTGGCGGAATTGGACAAAGAAAAGCCGGTTATTTACACCGGGGACATGAATGTTGCACATGAGGAAATTGGTGAGTTTTGCTAGTTTTTGCTTGAATTTTAGGCCAATATAAATAAATAAGGAAGGATAATGTTTATTCTTTGTAGATTTAAAGAATCCGAAAGCAAATGCGAACAAATCGGCCGGTTTTACTGATCAAGAACGAAACGACTTCACGGACCTGCTGGGTGATAACTTTGTGGACGTTTATCGCACGTTGAATCCCGACAAAGCTGGTGCTTACACTTACTGGTCGTACTTTGGAAACTCACGCGGTAAAAACGTGGGCTGGCGATTGGATTATTTTGTGGTTAGCAAGAGAATCATGGAAAATGTTGAGGAATGTGAGATTCATTCAGAGGTGATGGGCTCGGATCATTGCCCTATTTCTTTGAAGATCAAGTTATAAATTGATTGTTTTAGGGTTTAAAAGCTTGAATATTATTTTATTTAGCTTGTTGAGAAGTTTTACGGGGATGCTTGGCTTAATTTGCATGGTATACGTCAATATATTGTAGTAGGTCTTCTATATTCGATGTTTTTTTTGCTTTTTGCTGTTTTCCACATTGAAAAAGGGCATTTTGTGAATGAAAATTGTAATTTTTAGAAATGGCTCATCTATTGCATTGTTTTAAAACTGACACTCATTATACTAATGTTGTTCTTTGTTCGTTATATTAACGTTAATCTGCTTGTATTCAATTTTTTCGTAAACCTTGTAGGATCTCTTCAATACGGTTTATTTGGTATAAACGTGTATTAACTATTATAAAATACGTGGAATAAACTAACATAACATGTGTTTTGGATATTATATCAGTTTGGTTTTAATCCAAGCGTATTTACTTTATTTGACAAAGGAAAGCACATTGATTTTTGACGATGTTGAGTATAATATCAGCTGTTTTTTAATTTTAATTGTTGAAAAATGTTTAAATTGTTGAAAATTCAGATGCCGATTCCATTACGGGTGGTGGAGCCAGTGAATGTGAGTCTCGACCGGTTGAATATCGAAAAGACTCGCGATGAACTTCAATGTGTGGCCAATGGTACACTGGCCAACTTGGTAAGACAGCTGAGTTCGTTGAGTATGCATGGAGAACAAATGTTCAATGATATGTTTGAGGAAATGAACAAAGTCAATCAGAAATTGGATGATATTGCGTTGAGAACGGCACGGCTGTATGACAAGGTACATCAGACAGCTGGAGTTGTTCCTCAGTCAGGTAAGATTGAGTTTGGGTTAGTGGAAGGAAATTTTTTGTTATTTTTTTGTTTTGTAAAGAAAGTTCTTACTATTTTTTGTTTTGTAAAGAAAGTTCTTACAATTTTTTGTTTTGTAAATAAAGTTTTTGCTTTGGAAAGAAAGTTATTGCCGTTTTTAGTTTGTAAACAAAGGTTTTGGAGTTTTATGTCTTGTAAAGAAAGTCCTTGCAATTTTCTAATTTTGGAAAGAAAGTTTTTGCTTTGGAAAGAAAGTTGTTGCTATTTTACGTTTGGAAAAGGAAGTTTTTATGTTTTTTAACCATTATTTGAGTTTTGCAGTCTGCGGATGACAAGTTATACGATGAGTGTCATTTTAAGGCTTGTAAAGAAAGTTTTTGACATTTTTATTTTGTAAAGGAAGTTCTTGCATATTTAACTATTTTCAAAATTTTTTGTTTTAAATTTTAAAATTTTCAGGCCGCCTAGCCGACAACAACCTCCGCAAACCCTACCGATCCCAGAACATAATCGACCAGCACACTCTCAGTCGTCAAACCATGCCTCGGGCGATGGTTGAACTCTACGATAAATGCGATCCACCTCCAGCTCTATACCTATTCGATGAGTTTCGAAAAGATAACAAGCCGGCTCTGAAGTACTACACTGATCCCGGCTACTTCTTCGAACTTTGGAAACAAGAGATCCTGAAGGAGTGTGGAATCGACCGAAAGATTCAGAAGAATCGACCACAACCCAATATGCAGCGACCGAAACAGGAAGCCAATCGACGCGTCGTTCATAACGCCAGAACTCTTTTGAATCACTATTCAGAAGGACAGGGCCACAACCAGAACAATTTGGTGCAGTTCCCAACCGAGTATCAGGTAGGGTTATATATCTATTGTTGTAGGTATGATATGTTATGTGGGTTAGTAATAAGCTACTGTATGGTAGGGTATAGTACTGTACGGCAGGGTAGGGTACGGTAGGGTAAGGTAGTGTAAGGTAGGGTACAAAATGGTAAAGTAGGGTAGTTTATGGTAGGGTATGGTACTAAATCGTAAGGTAAGGTATTCTAGTGTAGGGTAAATTATGGCAGGGTAGGGTACAATAGGGTAAGGTAGTGTAGGGTAGGGTACAAAATGGTAAGGTAGGGTAGTTTAGGGTAGGGTACTAAATCGTAAGGTAGGGTATGGTACTGTAAGGTAAGATAAGGTACTATAGAGTAGGGTACAGTAATAAAAGGTAAGGTAGGGTATGGTGGTGTAGGATATAGTACTGTAGGATAAGGTACGATGCTGTAGAGTAGAGTAGGGTGTATTACTATAAGGTAACGAAGGGTACTGTGGAGGAGGGTAAAACAGGTTATTGTAAGGTAGACTAGTGTACGATAGGGCATAACACTGAAAAGTAAGATGTGATACTGTAGGCTAAGGTATGATACTGTAAGATAGGGTATAGTACTGTGGGTTCAAATATGGTATTTTTGGGTAGGGTATAGTACTGTAGGGTAGCTTAGGGCACTATAGGGTAAGACAGGGTACGGTATGAAAAGATACTGTAGTATTATGCGTTTTTAATTAAGGTTTGATAGAATATGATAAGGCCTCTAAAATGGCAATAAATTTATTTACAAAACATAAAACGACATTTGGTGTATAACATGTCACCCGCAGGCTGCAAATTAAAATAATCGTTTTAATACTTAAAAATGGCAAGCACTTTCTTTACAAAACAGAAAATAGCAAGAACTTTCTTTACAAAACAAACAATTATAAAAATTTTTTTTACAATTTGTGTTATGACTAAAACATTATTTTAGGTGCCTCAAATCAATCGTCACGCTCTGCACCACGCTCCAAACTCAATGATCCGCCATCCCCAAATGATGCGCCCCACCCAACCGGCTCCACCCTTGCCCGACCACTTTGACGACGACCCCTCCCACCTCCACCCATGCCCACGAATCGACCGGTCGAACAATATTTTAATGATTTGACTATGAAGATGGACGAAACTGCCTCAAGCGATGCACGCCTCGTTAACACATCGAACACGGATTCTGATGCGCTAACGGACGGGATTCTGAATATTGATGACGATGATTTACCACCCCCACCTCCAGTCATCTCCAGCACTACTATAATGTCGAATACAACGATACAATTCTTGCCACCGCCTACAAGTTTGGCTCAGAATCTGAATTACGGGAATCTGAATCAGCACGGTGAGAACCTGAACGGGAACGGTGGGAGCTTAGCCGTGAACGATGGTAATCTGAGTTCGCACGATGGAACATTAACTTTGCACGATGGGAATCAGAGTTTGAGCCAGAATCACAGTACTAATGGTCAAAGCTACAGTACGAATCAAAACTACAGTACGAATGCTCAAACCTACAATTCGGGCCAAAATCTACCCCCAGCACCACCCCCACCCCCGCCAGTCATCATGATGGAGTCCGTGGTCCAAAGCTCCTTCACCGTCCAGCTACAACAAGATCCAAGCCAAGAGAACATTGAGGTTCAGGAGGAGGAAGAGCCCGAGAACAGCCGATCCAACCTCCTCGACCAGATCAAGGCCGGCTACAAGTTGCGCAAGGTGGAGCGACAACAAGAATCCGAAAAGGCGAAAGCGGCCGTCGAGGCCAACGATGTGGCCGCCATCTTAAGAAGACGAATGGAGCACGTCATGGGGAACGACGACTCGGACGAGGAGCAACAGAGCGATGGAAGCGAGTGGGAATAGAAGGATATTGTGGTAGAGTTATTATTAACCGAAGGTGATCATACGAAGGCGGAGGAGGATATTGTAATCAAAATATTGTGGAGAGAGGCGTGATGTAATAAAGATATAAAGATGTTGAAGTAGAAGAACATGATGTGGTACTACAACAATAAAGAAAAAAAATTGCAGACGTAGGATGATGGTATAACAACATAGTAAAAGCGAGATCGTGAGCTAAAATCGTGAGTTAACCGTCTTTTTTAATTGAGATTTTTTCGAAAAAAGGTGTGTTGTACCGAGTCTAGTAATAGTCTACGGCTATAAAAATAGTTCTTAAGGTTTGTACCAAGTCTAGTGATGACTCTACTATAAGGTATATGATTACTTAAAAACCTTTATTTATAAAAATAATTTTAAAAACTTTGTACCAGGTCTAATAATGACACTACTGTAACATATTATAAAAGTTATTGTAAAAATTGAAGTCAAAAATATGTCAAAAGTCTTGCCCTAAAGTCAAAAGTGTAATATGAATGTCATTTTTAAAGTTAATAATATAAAAATTGGTCTAATATTATTTGCAGTTAAGTTTGTATAAAGAGGAAAGTGTTTTTGCAGTTGTAGTCCTACTTTTACGTTTGTCCATAACGATTTTTCGTATTCAAAAGTTGTTTTCGTATAAACCATCTTAGTGATTTTTACATTATTGTTGTTTCATTTAGTCATTGCCACTACGGTTTTATTGAAATCGTGCTTTTGAAGAACGAACGTTAATAAAAATGTACAATTTGTTTTTGGAACTGGAACTTTGGAATATATAGTACGAAGAGTAGTCTACTAACAATGGCATTGCAACAAATACCCTTCGTGTTTTAAAGTGAGACTCATGTATGATGAAAGAGCATAAACAGTTGCCGAGATACCCGTTTTAAAAAAATTGCTAAATCGCCGTGCTTAGCCAGCTATAGTACGCAAAATATTCAAAAATTGAGCTTACTATAATTTGGCTGATGCAATTTTTTTTTTTTTTTTTAATATCTTGCTAGTCAATGCCATTCAGCAGTTTTGAAAACGGTTATCTTGACAATTTTTTATGCTCCTTCATCCTGTATAGGTCTCATTCTAAAACCCGAGGGATAGTTGGTGCAACTCTCTTGTAAAATAACTATTATCAAATTAGGTTCAAAACTACCCCGCAAACTCTGCATCGACCTGTGAAGGGATCGGGCCTAATGTTTTGATCCACATGTGCAGGCCGGCCGGGTCTAGACACGGGTAAAGGGCCAGGCCTGGATGTTAGGCTCGACCCGATCTAAAATTTGTTTAAGCCCGGCCCGTTCCCCATGTCTAGCCGGGCCTAGTAGATTCATTTTCTGATCTAACCCGTTATCATTCGCGGTTTTACCGCTAAACTTTTTAAAACTAATATTTGGCAGATTTTACAGGGATGAATGAAATTTTTAATTGGTAGAAAAATCTGGCTTCTTTTCAAAATTTTAAAGTTTAAAAGAAAACGTTTTTAAACCTAAAAAGGAAATAACAAAAAACTGTTCCACGGAAGTTTAAAAAACAAAAATATTGGCAGGCGGGTACACAAATCAACCATCCGACAGCTAATTGAAGATATTGTAAAATAAAAATATAACGGAAAATATAGTAAAAGCAAGTTAAGCCAGACATTTATGGCATTTTAAGATAGCATGGGGAACTGTAGCAATAGCTGGGTAGAAGAGAAGGAGAGACCGAAATATAAAGCTTGGAGGCATACATTACAGTAAACGTTTGAATTTCATAAAACTGTTGATAAGGCGTATAAAAAGAAGGCATTTCCTTGTTATTGCGTCTGGACATTGTTTTACTGTGTGAATATGACTTTGTAAAGGCTAGGGGTAGAAGAAAGAAAGGTAGCAGTTAGAGTTTATTGAGAGTTTCGGTTTAGATAAGTAGGTCATATCGGATTAGATTTGGATGAGGGCCCAGTAGGCACGGCCTGAACCCGGGCCGGGCTGAGTATGGCCGAAGCAAATTCGAAAACTGGGACATGGGAGGAACAAAAGATTTGTTTGCACCGGAGAAGTACGGTGCAAGCTGCCTCAGTTACTATTTTAACGAATTTACATAAGAGAGATCGGGCCGGACTAAAGCAAATTTGGAAAATGTCGGATTGGCACACGTAGACCAAACCGGGACTCAAACTAAAGCGGTATGGCTCTCTCTATTTATAAGGTTATATAGTCTATGGGCCATATGGGACTTTAAAAAATTTTTTTTTAGTTTTGTTTATCTATGTTTTTGTTGATGTTTATATGTTTGTTTGACGGTAAAATTGATGCGTGTTTTGCTTTTTTTGGTAAACTTGATGAATTTATAGACATTGTTTACAGATAAAAAGTTTATCCATTTTAGAAACCATGTACTTCTCAAGGTTTGTATTAGTTATTGCTTTTGTTTTACTTGGCCTTGTGTCTGTACAATCGGCTGTTTCACTCGGTGATGTACTGTAAGTTGGGTTTAATATTTGTTTTTTAGGTTTCGGCGCATTTTCAACATAACACAATGAAAAAGAACAAGGAAGGTTAAAAATGGCCCTTAGGCCTTTTAACATTAACAGTAAAACTCTCGTAATTCTACACATTAAAACACAATAAGATTATTAGTAGTATATAACAGAACAAGAACAACCATATTTATGATTAAAAACCAAACTAAAACTTAAAATTTCAGAATCCGTGAACGTCGTGGCTACGGTTATGGTGGTGGTGTACCACTCCCTCCACCCCCACCACCATCGTATGGTTACGGCGGTGGTGGTGGATACGGCGGCAGTGGCTTTGGCGGTCCAGGTATTGGTGGTTTCGGCGGTGGACCATCGTTCGGCGGTGGATTTGGAAGGAAATGAACTTACTGATAACACTGCGAACATTTTTTTCATAAAAAAAATAAAAAATTTGTACAATAAATTTTACCATATTCTTATTGAAATTAGACCTGAAAACGGACCGAAGCAAATTTAAAAAGGCCCAGGGGCCTAGCTTAAATACAGCAACGAAACAAAGTAAGGGTTATGTAGGGTGAGCCTTTAAAGCAAGGATTAAAGGGCACAGAATTATTTGAACAACATGATATTTTAATAAACTTATATAAGGGGCCGGGCCGAAGCAAATTTGGAAAAGGCCGGGCAGGCACCATAACTCCAAGGGCCGGGCCCCAAACCAATACCGCCGGTCGGGCCGAAAAATTGGACCTGGCCTCTTTACAGGTCTAATTGCGATGAGTAATGTCTAATTTTTAAAAAAAATTTAACAGTGAAGACATACACTAACAAAATCATGAAACAAATCTGAAACAGTTCATAATAGAGCAGTATGTGGCTATGATGTAAGGATGTTCAAGAATGTATTGTAGTGTTGTTCAGCAAACAGTCAAATTTAAAATGAAATGTCTACTCACTGTTCAAGTTTCATAAACAATTAACCTTCGTAATAGGTTCAAAACCACTCCGCCAACTCTGAATCATTCGAACATAAATTTGGCAAATTTTACGCGAATTAATGAAAAAGTTGATTGATGGAAACCTTTGATTCTTTTCACAATATTCTAGTTTAAAAGCAAATGTGTAAGGAAACAGTAAAGAGACTGTTTCACGGAACAGTTTAACAAACGAAAAGTATGAAAAAAACTTATTACACAACATCACCATCACGCGTTTGTCGAAAAGATTGTGAATGCAAACTTGAAAAGATTGTAAAAAGACAGTAAAACAGAGATTTGTAGTATAGTAAGAAAGCAAGAAGAGTTGTAACAATAGGTGGGTGGAAAGAGAAGAGGTCGGAATATAGAGAGAGGTCGAAATGTAGAGAGAAAAGTTGAGGTTTACAGTAAAATGAATGTTTCATAAAGATGCTGGTAAAGGTGTATATAAAGAACGCTCTACATTTCTTTATTAATGTGTTTGCACCTTGTTTTACTACTTCCAGATGGGTTATCAACTTTTTGATTTGAAGTTAGGCTTAGAGTCAGTAGGTGGAATAAGGAGGCAAAGGTTTAGTTACTACAGGCTAATTACGCTTAAAGGGGCTTCTTTTAAATAATCTTTGAAATTTGGTAACAATGGTGCAACTCAATTTTATTTTGTTTGGTCTAACTAATGAACATGGTTGAAGCAGTTTTTTTTATTTTTTTTGTATTTTTAATTTTTTTTTGTGTTTTATTGAATTTTATATGTTTTTGTTTATTAATGCGTGTGTTACCTTTATATTGTATTCTAAAAAATTGTCAGTTTTAGAAACCATGAAATTCTTAAGGTTTGGGTTAGTCATTGCCTTTGTTTTACTTGGCCTTGTGTCTGCGCAATCAGCTGTGTCATTGGACGATGTACTGTAAGTTTTTTATAGAACTATTTTTTGCGGTTACAAGGCTTTAGAACTGGATTTTATGACAATAAGATATGAAATGGTTGTAAATAATTTCAAAGAAAATATTGACGCCGTTCATATAAACTATGTTTTTGAGTTGGACTGAAAATAGTTTAGAACTTGAAGCAAAGATTCACAAAATAACCATTACTACTTTATAAGAAGCTAACTAGTACACTACACTATAACAAGGAGAATCATACTAATGATTAAAAACCAAAATAAAACTTACAATTCCAGAATTCGTGAACGTCGTGGTTACGGCTACGGTGGTGGGGCTCCTCCACCACCTCCTCCTCCACCACCCCCTCCACCACCTCCACCACCACCACCAGTCAAATCGTATGGTTATGGCGGCGGCTCCAGCTACGGTGGAGGCCTCGGCGGTGGTGGGCTTGGCGGTATCGGAGGTGGACTTGGCGGTGGGGCATCGTTCGGCGGTGGATACGGAGGCACCTTCGGTGGAAGTGGTTATGGCTACAATAAGTATGGAAGAAAATAAACCATGTTTTACTGATAAGAATGTAAAAAATGACTCTACATTAAAATAATTTAAAATTATTTTGTACAATAAATTTTTGAAAATAATTATGATAGAATATAATTAAAAATGTAAAAGAAGCAAAATTGAAATGACTTATAAAATAAAAGCAATCTCTTTATTCTTTTGCACTAGAATAAATTGTTATACGAACGTCTGATGCATAGAAAACAATAATGATTGTTTAAGATAGCGTTTTGTTCTAGTTATTCATGAAACAATCAATTTTCTTGGAAATAATTAACGATGGCACATGAATAGTTTGGACAATGAGCAACACACAGCGTTGACTCACATAGTATATAAAAACGAAACATTTGACCATGTTATTTTGTCGTTCAAAATGAAAATTTTCATTTTGGCAACAGCCACATTGGCTGTCTCTTGCCATGCTTTTCCATGGGTTTCGACTAATGAGAGTGTTTTAAACACGGATACAAGTATGAACTCTAATGGTACGCCAACTCCGTATTATGACAGTACTACTACTCGTCTTGTTCAGACTAATACATCTGGCGATACTACAGGTACGGATTTATTTACTAGTATGACAACTTCATTCGATGATAGTACTACATCCCATACTGACGTCTCTACTCCAACAACTCCATCAGATGAAAGTACTACTTATTATACAAACACTTCTGAGCCTACAAGTGCAAAAACTCCATCAGATGATAGTACTACTTATTATACAGACACTTCTGAGCCTACAAGTGCAAAAACTCCATCAGATGATAGTACTACTTATTATACAGACTCTTCTGAGCCTACAAGCCGATCAACTCCATCAGATGAAAGTACAACTCAACCAACTTTTACCGATGCTGCAAGTAAAACAACAGAAGTTACTGTAGATGGTTCTGTTTTTGTCACCACTATGGCACGGTCGCTGTTTAAACGGCACGTCCAATTTGATACTACTGGCTTACTGGACCGTTTTACTTCTCATTCTACTGCAGCAGTTTGGAGCTTATACAGTGCTACTGCTCGGCCCTATACGCCAGAGAAGGAAGAAACCACTATAAGTAATACTGAAACTTTGGACGACTGTACTACTGATTCACCTCAATTGCCTAAAGAAACGACAGGTTCTTTGTTGGAGGTTGCTAGTGTACTTTTTAAACGAGAAGTACAAGATAGTGCTGAATTGTTGGACGATTCACCCGCTGTTGAAGATAGAGCTACTAACAACCATCTAGTGTATGACTTTGACAAAGATTTGGTCAAAGTTCTTGATATGACGTGGGTTTTCAATTTTTTGAAAAAAGTTACTAAAGCTCAAACATAAACCCTGCACTTTCAGAATCGACCTGCACCGTGATGCTGTGAAGGATTTGCACCACTGTCTGTATCGCGAAACAAACAACAACTTCCAAGTTGACCCCACACTAAAAGGCGTCAATCAAACCCTTCATCTACAAGATGCTTTACAGTTTGAACAAACTCGACAATGTTACAACAGACCAAACGAAAAGTACCTCTTGGCCTTGAAAAACATACATCTTGCATTAGTTAATCATTTTGGAGAAGAAAAAGCCAGAAATCTCACCAAACTTGTCAGAAAAATGTCTCGAATGGTGGAAAAGCACGACAAATCGCAGAAAGCATTTATCAATTGTCCAGACAGCAAGTATCACAAAATGGAATTTTTCTTCCAATATCTTATGATTGAGTTTTACATAACTGAAGAACTGTTCCCTGGAAGGTAAGTTGAACCTTTCAAAACATAATAGCTATACTTTCAAAACATACTAGCTATACTTCGGGTTCATGATTCTGGACCTAGTAATTTCATTGTTAAAATTGTCCTGTAAAAACTAAAACGTTGACAATAGGTACTGCACGAAACTTAAAAGTGAAGGATCTATCCTTGGAGATGTGGATACCTGCAAATGAGATTTTTTGCACATTCAAAGTTGAGACTATTTTATGTAAATTGTAAAAAATTTAAGATTATATCTTGCTCTTTACGAGCTACAGAAATTATCCAAATTTTCAAAACGTAAAGCATAACAAACCTGTGAAAAATTTTTATTAAAATTTGCATATTATATTCTCAGCTTTGAATGTGCAAAAAAATCACCTTTGCGCCTGTCTCCAAGAACGAGGATTTTACTTTTAAATTTTGGGCAGTATTTAAGGTTGTACCCAAAGTAACGGGACAGAGTTTAGTTGGAAAAATAAGTGAGAAGTGTCCCGGCCAGGGTTGGACGCAGGGCAGGGCATGGGCCCGGTAACAGGGCATTTTTGAATTGTTTTTTTGGCGCGCTTTTTTTAAAATTTATTTTGGCTAGGCCAAAAAACGCAAAAATTTCTAGAATTGGGTTTTAAACACTGTTAATCCATTATACGTTATTATTTTCTTGATAACTATTACAATTTTCAAGATATGAGTTTGGCGGGAAAACGAAATTCAAAAAAATGCCCTGTTGAAATGCCCTGCCCTGCGTCCAGCCCTGGTTTCGGCACTTTGGGTTTAACCTAATATTGTCGGTTTTTTAAAGGATAATTTTAACAATAGAATTACTAGGTCTAGAAGTGTGAAAATGAACTATTATATTTCTAAAACACTGTAAAAATGATTGGCGATTCTCTCCGTATAAAAGAATATTTTTAGTGGAGTCACTTACACAAATTTGGAGGAAAAACTAAACCCAAAATTGTTTACTGACCAAGGTGTTGGATCTGAGCTCTTGATTACTGGTTGCAATACTACTACTATGGATAAGGGTGAAAACTCAAGTTTTTGAAAGAACGTGCATTAAAATTTCTACTTTATGGTTACATACTTGATTTGGTTTTAAATAAAATAACTGTTTGATAAACATTAGGAGATGCTTGGAGAGATGACACAGAAATCGTCAGCAAAATTTTGATGATTTACAATAATTTTAAAATATTATTGTAAATCATCTTTTCATGTGAATATTAAAAAATAAGTCATTATGACTCATTTTGAATGTATATAAATTTATCGTGCGTATCGTCAGAAGACAGGTGCCTGATCACGAAGACACACGTCTTCAGATATTAGCCTAATTTTCTTAAAGAATACATTGGGTAAGGCCTCTTGAAAAAACGGCTTTATCGCTTCAAAATGAAGGTTTTTATATTTTATGCATTGTTGTTGGCTACATCTTGCTACTCACTATCAATTGAAGAATCTGGAACTCCCTAACCGCTCAATAGTTTGCTGAAGGATAGCCCTCCAGTAGAAGAAACAGATAGAGAAGTTATGGCTTTCTGTTTCAGTGAAGAATTCAATCGAAAAGGTGAAAAGTACGTTTATGGTCTACATTTTCATTTTACTGACTATTGTGAGCGCTTAGCTGAAGGTCTTTAAATTTAAATTTTTCAGACTTACACAGCGAAAATTCGACTTTTGCAAGACTTTTCTTTGTGCCGGGTTTTACAGAAACCCAAAAGAACTTTCGCTGCACCATAAAGGCAAGGTAGTGTTGCATCTTGTAAATGACACTTGCTACAAGAGATCCAACAGCACATATGTAAAAGCATATGGAAACCTTGAAAAAGGTCTTGTCAAAGCTAAAGAACACGTCGAACCATTGCTTTATATCTTGCCTAGCTTAAACACTACAAGTGTGTTTAATCAATGGATTGTAACAGTGTTTGGACAGCAAGTTTTAAATTGTTTGTGCGCAATATTTTAAAATTTTTACATTTGTAGCCCTAACGTGAAAATTCCGTGTTTTAAAAACAAAGAAAATGGAGTAAATATTCTCATGCAGTATGGCATTGCGATGAATTATCTGATGGCGAAGGTGTTCCATAGACCGTACGTTTGTTGAATTTTCAAAAAGTATTATAATGGCTAAACAATACTATAATGGCTAATCTATTAGCTAAAACTACACTCTCTTAAAACTAAACTCTTTTTTTAAATTTGAAAACTAACTTTTCAGTATTCACTACACAAACGTGGAGGAAAGACTGAACCCAGACTTGTTCACTGACAAAGGCTGTGAACCATGGAATGTTATTACTAAATGCGACTATTATGATGATGAATGAAATATTTTTTCGAAAATTAAAAAATTTATAATAAAAACATTTTATATATGAGATACATGGTCAAACTGATGATTGTTGCCATACCATTACAAAAACAATGTTTTGTTTGTTTTTTTTCGAAATACGATATGTTTCTTCCTGACTCACACATCTCTCTGGTTTATTCTGTTTTAATCGGGTTTTCAATTTACTTTTATCAAATTTGGAAAATTGCAGCAACTTTCTTTACAAATTTTGGAGCAAGAACTTTCTTTACAAATTTAAGAAAAAACGCAATAATTTTCTTTACAAATTTTCAAAATCTGCAAGAACTTTCTTTTTGGAAAGCCGCAGAAACTTTCTTTACAAATTTTAAAAAAATTCGCAAGGATTTTCTTTACAGGTTCTGAAAAACGCTCAACAATTTTCTTTATAAACTATCAAAGAATCGCAGATACTTTCTTTACAAATTTTGAAAGACCGCAAGAACTTTCTTTACAAATTTTCTATATTTTTTCCTTTTATTTGCTTGTTATCAATCTGTTTTTGTTTACATAAAGTATGTACTTTTTCACAATTTACGAAGAAACCAAAATAAACAATCAATTGTGACATTTCGTCGCACCTTAAGGATTTGCGAAATTTTTGAAAAAAAATTGAAGTTTTTTTTTGAATTTTGATTAAAATCAAACATTTTATTGATGTTTTTACTTTTTTTTATTGTGTTTTATTGTATTTTACACTGTTTCCCTTCCCAAATATTAATTTATAATGACATTTTTAATTGTTTTGATAGCGATTTATGCTCCGGGTCCGAGAAGAGTTGGTTTACTGATAAAAACCTTTTATTCCTCCAAAAAAACCAAAAGTTTAGGCAAGATTTCTTATCACTTTATCAGTAAATTGTTCTACAAACTTTTGAGCCCAATTTGAGGGCAAGAACAACATTGATTTAGGGTCAAAGAAGGGGTATAAAAGCGGTTATCTCTCTTGTTATTCACAATATTATTGTAGATTGTTTGTTTTCCCGCTCTTGAATTATTTATGGTCGATAATTGGAGGGAATGGTCGATTTATGGGAATGGAATTTGTAATTTTATTGTAGTTTTTCACCTGGGGCAGCATTTTGTTTGGAGTTTGGAATTTGTTACCTAAATTTTAGTTTTGTTACCTAAGATTTTAAAATAAGGTTTTTAGGATAGTTTTAGGGATGTGAAGAAAGTTTTCGAATATTTTTAACGAATTAAAGATATTTTTTTGAATTTTTTGATTTGTTACCTAAATTTTGTTTTTTTTTCGTTTAGAAGCTATTTTTGTTACCTAAAGTATAAAAGTAAGTCATTTGGGCTTGTTTTTAAATCTAGAAAGAAATTTTTTGATTATTTTTGGTTAAAAAGTTTCTGCCTCAATTTTTGTTACCTAAAATTCATTTTTTGTTATTTAAATTTTGAAAGTAAGCGTTTTTTGTTAAGGTTTAGTGTGGAAAGAAAGTTTTTGAAGTTTTTATTCTTAAAAATTATATTTTAATTTTTTTATGAATTTGTTACCTAAAATTAAATTTTAGTTACCTAAAAAGTATTAAAATATAAATTTGCTATGAGAAGTGGCTCATGATTTTTTGAACAACTTAATATTATAGTAAGAAATTTCTTTCCACATCATTTCACAAACCTCAAAAATTGTAAATTTCCTGAAGTTTTTGTGAATTCGAAAAAAAAATTCAAAAACCTCGTTTAAATATGGACTGGGAATGAGTCAGCAATGTCGTGGGGCCTATCACCAAAATATCGCTCGGAAACTGTTTTTTGTTTGTCTTAAGGATTCTGTTACAAATATTTATTCAATTCCATTTTTTTTGAAAAATAATATTTTCGGGAACGGGGGGGGGGCGGGAAAGAAAGTTTCTTCTTTTTTTATTGTATTTGGAGTGACATTGAAACGGTCTTTTCAAAAAAATCATAAGACTTGCTGTAAAGAAAGTTATTGCGGTTTTTAAATTTTGATATGAAAAGAAAGTTCTTGCATTTTTTTAAATCGGTAAGGTAAGTTCTTGCGGTTTTTTTTAATTTGTAAAGAAAGTTCTTGCGATTTTGTAAAATCTGTAAGTAAAGTTCTTGCGGTTTTTATAATGATTTTTTTTTGTGTTCCGCAGCCTGCGAGAGACGTTTTATACGCTGAAAAGCCTAGGAGAAAACAAAAGGAGCAGTAATTTGGTTAAACAGGTTTACTTTGTTTCAAGTTGTATATGAGGAAGATAAGTAACATATCTGGATTTTTCTTTATTTTAATCCTTCTGGGATTCGTATTCTTTTATCTTGTTGTAACGTAATTTGTGAGTAAGACGTTTTTTTTGTTTTATTTTGTTTTGACTTTGTAAAAATATTGTTGCAGTTTTGTAAAGAAATTTGTTGCCATTTTAAGTTCTGTAAAGAAAGTTGTTGCCATTTTGGTTCTGTAAAGAAAGTTCTTGCTATTTTAAGTTTTGTAAAGGAAGCCCTTGCCATTTTGAGCTCTGTAAACATAGTTTTTGCCATTTTATGTTTTGTAAAGAAAGTTCTTGCCATTTTAAGTCCTCCAAAGTAAGCCCTTGCGGTTTTTGAGTTTTGTAAAGAAAGTATTTGTGAAATGTCATTTTGATTAAACCGAAGTCAGAGCAAAATAAAAAGCAAAAACCCAGTAATCGAATACTTTTTCGATTGTAATTGAATACAATTTAAACAGATTTAAATTGTTTTTAATTAATCTCAAGGTTGCAGCTTTTAAATTCAATCCTGAAGGCGTTCGGCTTGTTTTTATGAAGCTTTAGATACTGAATAGTATTGAAAATGTATTAACTAGTACTGGAGAGGTATTAAATAATAATGAAAAGGTACAAATAGTACTTAAAAGGTGCTATATAGTACTGAAGCTAAATAGTACTAAAGGGATACTAAATAGAACGGTTGATGTACTAAAGTACTAAAAACGTATTGCAGTTGACTATTCAAAATAAAGACAGGAAAAGCTTTAAAACTGTAAAAAAATTTTTGTAAACAAAGTTTTTGCGTTTATCAGGTTAAATATTAGTTGCGAATTCGAGCGAGGTGTTCGCTTACTAATCGGGTTAAGAGTGTTGGCTGAGGTCGTTTGGGCGCCAAGCGGATTAAAATATTATAATAGACATGGGAACATGCATATTTCATGTTCGCTTATATGATATTGTTATACATATAGTAATATAGAATTGGGAGTTGGTTTTGTAATATTAGGCTTTTCAAAGAATTTTGTGCTCCTTAACTTTGAAAATTAGCTTTTTCAAGGTTAAGGGGCCCAGAAGAGGGGCACAGAATTATTTGAACAACAAAATATAGGGAATAGGGGGTTAGCTTTGGTATTTCTTGATGATTTTTTAGGGCTTGAAAGAAAGTTTTTTGCGGTTTTTGAACGTGTTAACTCCATGGTTTTAAGCGGCAGGCTGCAGGGACAAGTTATACGATAAAAGGTGTTTTCATATATGTAAAGAAAAAACGAGAAAAAGAATTTTAAGCTTGTAAAGAAAATTCTTGCAATTTTACAGATTCTGTAAACAAAGTTTTTGCACTTTAAAAAACATTTTAAAAAAACAAGATTTTTCCCACCGAAATTGGCCAAAATTCGGCCAAGTTTTGACTAAGATCGCTCGAAACAAAACAAAAACGACAAAAGAGCTTTAATAGATCCGTCCGACTGATAGTCATTACAATAACCAATATATATCTTTTCCAAAACAAAAACATTGGAACAATGAAGCCAAATTGTTCGGTCTTTTGATGTAAAAAGGTTGATTTTTTGATTCGAAAATTTGATTTTTTATGGTTTTTATGGGTATTGAAATACAGTAAGTTATTTTTAGAATGTTTAACATAGCTTTCTTTTTCTTTCTTTTTCTTTCACTTTCTTTTTGGGGTTGATTATGGGGTTGAAAAGGGTAAAATGATGGTTAAAAAATGTGTTTTTGAGGGTAAAAATGTCATAAAATTTTAAAAAGTTTTGGAAAAATCAAATTTTAATCCATTTCATTATGTTAATGGTTAAAATTTGATTTTTCTAGGATTTTTTAAAAAATTTGTGTCATTTTTACACCCAGAAACACCCTTTTTAACCCTTATTATACCCCTTTTAACCCACTAATGAGCCCCAAAAGTAAAGGGTTCGAAAAGGAAAGAGAGAGAGTTGTGTACGCCCATAGCCCGTTGAACGCACGCCATCCCGTCCGATCTGGCAAGTTAAGCAACGGTGCGCTTGATTAGTACTTGGATCGGAGACGTCCTTGGAATCTCAAGTGGCGTACGCATTTTTGCCATTTTATGGTACTTTTTGGTACTATTTTTGGGTTTGTGGTAAGTAAGGGCTGTTTTGCATTACTTTTGGAGTGATTTTCGTCTCAGTTTTCGAAAATTTCATATATGGTGCTTTTTGGTAGTGTTTTTGGGTTTGGTGCTAGAAAAGGTTGTTTTATATTGTTTTAGAGGCCATTTTTGTCTAAAATTGAGGGTTTTGTTGGGTAAAAATTATATTTTCATTTCATAAAAAGTAATCAAAAGCTATAGTAAAGTGCAAATTAGAATGTGAAAAGCCCATTCAAAGTCGTGATGATTGAAAATGGGATTTGTAACACTTTTTCGCTGAGATTCGCAATTGAGACGTTACAAGATATAAAACAAGGTCGTTACTGCTTTACTTTTTAGTTATTTTGTACTGAAATTTTGAAGATTGCAAAAAATTTTGTTACAGGTTTTAAAAATTGCAAGAACTTTCTTTAGAGATCAATAAGACATGGCAGGAATTTTCTTTACAGAGCTTTAAAAAACACAAGGACTTTCTTTACAAATTTTAAGATACCGCAAGAACTTTCTTTACATCTTTGTAAACAAAAATATTTTGTTTTTCGCAAGAAATTTCAATTTTTTGATGATTCAGGTGATAAAAAACAATTTGGAGGTTGAAACTGCTGATAAGGCTATTAAAAATAAACTCGATTCATCATTTTATGGCTTTATTTT